TTTATCTTATCTTGATTATTGCCCAGTCATATGGTCAGGTGCTGCAAAGAAGGACCTAGAAAACCTGCAGCTGGCCCAGAACAGAGGGGCAAGTCTTGCTCTTCACTGTAATCAGAGGGCTAATATAAATACTATCCATGCCAGTCTCTCTTGGCTAAAAGTAGAGGAGAGACTGGCTGCATCACCTCTTCTTTTTATAAGAAACATTCATGTGTTGAAAATTCCAAATTGTTTGCATAGTCAACTTACACACAGCTCTGACACACACACTTACCCCACCAGACATGCTGCCAGGGGTCTTTACACAGTCCCCAAATCCAGAAGAAATTCAAGAAAACATACAGCATTATATAGAGCCATGATTGCATGGAACTCCCTTCTATGTCAGATTGCTCAAGTGAACAGCAAACCTGGTTTAAAAAAACAGATAACGCAACACCTCACGGCACAACGCCTCTCCCCTATTTGACCTAGTTATTTTGTGTGTATGTACTGATATGTAGGCTATGTGTGACGTTTACGTTTGATGTAGTTCTGTCCTTGAGCTGTTCTTGTCTATTAATGTTCTGTATTACGTCATGTTTCATGTTTTGTGTGGACCCCAGGAAGAGTAGCTGCTGCTTTCGCAGCAGCTAATGGGAATCCTAATAAAATACCAAATAAGTAGTTACACCAGCAAAATTAGGAAGAAGTGGAATAATAAAAGTATGAGGAATAAAAGTAGCCTACTGTTCTTTCTGACAAGCACACTAATTATCCTATAATATTATAGCCCATCATAAGAAATAGAAATGGTTACACTGCCTTAAAATAAAAACAGAAAATATCCTGTTGACAACATGGCATAGCCTAAATCTACCCAGGATACACTACCCAAATGATGTCTATTTATTTTTTCCCACTCCCTGTCGAGAGGAAACGTTACCAAGTTGTTAGCTGTCCAGTTACCAGGTTGTTAGCTAATAAGGTAACATGACGGAACAAACGTATTTGTTATCAAACAAATAAGCTAATTAGCAGTCCGCGATTAGCCTAGTTTTAAAATGGCCATGGTTTATTTATCAAATGGTTCCTGCAAATTCACGCTAGAAAAAACATAGCTCTGGTAAAATGAATCATATCTTTTGAACGGTTTGGGCTAGCGACACGGTTTTCAGGAAATGAATGGTGAATTATGGCATACTGGCTAGTGTGTAAGTGATGCACTGTTATGGGAACTCATATCAGACATAGAGCCTGTAATTTAGGGTTGGAACGGGTTCAGGGAACAGAACAGAAAACCAGAAAATAGCTACATTATTGGGGGAACAGGACCTGAACCGAAAATGAAAGTGATCTATACTGTTCCGGAACAGAACCGTATAAAAGCATGGGAACCGGTTAATAACGTTATTTTACATTCTGAGCATTTTTTTCCAGTCCCACAAAAATCGCAACAAAGCACTTATGCAAAGCCCTCACTCTGTCACTCAGAATCTTATTCCAGTGGTGTGTGTGTAGGCTACCTGCCCCACCCCTCTGAAGCATAGGTTACTGTAGCCTACTGATGACATTACAAGCATAAATCAGAAATTAGGGAGAGATGTTTAATTAGACTTTTTCAATGCTAGTTAAGGATACTATAGTTATCACGTTTCACATTGGATTTATTATCTACAAAAAAGGTAAGATGTGTTTTTAATTCTAGTGGTGCTCTGCACACACAAGCTTGTTAGCTAGCTAGCTCTGGTCCAACGTTATATCAACTCGGAAGTTCAAAGACATTCAAAGTTCCTCCATAGAAGCCGCTCCTCCGTAGGTATAATTCTGTGGGACTAATTCAGATAATCCATATTATAACAAGATGCCCAGTGCTTCAAGGCAAGCTTCCTCCATCCTCTCTCCTCAAAATGTCAGTTGTATCTCGTACCCTACACTGTGACTGCAGCACAGTGTGTGTGTTTGTCTTTCATTGTCATTAAACCAAAATACAATTTGCTCTTAATAACTTTCCTATACAGATTAAATCGCTTACCCGCTCCACAGCAAGCTGCTCTACTCGCACTGATTAGTGAAGTCATATATATAAAAAAAAGTATATTTCAGAGGTTTAAAAACGAACAGAAAGGAACGATATAGAACATTTTTGTTGGTGTTCCAACCGGTTCAGAACTTTATTTTGCTGGTCAGACCAGTGGAACAGAATGAAAACAATAATGGTTCTGTTCAGGATGAAACGATTGGAAAATAACTTTGGCTCTGGCCCCTGCATCAAAAGACCACCAAAAGGATCGGGCTGGACCAAAAACATTCGGGGCTGCAGACCTGAAAGCCCAGTCCTAATGACGCCACTGGAGTATAGTGTGACTGTGAGCTTCATGATTGTCTAATGCAATGCAATTTTGACATGTCTTTTCTCTTAATATGGTGGACCATTCTCTTTAATGTAGTGAATAAATGGGTTTATTACCCAGGAGTAATGGTGCAACATTGTTTCAACATCAAGACTCTCCCTTTGATTGGCAAATAGGCTGGCCTACATGAGATTTTGTCTGGACTGGACCTTTAAATTGCATAGGCTATGCATCAGGCCGATGCTATTCAATCACAGTAAAGCATTGAATCATTAATTTCTTTTTGCGATGTCCAAGAGTCCAACATCAATTTGGAATGGTGATGGTACCCAGGCAGAGCGCCTCGCATTCGCGTCGTGTCACATTCTTATTCCTCACCCTCCCCAATTGTGCGCGCGAGACCACTGTTAGGCTACATTAATTAATGTCATATTAGGCATAAAGAAAAACTAAAACCAGCAGTGATGCATACGGATAATCTGCAATATCAAGCATTTTACTTCACATAACGTTCATACAATCATTTTCGACCGAGATGTCGGATGGAGCAAAATGGCAGCATATTCTGCCTCATCGAAGTCCTTACAAAATTGCAGATTGAATGGGTTTCTCAATACATTTGTCCTTACCTGCCCACTGTTTGGTTGGCGAGCTGTCGCATTCGATTGAATTGCTTCTTCATCTTGTATTTTCTGCGTTAACACCGATGGATAGAGCGACTCCACATATCTCATTGACAAACAGTCCGGGTCTCCAACGAGAATAACGAGACAGTCCACCCTTTAACAATCCGAATTTCCATAGCTATAAGGAAAGCATCGCAAATAAAGAGGTAAGGATGAGATACTTTTCAACGCATTTTATGGTCCCTGTCACCCAGTCAGTCCATTGCTCAGAGATGCTAGACCAATTTCTCCCCGGGCGGAGTGACAGCTCACGACACGACGCTGCGCACAAGCGCAGTATGGGGAATGTAGTTTCGCCAACCAAACGTTGAGCCTACAACGAGACCATAGGTGCATTCTTCAGTGGTTCCCAACCTTTTTCGTTACTCTACCACCAACTGAATTTTGCTCTGCCCGGAGTACCCCCGAAGTTCCTCCTCATGTGCATTTTACCAGTATAGTCTCATGAGTCTTCTCAAGTACCCCCTGTGGATAGGCCAAGTACCCCCAAGGGTCGTAGTACCCCTGGTTGGGAACCACTGTTCTATATGATAAAATGTTTAAAACAAGGTGAATATATTTATTTCAACTTGATCAAAAAAAATCTAGCTTAAACCCTTGGTTCCTTGTTAAATGTTAAAGCAATTCCATTGCTCTATAGCAGCGGTTCCCAAACTTTTCTGTTAGGGGGACCACCAAATCACTGCCAAAAGCTCTTGAGGACCACCATTCGCCAAAGTTGCATAACATTAACATAAAATATCTTGGCAGTCAAATGTAGCACATTTTAGCAGTGAATGTAACAAATAATAATTAAAGTCCTATTTGCATTGTGAAAAGTAATGTGTCATTGATTATAATACCATTAATACTCCTAACTGTTATTATTTTTAGAAGAAAAAAACATCTACAACAATCTTGTGAAAAATTATAATAACATTAACAAAAACTACATAACAATTATCGCGGACTAACTGCGGTAGGCTACCTCCATTACTTAGTTGAAAACCACTGCTCTATAAGTTACATTGAAAAACAAGAATTTAGTGGGAATTCAATGTTTGCATGGGCCAAGGTCTACTACTTGCAGACCACAAATGCCAAAATTAACCTTTTGTATTTCATAATGGGCAATGTAACCTACTTACAATGTTAGGTGAAATATGCATCTGAAACACCATATCAGACAATGTTTGAGGAACCTGGTTTGATACCTGTAGGGTCAGTCACACACAGACCCTGGCACATGTCCCTAGAATGTCCTATAGACCAACATTGATTTAGTTTGTTGATAGTATAATAAAGCATTCTGAAAGGATAACTAGTTTAGGCAGGCCTACTCAATGGAAAAATTGGATTCTGTGGTTTAGTAAGGCAAACAGCATCATCTTGTGGCTATAAAAGCAGAGTATCCTACCACACACAGAATATTAACTCATTTCATTGACATAATTAGTGCTTAGCAATTGGCTGCAAAAGTCAGTAATAGCTTTTTACAGCAACACATTCTGTTCCCAATACAAAATACCCAAGGGAATATACTGTCATGTAGGAAGAAAACAGAAACTGCTCTGTTTATCACAACCGAATTTAGCCGTTACCGTAGGTTAATGACATACCCACAGTTCTATGAACCAAGCCCAATTTTATTTTTTCAGAGTTTCTCTCGCGACCCCATTTTCAAATCAGGCAACCCCACATGGGGTCGTGACCCCTAGTTTGGGAAATGCTGCATTATAGTCACCTACAATCCAATTTCTCAGTTTGAAGGATCATTATGATGATATCAAGTCAATAACAATTTCACAATAGGTAATGGACTTTTGTTGTGGGGGTACAACAAATACAATGAAGCACAAATTAATTATAAATATGACCATGTTGACAGGGCAAATTAACCAGTGTATTTGATTGACAGTCCAATAAAAATAAAAATAAAGCTCCAGTACGGTAGGTGGCGTAGTTATGTGTTTTAACGTGGGCTGTCTTTTTCTCTGAAATCCGAATAGGGAAGACTAGCTAGCGGTTTAGTTTACTTGTTGAATGACACAAACACGAAGTTTTTTTTTTTTATGTTTTATTGCTCATTTGAACCCATTTTTCTTCACGTTGTTATAGGATATCGTAATAATATCTTCGTTAGCTAATACATTGCATTTGGACTGAGAAGAAATGCGGGACCGAACCAAGGAACTGGGCAATGTGAGTTTCAAGCTAACTAATATCAATGAATTTAGCAATTGGTCAATTTGCAAGGGAAGGTTTAATGCAGAATTGGTAGCTATTTCTTAGGGTATTCTTTATCTGGTAGCTAGCTATTAGTGCTAGCTACATTGCTTTTTAATCGGCGAATTTAGCTAAAGTTAACGTACTTGTCAACCTGGCTAGGCTAGCTAGTATAGATAAAATAGTCTACATCCCAAGAATAGGCCAGTGGCTAGAAGTGTATTAAAAGTTAAATGCCGCACTCATGGGTTGCATGTTGGATTTACATGATAATGATGTGCAGTAGAGCTCGCCAGCTCGTAGTCCTAAAAAACGGAAATAAGTTAACTATGGTTCGTTCAGCCATTCCTATGGGGAAAATTAATGGGGAAAGAATGGGACTTTGGAATGAACGCCGAAAACAAGGTCTGAGGTTAACACAGGCTTAGGAGATCTTATCTATGATATAATATGATTAAGCTAACATGACCTTTATGAATTATGAAGCTTTTATGTGCTTGTTTTGATTACATAAATACATCAAAATGCACAATAAGTGACGTTAACTGATGATTATCTCATAGAACAAAACGTATAAGAGCTCCTAAGCCTGTTTACCACATACCTTTTTCCCCGCGTTAATCCAAAAACCCATTCATTTCCCCATAGGCTTTGGCCAATGAGCCATGGCGGAGTTAGTGCCTACAAAAAGATAAGGATTGTGTCCATTCTTTCCTGCTTTCTCTCTCTTCCTCACACACCAGACCGCCGAGGCGTCAGACGAGGATGAAGAGGGCAGGGTACTTATGATCAAACCAGGGACTTCTACAGTGAGGGAAGAGGAGAATGATGCTTTTTTCAAGAAGGTGAAATCATGGAACCTAATTCAACAGTCAAGCCATCTGTTTGCATTTTATAATGACTTGCTGTCAGTTTCAAGTTATGTTCTTCTGCAGTACTTTTCTCTTGGCTTGTGAATGCCAAGCACAGGAACGGTTTGTTGTGTCAACATTAAACTACTGTGCCAATGTGATCTGGCAAGTTATGAGCTGAAATACTGTCCAATTAAAACCAGCAGCGTTTCTGTATGCCCAATTTATATGTTATGCGAAAACATAGTAGTCTCGTCAGTGACTTACACAGGATGATTCAGAATATGTCTTCTGGTCCTTTCTAAACTGCCCCAAACAACCAAATTCACTGATTTTTAGCTTCTCTTACATTAACCAGCCGGTTTATCCCTTCATATCAGGTCCAAGAGATTCGAGAGGGACTGGAGACGCTTAAAAAGGTGGTTTCTGACCTTGAGAACAAACAGAAGACCGTGTTGGGTGTGGCACTGCCAGAGGACGGTCAGTAGTTCAACACTAATACACTGACATTAGTGCTAATATGCTGTATGTAAATATATGGTATGGTGGTACTGTTAGTAGGAGTTATGATATGCATAGAATATGTAATGTGAGCTGTAGCCTAATTGATCACTGCACCTCCATGTCTTGTCAAAAGGATCACATTCCACTAAGATATGTCTCAGTTTTTATCAATTTTGGTGATAAAGCAGTTGTTGTAAGCATACAATTAGGTACCATTATTCCCTACAGGCTGCCTATTCTGAGGGATTAGTTACTCTGCCTGTTGACAGTTACTAAAAGGTGATGTCGTAAGGTTTCTTTCTGGTTCAGGCATGAAAAGGGAACTCCAAACCCTTCGGGAAGAGATCAAAACAATGGCAATGCAGATCCATAAGAAACTGAAGAGTGAGTATTCTTAACTGAAACGACATGATCAGCTATTGACTATTGATCACGGGTCATTCGGTGCCCCCAGTGAATACACCTGAATACAGAAATATCAGACCCTTTGTTTTTTTTTTACAGTCATTAATCCCAAGAAAGGAGAAGATGATGGGAAATACATCCCCATAAACCTAAGGATGCAGAGAGCACAAGTGAGGCTTCTATTTTCAGAAAAATAAATAGATTTTCATTAATAAAGTTTTGATTGTAATCCAATATACCATAGGCTGCCATTAAATTAACACTTTTTCCATCCCTCTACCTCCTCTTTCTCTCTCTAGCATGGCGTCTTGTCTCGGGAGTTTGTGGAGTTGATGGGCCACTGTAACACCATCCAGGCTTCCTACAGAGATCGTAACGTGGAGAGGATACAGAGGCAGCTCAGAATCAGCAAGTCTACATCTATTAATCTATTACTGTCACTGTATGGCTGTTCAGAAAGGGGAATTGTAAGTGATTTCAACACCATGGATTTTTGTCTTCTGAATTCAAGACTGCAATGCAGAAGTTCATCCACAAAGGTGATTTCATATGAAAATGAAATATACCCAAAAGCAGCAACTGATAAGATTATTATATCCCTCTAGCTGGCACCAATGTAACAGATGAAGAGTTGGACGTTATGCTTGAAAGTGGACAGACTGATGTTTTCACACAGAATGTGAGTATGACTGACTGACAGATTTACTGACTGACTGAAACTAACCACAATTACCAGCAGGTGGTTTCAGCATGAATCAATCTCGCAATACACTGTTTTCTTCCTCATTTTGTTGAGTGGTATTCTATAGACTATGACTTCTCTCTTACTCAATTAATCAGGCTCTGTGTTTTGCTGAATGACTAAAAAAAGTGTATTCAGACCCCTTGACTTTGTCCACATTTTGTTACGTTACATCCTTATTCTAAAATGGATATATTTTTTAAATACACCATAATGACAAAGCGAAAACAGGTTTTTAGAAATGTTTGCAAATGTATTAAAATGACAACAGATACCTTATTTACATAAGTATTCAGACCCTTTGCTATGAGACTGGAAATTGAGCTCAGGTGCATCCTGTTTCCATTGATCATCCTGGAGATGTTTTTACAACCTTATTGGAGTCCACCTGTGGTTAATTCAATTGATTGGACATGATTTGGAAAGGCACACACCTGTCTATATATAAGGTCCTATATAAAGAGATGCTTTGATTTTTTTGACACCACACTCCAAAAACCAAGTTCTGCAGGCTCTAGTTTTGTCTAATCTTATTTATTGTCCAGTCGTGTGGTCCAGTGCTGCAAGGAAAGACCTAGTTAAGCTGCAGCTGGCCCAAAACAGAGCGGCACGTCTTGCTCTTCATTGTAATCAGAGGGCTGATATAAATACTATGCATGCCAGTCTCTCTTGGCTAAGAGTTGAGGAGAGACTGACTGCATCACTTCTTCTTTTTATAAGAAACATTGTGTTGAAAATCCCAAATTGTTTGCATAGTCAATTTACACACAGCTCTGACACACACACCAGACATGCCACCAGGGGTCTTTTCACAGTCCCCAAATCCAGAACAAATTCAAGAAAGCGTACCGTATTATATAGAGCCATTATTGCATCTCATATTTCTCAAAAACAACAAACAGCAACCTAGATAGTTTGTGTGTATGTATTGATATGTAGGCTACGTGTGCCTTTTAAAAAACATGTATGTAGTTCTATCCTTGAGCTGTTCTTGTCTATTAATGTTCTGTATTATGTCATGTTTCATGTTTTGTGTGGACGCCAGGAAGAGTAGCTGCTGCTTTTGCAACAGCTAATGGGGATCCTAATAAAATACCAAATACCACAGTTGACAGTGCATGTCAGAGCAAAAACCAAGCCATGAGGTCGAAGGAATTGTCCGTAGAGCTCCGAGACAGAATTGTGTCGTGGCACAGATCTGGGGAAGGGTACCAAAATGATTCTGCAGCATTGAAGGTTCCCGAGAACACAGTGGCCACCATCATTCTTAAATGGAAGAAGTTTGGAACCACCAAGATTCTTCCTAGAGCTGGCCGCCTGGCCAAACTGAGAAGGACCTTGCTCAGGGAGGTGACCAAGAACCCGATGATCACTCTGACAGAGCTCCAGAGTTCCTCTGTGCAGATGGAAGAACCTTCCAGAAGGACAACCATCTCTGCAGCACTCTACCAATCAGGCCTTTATGGTAGAGTGGCCAGACGGAAGCCACTCCTCAGTAAAAGGCAAACGACAGCCTGCTTGGAGTTTGCCAAAAGGCACCCAAAAGGACTCTCAGACCATGAGAAACAAGACTCTCTGGTCTGATGAAACCAAGATTGAACTCTTTGGCCTGAATGCCAAGCGTCACGTCTGGAGGAAACCTGGCGCCTACGCATCCCTACGGTGAAGCGTGGTGGCAGCATCATGCTGTGGGGATGTTTTTCAGTGGCAGGGAGACTAGTCAGGATCGAGGGAAAGATGAACGGAGCAAAGTACAGAGAGATCCTTGATGAAAACCTGCTCCAGAGCGCTCAGGACCTCAGACTGGGGCGAAGGTTCACCTTCCAACAGGACAACGACCCTAAGCACACAGCCAAGACAACGCAGGAGTGGCTTCGGGACAAGTCTCTGAATGTCCTTGAGTGGCATAGCCAGAGCCCGGACTTGAACCCGATCGAACATCTCTGAAGAGACCTGAAAATACCTGTGCAGCGACGCTTCTCATTCAACCTGACAGAGCTTGAGGATCTGCAGTGAAGAATGGGAGAAACTCCCCAAATACAGGTGTGCCAAGCTTGTAGCGTCATACCAAAGAAGACTCGAGGCTGTAATCACTGCCAAAGGTGCTTCAACAAAGTACTGAGTAAAGGGTCTGAATAATTATGTAAATGTGATATTTCCATTTCTTTTTTTGAAATACATTTGCAAAAATGTATAAAAACCTGTTTTTGCTTTGTCATTATGGGGTATTGTGTGTAGATTTTAGAATAAGGCTGTAACGTAACAAAATGTGGAAAAAGTCAAGGGGTCTGAATACTTTCCGAATGCACTGTATATGAATGGCAATGACTGTGACAACGACAAACGTTTATACATTCTCTTGGAGTAGAATTATGACAGATTTGTTTTATTTAAGACACTCTTGCTGGCTTGCGTTGGACTACAGGTTTGAATTTGGTAAGCACTCATTGAGATGGCTGTGCTGTATAGGACATCCTTAGGAATCTGTAATCTGTATAGTTGCCATAGCTGTGAAAGAGAACCCCACATAAATGGAACCCTTTTGCCCCCCTTGCTTTAGAAGATAGACTACTTTAGCTGTTTCAGTTCAAGCGTAGTTGATGTTCTCTTTACTGGATGTGTTTTATGAGCAGTTAAATAGACATTTGTTATATCATTTCTCAGACATCACCCGTGTGACATTTTGTCAGGCTCTAAACAATCTGATTGTGTTTTTACTCTCTTCCTCCTGTAGATCCTGATCGATGCTAAAGCCACTAAGCAGGCGCTGAATGAAATTGAGTCCCGGCATGATGAGATCCTCAAACTGGAAAGGAGCATCAGGGATCTGCATGACATGTTCCAGTACCTGGCCATGGAGGTGGAGGCTCAGGTAAGACTCACAACCCAGGAGGACAGACTGGAGCCCTATTATCTTTCCCACCCAAGTGTGCACTTGTTCACTCCCCGTCAAAGGTTGAAAAGCAAATTAATGAAATGGGCTTTGAGAAAGTTGGAAACCTTAGTGAAGTGTTTGCTGAATTGACAAACTATTGTTCTGTTGTGCAGGGGGAGATGGTCAACCGCATTGAAGCCAACGTCCTCAACTCAACTGATTATGTGCAGAAGGCAGTGGTAAACACACAGAAAGCTGCCATCAACCAAAACAAAGCACGCAAGGTAGGAATTCATTTGGAGGTTGTTGTGCTAATTATTGGACAGGTTAGCTAATGAACATTGATACTTGGTACTACCCCTCTCTCTCCTCTCTACAGAAGAAGATATGGATCGCATTATGCTGCGCTGTTCTCCTCCTCATTTTAGCCATCTCATTGGCTGTCAGCTTCTCCTGAGATCCTGACATGTGAGTTCCCTCTTGACATACTCAGGTAGTTTGCAAAAATAACCATGTTTCATATGAATATCATATCAACATTAATTCACTGCAAAAACAAAACTTGGAACTATTTGTTGATTAGTAATCAATGTATTTTGTACTTGTATACGTTTTTTTTGTCATTCCTTTTGCAGTGTCGTCTTCCCTTAACCCACTCTCCTGCCCTGGGACCTTGAAAATAAGTCCTGTCTTACTGATATCACAGAACTTTTAACTAACACCACTCTCATATAGACAGGCAGACACACATACACAAACAATCATAGTCTCTCATGCTCATGTTAACTGCCCCAGTCTCAGCAAACGGCAATGATGAAGGGTTTTTGGCCCCCTTTGTGGCGCTCTTTTCTTCAATGGCACCCTAAATGGAAATGTGTGGACAACTCATTACTTACTCAACTTGCTGGACCCCTATGTATCCACAAGCACGGAAGAATGCAGTATTGGAACCAACACGGCACTGATCAGATTTACTCAGGAAAACCCATAGCTAAGGTGATTCTTATTGTATTTGTCTTTATTTTATGAAGTACAAAGCGAAAGAGAACCTTTTTAGCGCTTAGGGCTTCATGTTTTTTAAATGCAGATATAGAATAATATAATTGTATATCGCCAATGTATTATTTGGTGAGTAATTAAGACATGCAGTTTTATACAACTTTAAAGATGTCTGAAATGGCTTCCATGTTACCCTTGTATATAGAGAAGCTCTTTTATAAAGAATTATTGGCCTCTGAAATTGATCTCTCCCATTAAGACACTGTTGTCTGAGCACTGCAATGAATTGCCCACTGCCCCCATGTTGTCCTATTTACTTCAGTATTTATTTATAGTTTGAATATTGTTGTGGAAGCTGCTATTTTAATAGTCTTGCCACAGCAACAATCAATAATGGGAATCCTTATAGTTATGGTGCCTTTTTTCCTAATGAACGTTTGTTTATCTTATGTGTTGACGGACAGCTCCAAGGGCTCAATCTGAGAACACGATGTAGTGATGGGATGGAAACTGCTGTAATTATTCAATGCTTCCGTTTCAAGAATTTATATTATAATTTTTTACATCTGGATTTTTTCAAACAGTTAAGATCTCAGCCATGGTGCTTTATCCTAGCCTTAATGTTCTGTGCTGACCAGCTTCTCCCTATAGACGAGATAGCTGACAACGTCAGGAAAACGATGCGCACGCTTCAATGGAGCAGAAATCCATGTGTTGTGATTATGGATGGCCAGATAGCCAGCAACAATGACAAGAAGCTGCCATGTGGGGAATCGTAGGTGGCTTGTTTCATCTTGTTCTTCATGTCTTGTTTTGACTGTCATGTCCATGCTGATAGCTAAAATTTGCTCATTAGCTGTGCAAATGGAGGCCTATATATACACTGAACAGATATAAATGCAACAATTTCAAAGATTTTACTGAGTTCATATAAGGAAATCAGTCAATTAAAATAAATAAGGCCCTAATCTATGGATATCACATGACTGGGAATACAGATTTGCATCTGTTGGTCACAGATACCCCAAAAAATAAATGGGCCTCGGAATCTCGTCACGTAGTCTCTATGCATTCTAATTGCCATCGATAAAATGCAATTGGTTCGTTGTCCGTAGTTTAAGCCGGCCCATACCATAATCCCACCATGGGGCACTCTGTTCACAATGTTGACATCAGCAAACCACTCGCCCACACAACGCCATACACGTGGTCTGCGGTTGTGAGGCCGGTTGGATGTACTGCCAAATTCTAAAAAAATGACGGAGGCGGCTTATAGTAGAGAAATTATCATTTCTTTGCTCTGGTGGACATTCCTGCAGTCAGCATGTCAATTGCACGCTCCCTCAAAACTTGACACATCTGTGGCATTGTGTTGTGACAACTGCACATTTTAGTGGCCTTTTATTGTCCTCAGCACAAGGTGAACCTGTGTAGTAATCATGCAGTTTAATCAGCTTCTTGATATGCCACACTTGTGAATGGACTATCTTGGCAAAGAAGAAACATTCACTAACAGGGATGTAAACATTTGTGCACAAAGCTTTTTGTGATCTTTTATTTCAGCTCATGAAATTTATTTTTGTTCAGTGTATGTTTTCAATAAACATTTTAAGCCAACCCCCGTCAGTTCTGTTGCTAAATAACCAACCTGTCTATGAAGTGACTGGAGGGGCGAAAGACAAACGGGATGAATGAGGAGAGCAGTGAAGAACATTCCTACTGTATATTACGTGGCTGTTTAATTTTGTATAAAACTTTCAGCTTATTTTAATGCAGAATTGTTCTTAAAATAAAATTGCCTATTGCGCTTGTATGGGTTTAACTGTTGCCCAGATTCAAGTTTACTAAACATGTTTTTTGCCTCTTTTGTGCTACTGCTGCAATGTTCTCAAAGAAACGGTACGGTCCCCAGAAATATCTGGGTAATTCCAGGAGGGACATCTTGCAGATTTCATTGTAAAATCTTCTAGTACTGTATATGATCTCAACAGCCATATGATCGATGTACTAAAGACATGGCTACATAAGTAAATTCCTGACAGGCAGGGATTTATGGTACATTTGCCACATGCCTACATTCCAACCAGCAAAATTAATCTTAAAACGAATCCTGCATGGCACCTACTGAGAAGATGTGTATAATTTCAAGTGCCAAGCACAAACACTTTTACACTATTCATTATGCAGATGCTCTTATAAAAAAGGTAGGTAAGACAACCAAACACAATACATTTTTGGTCTTTTTATTGAACTGTCATTTTGTCTTTTAATCTTTCAAGTAAAACTGTGGAATTACAAGGGAACAAAGGAATGTAACAAATTAAAGAGACAAATCAAGAGAAGACCATCACCATATTCCACCCATTCACTCAAACATCACCCTGCCCAAAAATTGCTTTGACAAAAGCAAGTCCTCAAAAAGTTCATTGACAATTTACAGAGCCATCTGGAACTGAACCAGTTTTTATATATTTTTTTTATTCACGTTTTGTCCAAGTCCTTACATGAAAGAGGAGCAATGAAATGATAGTAGAAATTCAGATTTAAAAAATAAAGAATTTGGTAGCACTGATGCATAGGGTGCTTTCCTTGTGATTTACAGAAAGTGTATCCTTTTTTTGGGGACAAATGACAACTCGGTAAGTTCCACACCCCAACGTCAAGTACTTTACAAGGCAAACTAGGATCTCCGTCCTCCCACTCGGCCTAATAGGCACTAATCTTTTTTATTCACACCGATTCAGTAGCCTTTTAGTATAAACTTCATGACATTTTGACCATAATGTCCGACTTTGGAAAGGTGAGGAGAGTTAAATCAAGGTTCTGCTCCCGTTTCTTTCTGCATTGCCAGTGAGCAAAATAATTACCATCTTCGAGATACATAACAAGCTTGAGAGAGCCAGCCATATTTAGAGCTTCAGAGTTACATTGTGTGAGGTACCAGGAACGTAGTAGTAATTTGATTGAAATTGATGTAAAATACTACACCACAACGCACTCAAATGCAGAGGACAACATGTCAGATGTGCAAAGGAAAAATGCAGGCTGGATTTAAAAAGTTAGATGGACAGAAAATGATAAGATACAGAGGCCCAAGCAAAGACTAACTCCAGCATTGTGCAGCAAAGATCACATTTACAGATCTGCTCTCTTCCTGGAAGAAACCATAAAATATCCATAACTTATCAACAAACAGGTCAGAACAGCTGACAAAATGTCCAGAACCCAAATGTCTAAAACCTTCAACGTACGATACAACTGTCACTCAAAAGCTTCTTTTGAATGTTGCATGAATGATTCCCATCGATAACCCTGGCAGAGGATAAAATCAGCATATTGGGCACAATCTAATCCTCTCTCGAACACATACATCTCTTAGTATTCCAGTCTTTTTAAATGTTTTACAGTACATAGTGTGAACTAACAATTAACTCACTCGCACCCACCTCGTCCCAAAGTCCCCAGTGTGCAGTCAAGCCACTGTCCGTATGAAGTGACACCTTCAGGACTTCAACACCTCACTTCTGGAAGGGCTCTAAGATGGTGTCACCTTTCTCTCCGCAGACAGTCTGACATCTCTAAGCCTTTCCCCAGTTGACGATGGCTGAACTGGAGAGGAGACCAGCTCTAATGTGGGGTGGAGGAGAGGGCCCAAGAGGGAGGGAGGTCACTGACCTGCACAACACATAGTTCTGCTCTGGCCTCCGTCAGTGTAGACAAAGCAGCAACTTTAGAGATCATTTCCCCTCTCCGTTTTCCAGTCACAATCCCTCACTCCCTCTCACAGTTTTTTTTAAATCTCTTGTTCTCCCATCATGTCTTGTTGTGTTGGGCAGAGGAGGAGCGGGAGGAGCGGGTGTTGGCGGCCGGTGTGCGGGCCTGAGCTGCTGCCATAGCCGCCACGCTGCGCAGCACCCTGTCCGGGGTGCCCTCTCCCGAGCCGGCGTTCCCTTCCTGCGAGAGCCTCTCCCGCTTCTGGGCGTGCCTCTCCTTTCTTTCCTTCCGGGTCTCCCTCCCCCGACCTTCTCCTTCTTTCCTGTGGCTGCGCCTCCTGCCCCTCTCGGTGCTGCGTTCACATTCGCTGCCAGAGGAGGGTGCTCTTGAGCGGTTGCGCCTGGGCCCGGTGCTCTGGGAGCTGAGGCTGTGGGTGCGCTGGCTGCTGCTGCTCCGGCTGCTCCCTCCACCATCGCTACTCACGCTGCTGCAGGCGCTGTGGCCCCTGGACGAGCGAGTCTCCCTCTCACCCTCCTCTTCCTTCTCCTCCGAGGGCTTCTTTTCTTTCTCATTCTCCTCCTTTTTGCTCCCCCTCTTGTTGTCCGTCTCCAGGGGCGGGACAAGGGCGCCAGGGCATTGGCGGGTGGAGCGGGCGGCGGTGCGGCTAGACTGGGTGGGGGTCGTCTTGCTGATTCCTGCTTTATTGTTGCAGTTGGTTTGCGGAGTGGCTGGTGCACTTTTAGATTTGGACTTGTGGTTCTTGTCAGAGGAAGCAGGAGAAATGGCATTCTGCCCAGCAGTCTTAGCCGCAGGGTCTTTCCTGCTGCCAGGGGTGTCGACCCTGCCTCGCATGGCAAGGAGTTTGGCTGCAGCGTTTAGAGCTGAACATCTCTTTCCCAGGACCTCTGGCTGGGGAGGGGTAGAGGGCAAGCTGTTAGACTGGGGTTTACTCTCTGGGGTGGGCTGAGGACCAGAGGATTTCCGGGTGACCCTCACAGAGGATGTCTCGCTGCCAGACTCCCCAGTACCGGTGTTGTTGGACATAGTCCTGCCCTCCCGTTCAGAGCTCCTGGCGGGTCTTCTTCTCCGCCTGTTGCCCTCTCCATCCCCCTCCTTCTCCTGCCAGCTCTGGGCTGAGCAGGTGAGGAGGCGCTCTTTCCTGGTTTCGCAGGGGTCCGAGTCTGAAGAAGAGGACCTGGACTGCCTCCTCCGAGTGGCGTTGGTGGACTCTTTCTCCGTCTTCCCCTTTCCCTTCTCTGGGTCAGACAGAACCTCTCCTCGCCTCCTCTTGGCAGGTGCTCTCTTCTCTGCACTCTTCTTGTGTTGGGCTGACCGGGTGGGAATGGATGTGGAGCACACAGAGGAGGGAGAAGAGGAGCGCACAGACTCCTGACTGCTCTGGCGACTGAGAGGCCGCTTCTTGCTGGCGGCTTTGTCATCTCCACCGCTCTCCTCTACCTTCTTCTTATCAGTTTCCTCTGGCCGAGGAGCCACTGGAGTCTCTGGGTCAGAGTGTGAGGGAGTGGAAAGGACAGAGTCTTTGGCTTCAGGAGAATTCCCCACTTTCCTCTTTTTCGGTTGAGAGTCACTACTCTCCTCCTCTCCATCCTCCTTCGTCTTTTTGTCCTCTTTAGCCGCCTGGCTCTCTACCTCCATGTCGGTTATCTTCTCTACCTCCATGTCGGTTATCTTCTCTACCTCCATGTCGGTTATCTTCTCCGAATCTCGGTTCTGGGCAGTCTCCACTGGAGCAGGCTCCACAGCCTGGTTCTCTGTGGCAGCTACAGCAGTAGAGTTGTTGGAGAGGGTAGATGTAATAGGAATTTGGGCCAGGGGGAGGACTAATGTTGAACTTGGAGTGGGGGCTGGGGTGGATATCTGGGTGAGGATTTTGGTGGTGGTGGAGTTGGGTACTTGGGAAGGGGTGGGGGTTGGCGTATAGATTGGGGTAGGAGTTGATGCGATGGTTGTGGCAGCGGCTACAGTAACGGTGGTGTCAGTTCTAGTTGGGGCTGCTGTGGGGGTTGGCGTAGCGGTGGTGACAGTTCTGGGTGGGGTTGGTGTAACGGTGGTGACAGTTCTGGGTGGGGGTGGTGTAACAGTGGTGACAGTTCTGGGTGGGGCTGCTGTGTGGATTGTGTTGGGAATTGGAACAGCGGTTGTGGTGATCAAGGTTGGGACTGGTGTGTGGGTTGGTTTGACGGTTGTGACAGTTGTGGTAGGGGCTAGTGTAGCACTTAGTGTGGTGGTTGGTATAGGGGCTGGTGTAGGGGTTGTGATGGTGATTTTGGTAGAAGTTGGGATGGAGGCTGTTGCAGGAACTGCTGTGATGGCTGTGGTTCGGGCTGATGCGACGGTGGTGACTATTATACTTGGGGCTGGTGTGGAAATTGTGGTCAGATTTGCAATTGAGGTTGTGGTGAGTTTTCTAAGTGTTGGTACATGGGTTGCAACAATTGTGGTAGGGTCCAGAGTAGGGGTTGGTTTGACATTTGTGAGTGTTGGTGTAGGGGCTGGAGTGGGGGTGACGGTTGGAGTAGAGGCTGATGTGGACATTTTGGAGATTTGAGCTGGAGTAGGGATAGTGATTTGGGCAAGGGGAGGAGTTGAGATCTTGTTGGGGGTAGGGGTGACAATTTGTGTGGTAGTTGTGGAGATTGGTGGAGAAGTGGAGACTGGCGGTGAAGTGGAGACTCTAGGTCTTGAGGTGAGGAATTGGGCAAGGGTTGAGGTGAGGACTGCAGTTGGAATTCGAATGAGGCCAGAGGTTGTCCTTGAGGTAGGGCCAAAGGTCGTCCTCGATGTGGATACTGTGGGTAAGCTTGGGGTGGAAACTGTGGGTGAGCTTGAGGCAGGAACAGAGGTTGAGTTCAAGGTGGGGACTGTGGGTGAGCTTGTAGCAGTGACTAAAACCGAGGTGGAGATGGTGGGTGAGCTTGAGGCAGGGACATCGGTTGAGCTTGAGGTGGAGATTGGAATTGGGGTGGGAACTTGAGTTCGGCTTGGTGCAGGAATAGCAGTTGTGGTAAGGACTTGAGCTGGGCTTGGTGCCAGGATAGCAGTTGGGGTTGTGGTAAGGACCTCAGTCTTAGTGTCTGGTTTTAATGTTGCGGTGGAGTCCTCAGCTTTGGTAGAGTGTGAGTCTTGGCTAGTGCAGACAGCAGAGGAGGCCACAGTTTGAGGCTCAGTGGGGGCAGACGGGAGTAGTGGCTCTGTGTCAGCAGCAGCAGTGTCAGACAGGGAACCAGCTTGGCTGGTGGTGCTGGCAGTGGTGGGGGTTGATTTATGTCCTGCACCCACAGCATTCTTTACAGTTGTCGAGTCCTTGCGGGGACGACCCCGCTTGCGTTTTGGGGAGAGAGCGGAGCTCCCCTCCTCACTTGGTGAGGTGGACTGGGGAGGAGATACATGCTCTGGCCGGGGTTCCGCCAACCTGAGGGGAGTTTTGGGGGGACGGCCCCTCTTTCGTTTCACCGGTGGGGTCGAGTTAGCAACATTAGCGCCTGAGGACACGTTGCCGTCTTTTCCTGGCTGAGTGTCCATTTTCCTGTGGTAGTTCCCTCCCCTCCCTCGGCCCAACTCGCCTAACTGGGCCGCCACGCGAGACTCGCTCTCCAGCCGCTGCCGCACCGGCAGGTTCCTCAGCACCGGCATGTCAGGGGAGTGGTGGGGCGGGGAGTAAGGGGGGTAGCTTCTGGCAGGATAGGTGTGTGTTGAGGGGGATTCTTGGTCCTCTGCGAGTTTGGTGGTCGGTAAGTATTTTGAGGCAGTCCCTTTCTCTTCGGGTGTCTGGCTGGTTTTGTCAGGGGTTTGGGATGTAGTCTCTCTGCTTGGCTCGTCTGAGCCTCGGCCCGACTCAGCGTTCTCTGTCTCCTCTGATGAGCCTCCTCCCGTCCCGCTGCCTCTCCTCCTCCTCTTCCTGGGCTCCTTGTCCTCCACCACAGTCACCAGGCGACCAGGGAGCTTCCGCAGGACCTTGGCCGATGGGGAATGTTCCGGAAGGCCTAGCAGGACCTCCCCATCAGCCGACTGGCGCTTGCGTGGCGACCGGGAGAGAGGGCACACAGAGGGGGGAGACAGGGACTCCTGGTCCCTACTGTCGTAGTCCCTGGCCTGGGCAGAGTATGACTGATGGTCCACCGGACACGTGGACTCTGAGGAGATACACACTGACCTCTCCCTCCTGGGTGACCTGGTGTCTGAGTCCCCTGGTAGTGTCAGTGGTTTCCCAGCTAGAGGACTGGTGGCAGTGGAAGGCACTGAGCTGGAGTGGGACTGGGTTCCAAGAGGTGACGCTGCTGACCCGGATTTGAGGCTGGAGTCTCTAGAAGGAGAGGCCGGGGTTGTGGCTGCAGGTTTGGCAGATTCCTTTGCTGAGGAGATGTGGGCCCTGGGGTGCTCTGTGTGGGCCGGGATGGTGGTAGCGTCTTTGATCCCCCCTCGTCCTCTCAGAGCTGAGCGGAGTCTTTCAGGCACTTCTCTGGGGGTGGGGGTATCGGGCTCTGGCTCTGGGGAAGTGGGCGGTGGGGAGGCCGTGGCCCCTCGGAGCCTGCCGCTGGTCCTGGTGGAGGGGGCGCCTTTCTCTTTGTGTTTGCGTGGGCGACGGCCCGACCCGGGCGGCGAGGGCTCCTCTGCTGGCTGCGATGAGAAGTCCTCGTCCTCATTGTCCGAGGAGCCTGCGTGCAGCTTCAGGCCCTCCTCCTTGGCCTGGTCCAGCCCCTTCCTGGCAGCCTCCACCTGCTCCTGTAAACACCGGGGCTTTTTATTAGAACTTGGGTCTCTAATAGGGTGAACCAATCAAACATGGACACATGCCAAGCTCTACTAAATGCACTGAGAAATATCAAATCTTACCTCTGCTTGCTTTAACTCCTCCTTGCACACATCCTCCAGTGATGCCTCCAGGAAGTTCATAGCATAGCGCTCTATAGGAGTGAGCTGAGATATGGGGAAAAAAAGATAGGTCGTCAGGTTTGCAAAAAAGCTAAATCTGCTCAATATTGTCAAATAACACGATGGAATAGCCCAAAACAGGGATATTGAAAAACAATCACCTGCTCCACAAGAGCCGCTATCTCCTGCTCGGCCTTGGAGAGCTCCTCCTCTTCCGGCTCCCTCCCTTCACCAGCCTCGTCCAATGGGATGGCCTCGTTGAATTCTGCCAGTTCAGCTACCTGCTCTGCTTTGGCTTGGGACGCCGCCACTATGTCCTCCTCGTCCTCGGCACGACACAGGGCCTGTGGCAGAGAGAATGAGTTTATGGGAACAGTGCCACCTGGAGTATAGATTGATGTGTCTTGCTGACTTGTACAATTCATAATACATTAATTTCACCTCTAATAATCATGTTTATTCATCAAATAAAGCTTGTTTGTATGGAGTCAGTGCTGGGCCAAACACTCAGCTGCTAGTTTTTGGGTGTCTTCTAGACTCCTGCTGTTGTATGGTGTGGTATAAACAGGTGTCTATGGTCTGAGAGACACCTGCTCTGAACACACCAGTAAAACTCCAATACATCCTGTTATTGCCAGTGTGTTGGGTGACTGACCTGCTCCAGGATGGTGGTGCTCTGTTTGTTGCCTGTCTCCTCTTCCTCTGGCTGGGGAACAGATCGCTCCGGGGTCACCTCCTTCTTCTCCCCCTCAGTCACGTCAAATAGCTCCCTGATGGTTTGCTGAGAGAAGAGAGAGGAGTGTAGTTAGTTTTGAATTGCCCTCAATTCAGAGTGAATGGACGACGTCAAAGATTGTTATATCAGTGGAGACGTACCTGTTTGAAGAAAGCGGTGGTGAAGTTGCCTCCTTCTATGGCCATGTCTCCCAGCATCCTCTTCTGGTTGGCCTTCTTCAGGATGTTCTCCTCCACCGTGCGCTCACTGATCAGCCTGGGTGGGGAAGAGAATAGTCACACCAGACGCTCAAAAGACTAGCTAACATAGTGGCCGAGTAGAAACCACAGGCTCTGTTCCTACCACATACATATCTTCAAAGTAGAAGTATGCGGACTGTTCATGCTGCTTCTGGAGACTTTCAGCCCTGCCTGTGTCAAATCTAGAGGAAACTAAAAAACTACCATAGTCCAGAGATGATGACTTAGAGGGAGGTAGTGTCAGCTTGGTTCAACAGTGTAAGTAAGAGGCAGGGGAGTTGAGGATTTAAACACTGTACCTGTAGATGTGGACGTCGCGGGTCTGTCCGATGCGGTGGCAGCGGTCCTGGGCCTGGGCGTCCATGGTGGGGTTCCAGTCACTGTCGTAGAACACCACCGTGTCGGCGCCCGTCAGGTTCACCCCCACGCCGCCACTACGCGTGGACAGGATGAAGCAGAAGATGCGGCGGTCCGCGTTGAAGCGATCCATCAGGGACTGAGGGAGAGGAGGACAACAGTCAGCATCCTTTATCAGTTTCAGAAGAGTATTGAACTCCGGGTCAATTCCATTCAACTCAGCCAACCAAATCGCTGGAAAAATCCATGTCCAAAATAATTGAAATGGAATCGACACCCAACTGACTGAGTTGCTGAAGTCCAACACAACAACAGAAACCCATAGAGCTCAGGACTAGTCACAGCGCCCCTCACTTGTCTCTGCTCGACGCGGGTGCTGCCGTCCAGCCGGAGGTAGATGTGCCCGTGGTAGTTGAGGAACTGCTCCAGCACGTCCAGCATGCGGGTCATCTGGGTGAAGATGAGAACGCGGTGTTGGCCCTCCTTCAGCCGACGCAGCAGAGTGTGGAGTGTCTGTAGCTTACCTGCACACACACACCACAAAGTGTTATCATTCAAAGGCTCTATTGAGTTAAAAGGACATACCTTTTCTCCTTATTTTAAATGCCTCTGTCTTCAACTGAAGGACACGCTGCTCTGGCGAACTGAACCCAGAGACACAGAACGTGACCCTGAACCAGTGACCCTAGAGACAGACTGTGTCCCGTATCATCACTGAAGTAACAGCACTTCCACTTAACACAGTGTCATGGCCTGTACAAACACACAGCCAAACTGATGGTGTCAGAGTTCAAATTCCTCAGCCAATGCCAAGGTAAAACAAGACAAGTTTCCAAAGTCCTATGGAACACAGGTGTGTTGTCCGAGGAGTGGGGACTTACCGCAGTCGTACTGGATGAGCCTCAGGTCGGGGAAGTGGGTCCTCATGTTGCACTGGATGCGGTGCAGACTGCGTGTGAGCGGGGCCACCTGGGAGGAGAGCAGCGAGGTGAACACGGCCTGCTGGTGGCTCAGAGACGGAGGGGGGTGGCAACTGTGCATGGTGATGGTCGGAGCCTCCACCGGCGGGATCACAAACGTAAACCTGAAGGTGGGGAAATAGGGTACGATTAGAGGCATTTAGAAATGGTCATATTTACCCTTTCTCGATACCTGGGGCATCACAAGAAAGATGAACAGAAAGTGCTTGAAAACTGACACAACTGATTCAACTAATGAAGGGCTTGGTGATTAGTTGAATCAGGTGTGTTAGTGCAGGGCTAGAACAAAAATGTGGACTGTCTCATGGTTCCAGACAGTGGAAAGCACTGTGTTACCGTTCGATCATATCTTTGAGCAGCTGCAGCCTGTCCTCGGTGGTGTGGATGGCCTCCCTCAGGGCACGGCTCTGGTCCCAGTAGTCTGTGGTGCTGTGGGACTGGGCGAAAAGGCAGGCGGCGTGGCCCGAGCGACCCCACTGACCCAGGGCCCTGGGGGCTGGAGCAGGGCAGGAGCCCGGGAGGAAAGTGAGGAAGTCCAGCACCTCATGGCCGTACACGGGCTTGGCGCTGCAGTGCAGGTCGTTGATCCGGATGATCTGGGCCAGGCAGCTGTCTCGCTGCTTCTTGCGGCTGTCTGCCAGCCATGACTGACAAGGGGAAAGGGACAGTTTGTCAGTTGATAGGACAGCAACAGTTAAAGGGACATGACAGGAGTCAATATAAGAATGTTGCTGTGGGCTGACGACCAACAGAACTAAAAAGGTACTATTGTGGGATCTACGCTAGAAAATATGACAACCTCATAATTTCATACATGGTGGTTGAAACAAGTAACAAACAAAAGAAAATAGATTTGTAAATGAAAGCAGATGTAGCTAGTACCATATAGAAGGGGGAGCGAGGAGGTGGGCGAGGTTGTGCCCGAGGTCGAGGGGGGACAAATCCACCAACATGGGACCCTGATTTAGGAAAGGCTGATTTGGTGTCGCTGCTCTCCTCACGCGTCAACGTAGAATTCACACGAGCTAGAGAGGAGAAATGACTTGTTCAATAAAGGGATTGTAAATCCAGAATCAGTTTTTAAATTATTTGCATTAATCTCTTCACCTTTCTGTTCTGTGCTGGTTTCTGCTGGTCCCGTTACTACCTTCAGCACTGGGCGAGGGGGCTGGGACTGACTGGGGGCTGAGGTAGGATTACGAGGGGGGGCAGGGGTTCGAGGAGGGGCTGGGGTAGGGATTCGAGGAGGGGCTGGGGTTGGAATTCGAGGAGGGGCTGGGGTACAGGTTCTAATTGTGACTGAGGTAGGGGTTCTAGGGGGGGCCAGGGTGTATTGAGCAGTGGTGGGTCCGGGGTGGCGATGGGCGGTTTGCTGGGGGGCAGGAGTTCTCACGGCAGTATTGGCATGGTGGTGCATGGAGGTTGACGCCTGGGGGGCTACACGGGGAGAAGGGGGCACTGCCAGGGTGGGTACACCCCCTCCTTCCTTGCTTGACTGGCGTACCACGATCTTCACAATCCCAGAGCTGGTCACCATGGAGGAGGGCACTGAAGAGGAAAGGCGGGTAAGAACATGACCATCACTGAACCTCCTAAACAAGTCCAGGGCAAAAGACTAATAATGAAGATCAGATCAGTGACCATAGTCTTAAAAGGGGATGCTGCTGTACCTTGAGATGCATTGCGAGGCAGCTGGATTCCCGAGGGTACAGGAGGGGGGGGGGCAGCGTGGGTATTGGCTGAACTGAAAACTGCTACCTGGGCTGGCTGACTGATGAGGTGGTGCTGCCCTCCGCTTGTCACCAGATGCATGACGTTACCTGCGAAGTCCACAGTAAGAACCACACCAGTAAGAACCCATTTAGACACTCCTGTCAGTGCAGGATAGGATAGATACTGTACCACTGACTTAGACAGCAATATTGGTGTTCTGTATATCAGCACATTGTAGAGTTTTATGACATAAGCCACTTTGGTAATATACACACTGAGTGTACAAAACATTAAGAACACCTTCCTAATGTTGAGTTGCACCCCTTTTGCCCTCAGAACACCTTCAATTCGTCAGGACATTTACTCTACAAGGTGTCGAAAGCGTTCCACAGGGATGCTGGCCCATGTTTATTTATTTTTGACTCCAGTGCTTCCCACAGTTGTGTCAAGTTGGCTGGATGTCCTTTGGTTGGTGGACCATTCTTGATACACACAGGTAACTGTTGAGTGTGAAAAACCCAGCAGCGTTGCAGTTCTTGACACAAACCGGTGCGCCTGGCACCTACTACCATACCCCGTTTAAAGGCACTTAAATATTTTGTCTTGCCCATTTACCCTCTGAATGGCACAGATACACAATCCATGTCTCAATTGTCTCAAAGCTTAAAAGTAATTATTTAACCGGTCTCCTCCCCTTAATCTACAGTGATTGAAGTGGATTTAACAAGTGACGTCAATAAGGGATCATAGCTTTCACCTGGTCAGTCTGTCATGGAAAGAGCAGGTGTTCATAATGTTTTGAACACTCAGTGTATCTCCATGTACTCTAGTTAGTGCTGGGATCTGATCTAACCTTGTACTGGGCGTGGAGGTGCCACGGGAACCTGGTGAAGCTGGGTTCCAGACAGGGTGAGCTTGTTGCCCTGCAGCTGGAAGGTGACAGGCTTACTGCCCTGGCACGATGACACAGGACGCCCCGCCAATGAGGCCAGTTGGGCGATACTCACTACCTCCCCAGCTGAGATAGAGAGAACATTTTAAGACATTCAAATGTAGATGAGTTTCATGTCACCAGTAGGGATAAACAAAAAAAGGTAATTCATTTACATTCCAATACATTTTCAGTTTGTTCTTATGCATTGTTCATGCACATTGGTTGCCCGACAGAGAGAGTTTGAGAGAACGGCAGGTACTCACAGGGAAGCCGGGCCTGCATGTCTGGGCTGAGCAGAACCCGTTGGGTCACGACGTTGCTGGGAGGAGGGGTGGGATGGGTGGCGGGGTTGCAGGAGGTGGTGGGCGGGCGCACGGCCAGGACTGGCATTGGGGAGCCGGACCTCATGACAGAGGGGCCGCTGGGGTGCACTGGCGGGCGAGGAGGGGCTGTGGGTGCCACTGAACACACTGCTGAGGGTTCATGGAAACAAGGGAAGAGAAGACAGGATTACATTATGTCTGTGTAGAATAGAATAGTTTGTCTGGCTGAGTAGAAGTTTCCAAAATAAATGTTGAATGGAATTAAAGTTTAAAGGAAAACTCCACTCAAAAACTATATTTTGGTATTTTTTTGTATTAGTCCACTGTTGATACAGTCCCAAAATGTTTCGCATGTCAGCAGTCAATGTTTCAAGATATTGTACATTCAAGAAGCATCATATGATGCAAGACACATCATCATGTGGCAGGTGACACTATGCTTCTTTAAAGTCCAATATCTTGAAACATTGACTGCTGACATGCAAAAAATTGTGACTGTATCAGTGGACTAATGAAAAAATAAGTGGATTTTTCATTTGAAGCTGCGATATGCAACTTTTTGGGCTTGCCCCAAAAAAATCACATAGAAATGTGAGTTATAGATCTGTCATTCTCATTGAAAGCAAGTCTAAGAAGCGGTCGAGATCTGTTTCTATGTGCGCCATTTCGATGCTTCCCGTTTATACGTTTCGTTTTTTCACTTTCGGTTTTCTACACCAGCTTCAAACAGTTGAAAATACAATATTTTTGGATATGGAAAATATATTTCAGAGCGGTTTAGATGGTACAATGATTCTCTACACTACACTTTTGTCACATAAACAGAAATTAGGCAAACTATTAGAATTTTTGCAACCAGAAAATGGTGGAGCGATTTCTGCATAGTGCATCTTTGTATTAAATAAATTTGCTAAAATGTCTAAAAAACAGTTTTTGCTTTGTCATTATGGGGTATTGTGTGTAGATTGATGAGGGAAAAAATCAATTTAATCCATTTTAGAATAAGGCTGTAACGTAACAAAATGTGGAAAAAGTCTAGGCTTTCCGAATGCACTGTACTTGTAAATCCAAGCTATTTAGTACTAACCTTGTTGGACTGGCGGTGTAGGGGTAGGGGTTGGGGTCACATCCTGGATGAGAGGGGTCCTTGAGGCCTGAGCAGCAGGGGTGACAGGGCAGGTGGGCCGGGGTTTGTTCACCACCAGCACTGTGCGACCATCAGCCTTAGGTAAGGGCTGGAACATCCTGTTGACCTTCATGCGGACGGGTTTGGGACGAGGAGGGGGGTCAGGGGACTCCATGACCTCCTGGATCAGCTGGCGGGTGACCTTCCTGCAAGGCAGAAACACATCGGCCTGGTACCTGGACACGCTGCCCTCCAGACCCACCAGGTCAAACATGGACAGGTCGCAGCACTGGGGACGGAGGAGGAGGAGGGGTAAGGTTATGTAGGTTTAGATACGTATACAGTGGGGGAAAAAAGTATTTAGTCAGCCACCAATTGTGCAAGTTCTCCCACTTAAAAAGATGAGAGAGGCCTGTAATTTTCATCATAGGTACACGTCAACTATGACAGACAAAATGAGAAAAAATAATCCAGAAAATCACATTGTAGGATTTTTAATGAATTTATTGGCAAATGATGGTGGAAAATAAGTATTTGGTCAATAACAAAAGTTTCTCAATACTTTGTTATATACACTTTTTTGGCAATGACACAGGTCAAATGTTTTCTGTAAGTCTTCACAAGGTTTTCATACACTGTTTCTGGTATTTTGGCCCATTCCTCCATGCAGATCTCCTCTAGAGCAGTGATGTTTTGAGGCTGTCGCTGGGCAACACGGACTATCAACTCCCTCCAAAGATTTTCTATGGGGTTGAGATCTGGAGACTGGCTAGGCCACTCCAGGACCTTGAAATGCTTCTTACGAAGCCACTCCTTCGTTGCCCGGGCGGTGTGTTTGGGATCATTGTCATGCTGAAAGACTCAGCCACGTTTCATCTTCAATGTCCTTGCTGATGGAAGGAGGTTTTCACTCAAAATCTCATGATACAAGGCCCCATTCATTCTTTCCTTTACACGGATCAGTCGTCCTGGTCCCTTTGCAGAAAAAACAGCGCCAAAGCATGATGTTTCCACCCCCATGCTTCACAGTAGGTATGGTGTTCTTTGGATGCAACTCAGCATTCTTTGTCCTCCAAACATGACGAGTTGAGTTTTTACCAAAAAGTTATATTTTGGTTTCATCTGACCATATGACATTCTCCCAATCCTCTTCTGGATCATCCAAATGCACTTCAGACGGGCCTGGACATGTACTGGCTTAAGCAGGGGGACACGTCTTGCACTGCAGGATTTGAGTCCCTGGCGGCGTAGTGTGTTACTGATGGTAGGCTTTGTTACTTTGGTCCCAGCTCTCTGCAGGTCATTCACTAGGTCCCCCCGTGTGGTTCTGGGATTTTTGCTCACCGTTCTTGTGATCATTTTGACCCCACGGGGTGAGATCTTGCGTGGAGCCCCAGATCGAGGGAGATTATCAGTGGTCTTGTATGTCTTCCATTTCCTAATAATTGCTCCCACAGTTGATTTCTTCAAACCAAGCTGCTTACCTATTGCAGATTCACTCTTCCCAGCCTGGTGCAGGTCTACAATTTTGTTTCTGGTGTCCTTTGACAGCTCTTTGGTCTTGGCCATAGTGGAGTTTGGAGTGTGACTGTTTGAGGTTGTGGACAGGTGTCTTTTATACTGATAACAAGTTCAAACAGGTGCCAGTAATACAGGTAACGAGTGGAGGACAGAGGAGCCTCTTAAAGAAGTTGTTACAGGTCTGTGAGAGCCAGAAATCTTGCTTGTTTGTAGGTGACCAAATACTTATTTTCCACCATAATTTGCAAATAAATTCATAAAAAATCCTACGATGTGATTTTTTGGAATTTTTTTCCTCAATTTGTCTGTCATAGTTGACGTGTACCTATGATGATAATTACAGGCATCTCTCATCTTTTTAAGTGGGAGAACTTGCACAATTGGTGCTGACTAAATACTTTTTTTCCCCACTGTAAATGCATTTAGATTAGACTGCACAGCTCCAATGACACACCCCATCCCCAGGGGGCAATGGGAACAATAACCTTGAATGGGGAGACCTCCAGGGCTCGCTGTACCAGGGAGGCAGTGTGGAAGACGATAGGCTTGGTGATGAAGGGGGAGTGGATGGGCCGAGGGTCAAACAGGTTGGGGTGGTTACACACTTTACGGAGCTGCATCAAGATGTTGATCACAGACATGAAGTGACCACTAGCCAGCGTTTCCCGGGTCCTGAGAGAGATAGAAAGAGAGAGAAATACTGTGAGATGACGAAAAGGGGATTCCTATACAATGTTAACTAGTAGATGATCTAAGCAAACCTACAGTAGAAGCTGACAACGTAAAAACATTCTGGCAATGAGGAATAGGAATATACAGGTAAGTATTACTGGCAGAATTTCAAACCAATGAGCCCTCCTGCAATGCATCATTTGCTTCCAGTAACCCCCTTGTCCATAGAGACTTACGAGGCCTGTGCCATGAAGTCATCGTAGAGAAAGCGCTGCCTCTTGGACAGACGGCAGCGCACCACATGCTCATATTTCTTAGGCATCTGCTTCTCCACATCCACCTTGATTCTCCTCAACAGAAACGGTCTGAGCACCTAGAAGGAAAAACAAAAAGTTAGGTTAGGGAACAGAATGTCTTTCTCAACATGCACAAACATGTAAAACAGTACAAATCAAATCGTATTTGTCACATACAACAGGTGTAGACCTTACAGTGAAATGCTTACTTACAAGCCCTTAACCAACAGTTAAGAAAAATAAGTGTTAAGTAAAAAAATAGATAAGTTAAAAATAAAAGATTAAAAAACAAATAATTAAAGAGCAGCAGTAAAATAACAGTAGTGAGGCTATATACATGGGGTACCAGTACAGAGTCAATGTGCGGGGGCACAGGTTAGTCAAAGGTAATATGTATATGTAGGTAGAGTTAAAGTGACTATGCATAGATAAGAGAGTAGCAGCAGCGTAAAAGAGGGGGTGGGTGGGACAATGCAAATAGTCCGGGTAGCCATTTGATTAGCTGTTCAGGAGTCTTATGGCTTGGGGGTAGAAGCTGTTAAGAAGCATTTTGGACCTAGATATTTGGCGCTCCGGTACCGCTTGCCGTGTGGTAGCAGAGAGAAGTCTATGACTAGGGTGGCTGGAGTCTTTGACCATTTCTAGTGCCTTCCTCTGACACCGCCTGGTATAGAGGTCCTGGATGGCAGGAAGCTTGGCCCCAGTGATGCACTACCCTCTGTAGTGCCTTGCGGTTGGAGGCCGAGCAGTTGCCATACCAGGCAGTGATGCAACCAGTCAGGATGCTCTCGATGGTGCAGCTGTAGAACTTTGAGGATCTGAGGACCCCATGCCAAATCTTTTCAGTCTCCTGAGGGGGAATAGGCTTTGTCGTGCCCTCTTCACGACTGTCTTGGTGTGTTTGGACCATGATAGTTTGTTGGTGATGTGGACACCAAGGAACTTGAAGCTCTCAACCTGCTCCACTACAGCCCCGTCGATGAGAATGGGGGCGTGCTTGGTCCTCTTTTTTTTCCTGTAGTCCACAATCATCTCCTTTGTCTTGATCACGTTGAGGGAGAGGTTATCCTGGCACCACACGGACAGGTCTCTGACCTCCTCCCTATAGGCGGTTTCATCGTTGTCGGTGTTCAGGCCTACCACTGTTGTGTCGTCGGCAAACTTAATGATGGTGTTGGAGTCGTGCCTGGCCATGCAGTCATGGGTGAACAGGGAGTACAGGAGGGGACTGAGGACGCACCCCTGAGGGGCCACAGTGTTGAGGATTAGCGTGGCAGATGTGTTGTTACCTACCCTTACCACCTGGGGGCGGCCCGTCAGGAAGTCCAGGATCCAGTTGCAGAGGGAGGTGTTTAGTCCCAGGGTCCTTAGCTTATGGTGTTGAACGCTGAGCTGTAGTCCATGAATAGTATTCTCATGTAGGTGTTCCTTTTGTCCAGGTGGGAAAGGGCAGTGTGGAGAGCAATATAGATTGCATCATCTGTGGATCTGTTTGGGCGGTATGCAAATTGAGTGGGTCTAGGGTTTCTAGGATAATGGTGTTGATGTGAGCCATGACCAGACGTACAAAGCACTTCATGGCTACAGATGTGAGTGCTACGGGTCGGTAGTCATTTAGGCAGGTTACCTTAGTGTTCTTGGGCACAGGGACTATGGTGGTCTGCTTGAAACATGTTGGTATTAGACTCAGTCAGGGACAGGTTGAAAATGTCATTGAAGACACTTGCCAGTTGGTCAGCGCATGCTCGGAGTACACGTCCTGGTAATCCGTCTGGCCCTGCGGCCTTGTGAATGTTGACCTGTTTAAAGGTCTTACTCATATCTGTTACAGAGAGCATGATCACTCAGTCGTCCGGAACAGCCGATGCTCTCATGCATGTTTCAGTGTTGCTTGCCTCGAAGCGAGCATAGAAGTGATTTAGCTCGTCTGGTAGGCTTGTGTCACTGGGCAGCTCACGGCTGTGCTTCCCTTTGTAGTCTGTAATAGTTTGCAAGCCCTGCCACATCCGACGAGTGTCGGAGCCGGTGTAGTACGATTCAATCTTAGTCCTGTAGTTCGTCGGAGGGCATAGCGGTACTTCTTATAAGCGTCTGGGTTAGAGTCCCGCTCCTTGACAGCGGCAACTCAATGCAGATATTGCCTGTAATCCATGGCTTCTGGTTGGGGTATGTATGTACGGTCACTGTGCAGACGACGTCATCGATGCACTTATTGATGAAGCCAGTGACTGATGTGGTGTACTCCTCAATGCCATCGGAAGAATCCAGAAACATATTCCAGTCCGTGCTAGCAAAACAGTCCTGTAGCTTAGCATCTGCGTCATCTGACCACTTCTTTATTGACCGAGTCACTAGTGCTTCCTGCTTAAGTTTTTGCTTGTAAGCAGGAATCAGGAGGATATAATTATGGTCAGATTTGCCAAATGGAGGGCGAGGGAGAGCTTTGCACGCGTCTCTGTGTGTGGAGTAAAGGTGGTCTAGAGTTTTTTTACCTCTGGTTGCACATTTAACATGCTGGTAGAAATGAGGTAAAACGGATTTAAGTTTCCCTGCATTAAAGTCCCCGGCAACTAGGAGTGCCGCCTCTGGATGAGCGTTTTCCTGTTTGCTTATGGCCCTATACAGCTCATTGAGTGGGGTCTTACTGCCAGCATCGGTTTGTGGTGGTAAATAGACAGCTATGAAAAATACAGATGAAAACACTAAATAGGTAAATAGTGTGGTCTACAGCTTATCATGAGATACTCTACCTCAGGCGAGCAAAACCTCAAGACTTCCTTAATATTAGATTTCATGCACCAGCTGTTGTTTACAAATATACACAGACCGCCACCCCTTGTCTTACTGGAGGCCGCTGTTCTATCTTGCCGATGCAGCGTAAACCCTGCCAGCTGTATGTTATCAATGTCATCATTCAGCCACGACTCGGTGAAACATAAGATATTACAGTTTAATGTCCCTTTGGTAGGATATTCGTGATCGTAGCTCGTCTGGTAATTAACAGTTCATTTTTATTTAACAGATAATCTGGACCCTCCTATATACTCTGACCAATCCACACCCCCTTGCCCAACTGCACGTTTCTCCATCTACAGTGGGGAAAAAAAGTATTTAGTCAGCCACCAATTGTGCATGTTATCCCACTTAAAAAGATGAGAGAGGCCTGTAATTTTCATCATAGGTACACGTCAACTATGACAGACAAATTGAGGAAAAAAAATCCAGAAAATCACATTGTAGGATTTTTAATGAATTTATTTGCAAATTATGGTGGAAAATAAGTATTTGGTCACCTACAAACAAGCAAGATTTCTCTCTCACAGACCTGTAACTTCTTCTTTAAGAGGCTCCTCTGTCCTCCACTCGTTACCTGTATTAATGGCACCTGTTTGAACTTGTTATCAGTATAAAAGACACCTGTCCACAACCTCAAACAGTCACACTCCAAACTCCACTATGGCCAAGACCAAAGAGCTGTCAAAGGACACCAGAAACAAAATTGTAGACCTGCACCAGGCTGGGAAGACTGAATCTGCAATAGGTAAGCAGCTTGGTTTGAAGAAATCAACTGTGGGAGCAATTATTAGGAAATGGAAGACATACAAGACCACTGATAATCTCCCTCGATCTGGGGCTCCACGCAAGATCTCACCCCGTGGGGTCAAAATGATCACAAGAATGGTGAGCAAAAATCCCAGAACCACACGGGGGGACCTAGTGAATGACCTGCAGAGAGCTGGGACCAAAGTAACAAAGCCTACCATCAGTAACACACTACGCCGCCAGGGACTCAAATCCTGCAGTGCCAGACGTGTCCTCCTGCTTAAGCCAGTACATGTCCAGGCCCGTCTGAAGTTTGCTAGAGTGCATTTGGATGATCCAGAAGAGGATTGGGAGAATGTCATGATGAAACCAAAATATAACTTTTTGGCAAAAACTCAACTCGTCGTGTTTGGAGGACAAAGAATGCTGAGTTGCATCCAAAGAACACCATACCTACTGTGAAGCATGGGGGTGGAAATATCATGCTTTGGGGCTGTTTTTCTGCAAAGGGACCAGGACGACTGATCCGTGTAAAGGAAAGAATGAATGGGGCCATGTATCGTGAGATTTTGAGTGAAAACCTCCTTTCATCAGCAAGGGCATTGAAGATGAAACGTGGCTGGGTCTTTCAGCATGACAATGATCCCAAACACACCGCCCGGGCAACGAAGGAGTGGCTTCGTAAGAAGCATTTCAAGGTCCTGGAGTGGCCTAGCCAGTCTCCAGATTTCAACCCCATAGAAAATCTTTGGAGGGAGTTGAAAGTCCGTGTTGCCCAGCGACAGCCCCAAAACATCACTGCTCTAGAGGAGATCTGCATGGAGGAATGGGCCAAAATACCAGCAACAGTGTGTGAAAACCTTGTGAAGACTTACAGAAAACGTTTGACCTGTGTCATTGCCAACAAAGGGTATATAACAAAGTATTGAGAAACTTTTGTTATTGACCAAATACTTATTTTCCACCATAATTTGCAAATAAATTCATTAAAAATCCTACAATGTGATTTTCTGGAAAAAAAATCTCATTTTGTCTGTCATAGTTGACGTGTACCTATGATGAAAATTACAGGCCTCTCTCATCTTTTTAAGTGGGAGAACTTGCACAATTGGTGGCTGACTAAATACTTTTTTCCCCCCATTGTATGTCAGCCTTAGTTCTTACCTTATGTAACCTCTTGACCAGGCCCTCGTTGTACTCTTGGCTACCCTCGATCATACCGGTGAGGGGGTTGGAGAACCACTCCTTGAACTCTCGGTGGGATTGGAAGACGTGGGGCATGAGGAAGTGCATCAGGGACCACAGCTCCATCAGGCTGTTCTGCAGCGGGGTGCCTGTCAGCAGCAGGCGCCTCTGACTGGGTCCAGAGAAAACATTTAAATGACAGTAGGTTATCATTTAAGTTTATTATATTCTAATGGACGAAGAACTTTCAGCTTTAGTTGTCATAATTTGGACTGATATTGGTAAAGGAAGCATGAAGAGAAATGGGAACACTCGTCTGAAGGATTTTAAAAAAGCGCTATAAAAATCCTGTATTATTACTATTCATAAATGAGGATTATGATGTTCACTGGCAACACTTATACTGGCCATCTATAAACATCTCCTCCCTCCTCTGCCCTCCCTTAGTGTGGACCTGTTGAAGTTGAGCAGGCTCTGCCAGCGCTGGGACTTGAAGTTTTTGATGTTCTGGGCCTCGTCCAGGATGAGGTAGCGCCAGGACTTGCGTCGGAAGGCCTGGTGGTCCTGCAGCACCAGCTTGTAGGAGGTGATGCACACGTGGAAAGCGTTGGGCTTGGTCCAACCCTGAATAGAGAAAGGAGAGACAGGACTCTTTTCATTAGCTTATTGAAAGAGTGACACTTCAGAGGGCCAGGGCTTTTATCCACTTCAGTATGCAAGGCTGACTTTTTGTTCAGTTGGAATGAGACAGGAAGCACCAGAAAAGAGATGAGGCAGCACCAGTGAAGATTATTTTGGAACCCGCAAAGGAAAAGGGGGCGCCAAAGAAACACATGGAGGCGGGTGTTTGAGGCAGACACTAAGAAAACCGGCATGGGTGGAACTAGGGCTGGGCGATATATAACATTAAATTGATTCATTTGAATGTATGTTTTTGCGCGATATTACAAAATGCCTGTATCGCAAGAATCTAGGTTTTGTTATTTTTCGTTTTTATGAGCGTTTATGTCCGCTTGTTTTCATGTATTTTTGGTCTCCTCTCATTCGCTCCTCTGTGCTGTGTGCACCTTCCCCATTTACACCAGAGATCTATATATAATGAAGAGATGTACGTCTCCGCCCTAACAATGGGAGTCGTTGTCCCAAAGGCGGGAAGGCTGGAGACAAGCTTAGGTCCAAAATAAGCCTATAGAAACGCATTGGGGTTATTTTGGACATATTTTAGCTTCACCTCTTCCTCTATGGTTTACACACACACACAAAGCCCCTCCCCCTGCCTCACACGCCAACAAAGTTGAGAGATCACATCTTCCTCTCTGACAAACGGTTTCAACTCGATATTTGCATTTGAGGTTTGGTACAAAATAAAAATAAAAATCGGTAATATGGACACCAACACATTGAGACATTATTTTCCTGTAATAGAGAAGTTAACTTTTCAAACGATACCCTTTTTATGTCTCAACTACTCAAATTGCGCGCAGAGCAGACACTACTAAAACAAGAGTGTCAATGAACATTGATTCGCGGCATTGGTTCCACGTACCGTTAGTGTAACAGTCTTTGGCTAAAATGCTGCTATCTGTTTAGTCTTTTATAAAACGTGCAATAAGCATAAAACACAATTATATAAAGGAATTGGCAACTCGTTTTCATTCTGAGAAATAAGGTAGGCCACTTGATTTCAACATCTGAACAAAGTAGACAGGCTAACATACTTTTCAAACAGTTGGAGACAGAAGGGAGTGTACATAATTCAACTGTTCAACCTTGTTAGCTAGCAAATAGATCCAAGTTGGCTAAACTTGAAATATAAAGATTAGCTGGCTAATCACTTGCACGAGGGCTTGAGAGGTTGTTGATGAGACCGGTGTTAATTTTCTATAGCCAAATGCCTGCTACAAGAAGTTAGTCATTATTAGTGAATGTGCATTATGCATGGTTCTAGTTACATTTGAAACAAAAAGGGCATTTTCATAGATAGACTTGAAAGCCAGAAAAGTGATTGCAAAAAAAAAGCAAGTTAAACTATTTTGATAAAATAATTAAATTATTAGTGGGTCTTATGGTTGTGGAAGGCTTATATTTAGCTTAGGTATAACTTCACAAGCCCTGAATTCATTAGATTATTGCTGTATGTTTGAAATGCAGGGTATTTGACCTTTTAAATTGTACAACAACGCTTATTTAGAGAAAACATTACAAGAACAATTGAGATATACACTACCAATCAAAGGTTTGGACACACCTACTCATTCAAGGGTTTTTCTTTATTTGACCATTTTTTTTACATTGTAGAATAATAGTGAAGACATCAAAACTATGAAATAACACATATGGAATCATGTAGTAACCAAAAAAAGTGTTAAACAAATCCAAATATATATTCTATTTGAGATTCTTCAAATAGCCACCCTTTGCCTTGATGACAGCTTTGCACACTCTTGGCATTCTCTCAACCAGCTTCATGAGGTAGTCAAGTTGAATGCATTTCAATTAACAAGTGTGCCTTCTTTAAAGTTAATTTGTGGAATTTCTTTCCTTCTTAATGCGTTTGAGCCAATCAGTTGTGTTGTGACAAGGTAGTGGGGTACACAGAAGATAGCCCTATTTGGTAAAAGACCAAGTCCATATTATGGCAAGAGCAGCTCAAATAAGCAAAGAGAAACAACAGTCCATCATTATTTTAAGACATGAAGGTCAGTTGATACAGAACATTAAGAATTTTGAAAGTTTCTTCAAGTGCAGTCGCAAAAACCATCAAGCGCTATTATGAAACTGGCTCTTATGAGGACCGCCACAGGAATGGAAGACCCAGAGTTACCTCTGCTGCAGAGGATAAGTTCATTAGAGTTACCAGCCTCAGAAATTGCAGCCCAAATAAATGCTTCACAGAGTTTAAGTAACAGACACATCTCAACATCAACTGTTCAGAGGGGACTGTGTGAATCAGGCCTTCATGGACGAATTGCTGCAAAGAAACCACTACTAAAGGACACCAATAAGAAGAAGAGACCTGCTTGGGCCAACAAACACGAGCAATGGACATTAGACCGGTGGAAATGTGTCCAAATTGGAGATTGTTGGTTCAAACCGCCGTGTCTTTGTGAGATGGTTTGGGATGAGTCGGACGGCAGAGTGAAGGAAAAGCAGCCAACAAGTGCTTAGCATATGTGGGAACTCTTTCAAGACTGTTGGAAAAGCATTCCAGGTGAAGCTGGTTGAGAGAATGCCAAGAGTGTGCAAAGCTGTCATCAAGGCAAAGGGTGGCTATTTGAAGAATCTCAAATAGAAAATATATTTGGATTTGTTTAACACCTTTTTGGTTATTACTTGATTCCATGTGTGTTATTTCATAGTTTTGATGATGTCTTCACTATTATTCTACAATGTAAAAAATAGCAAAAATAAAGAAAAACCCTTGAATGAGTAGGTGTGTCCAAACTTTTGACTGGTACTGTATATTGTGAATCGGCCATAAGTAAAAAAGTAAAACTTTTTTTTTTAAAGGCCATATCATCCTGCCCTAGGTGGAACAAGCTGGAGGACTGCCCAGAACAGAGTGCGATGGAGAGCAGTCATCATGAGGAGCGATGGGCCTGAGTTAGTAGGTAACACTGAAGATTTGTATCCATTTACAAGGGGATTTGGTGATTGTTGGTAATGGTTTACCTGTCTCTTGAGTTTCCTCTCCTTCTGACTGCCATAGTAAGTGAGGATTTTGAATCCGGGACACCAGCGCTTCAGCTCCATCTCCCAATTCAACATCACACTGGTTGGCACGATGATCAGATGGGGCCCCCAGTTACCTGAACAACCAACTTAATTAAGTATCCGATATACAGGCTGTGTGCATTTCTTCTATTGTCCTTGTAAAATGTTGGTGTATGAATGGTTGAAAGGATTGTAATGAAGGACTCAATGTCTTACTCTTTTCACAGGCGAGGTGAGCCAGCAGGGCGATGGTCTGGATAGTCTTCCCCAGGCCCATCTCGTCAGCCAGGATGCCGTTGAGCTTCTTCTCGTACATGGTGACCAGCCAGTCCAGGCCGATGTGCTGGTACTCACGCAGCTGGCCCACCAGCAGGAAGGGAATGGGAGTCTTGACCTATTGACGAAGAACAAACAATTACATGAATAAAGAGATGCAGACTAGTTACATTTTACAGCATCATTGTGAAATCATAGACACCCAAGCCAGCGGAGGCTGGTGTCGCTTTAAAAGCGGAGGACGGGCTTATTGTAATGGCTGGAATGGGATGAATGGAAAAGTATAAACCTTTCCCTTAAGTCATCAACAAGTTTATAGCAAAGGATCCTTGTTTCATCATCTGGCCAGTGACGCAAGGCATGGGTTACCCACCTTGGTTGTGGCAAGGGTGTAGCCTTTGGGCTGGAGGCTCTCTGCAGTAGCAGCAATGTGGCTGATCTCCTTCTTGGGCCGCGGGCCGGTTGGTTGAGGGGGGCTGTGGTCCCCCTCCTTCAGCAGGATCTCCATCCCCTCATCGCACTCATCTTCATCACTGTCCTGTTCATCAATGTCACTGACCTCTTCCTCTTCACTGTCCTCATCATCTGGTTAGTGGTTCATTGAGAAGAGGCGTAATGCAGTGAGCATGGTATAATCAGGACAAATGCACAAGCTTGACATAAAGTAAAAGCACTTTAAAACATAGTTTTTTGGTTTGTAGTGTGAAGCTTCCAAGAGCTTTCGCTAGGTTGGAGAGCAAATATGTTTTTAAAAAATGTTGTGGGCACTACCTGAGGAGGTGGTGTTGCTTTCCACATCACTTTCGTCTTCCTCACTCTCCTCTTCCTCGTCTCCAGAATTTTCCGACTCCTCTGTGCTGGCGGGAGAGGCGGACGCCGACGGCTCCTCGAAATCAGAGGCATACGCTCCTTTGTACTTCTCCAGCAGCTCCTCCACAGTCATGTCACCTGGGAGGGAAATGGGAAGAACATAAAGTTTAGAACAGTCTTGAATAATGGAGGTTATGGCAACCGATAGGGATATAGCAGTTACTTGGAGCTTTTAATGACAATAGCTTAAAAACAACTACGTAGCACATTGGACTAAACATCTGTGCAGCAGATACAGCCGTTTTAGTAGTGTGGGTGGTACCTTCTTTAGCCAAGTCATCAAGCTCTCCTGCGTGATCTGCTTCCCCCTCCACCACCTCCTGGGCTGCGATGGTGTCCTCCTCGTCTTCAGCTGAGCACCACAGACAGAGAAAAATAAATACACCAATACTCACAGCCAAGTCACTAAATTGACCAATTATCCATTTAACAATGCACAACATCAACTGCAATGGTATTAGTAGGGCCTCACCATCCTCTTCGTTGGCTGTGAACTCTTGGTCTTCCTCCACTGTTGTTGACGAATTGTCTGAGCACTCCTCTGCCGAGTCCTGGGGAAGTAAAAAAGTCACGTCTCCACCAAATAAAAACATTTACAGTTTTAAAGTATGAACAATGGAAGTTGTAATGGGCACCAACTTATACAAAGGAAGGGCATGGGAGTGCAGTATGCAAGTGTAGGAGTGAGGGGCTTTGCCCAGTCGGTGCCAGTGGTACCCACCTGTGAACGGGGCCGTTTGAGGGTGCTGAGCAACTCTGCCAGGGACATGGTCCCCTCCTGTCTCAGCAGCTCCATCTCCCTCCTCTGGGTCTCGGCGTCATTTCCATCCTGCGCCTCCTCCACATCAATGGTCTCCTCGTCATCTTCCTCCTCACCACATGGAGGCTCAAAGTCTAGGTCTGCAGGCGGAAGGAGAAAGAGAGAGAGGAAAGTTCAATCTGGTCCACTCCCCATATGGCCAGTCTGTTAAGGCATCTGGGCTGGAAACTGTGCAGGATTCGGTACCAGGCTTTTTTGAACAGTTTACAATCTCTGGCAAAGTTTCGCTTCCATTATGCTAGGTCAGGTCTGATGATTGGAATGTCAATGCACTTTAGAGAGGTATAATTGCATAATTTCTGGCCAGAATTAAATGGCAGGAGATGAGACTGGCCTCTTGTCACAACAGCGCTTTCTCTAGTAGTTGAGCAGCCCTTGTTCTAAAGTCACTGTTGACCTCCCAATGGCTTGCTGCACAAACAGCAATTTGTCAGCAGCCTAACCCGACAGAGCTGACAGCCACAGCCAGTCTGGTCGCTGGACTGGCATCACTGAGTCTGACAGTTGCTAATGGAGACTAAACAAAGGAGCACTAGTGTACACCTTAGCAACAATCTTACAGAATAAGCTTTGGACTAATAATAGCAATTGATTGCATTTAAATAGCACTTTTCACAAGGTCTCAAAGCAACGCATCCACCAACAATGTGTAGAACCAACTGGTGGCACACAGCAGGCATTTTGCACCAGGATGCACAACATACAGTACATCAGCTGAACTAAGAGCGGTGGCTACAACAACCTCCTTATGTTGTAAATTATAGGTAGGTAGGTAGGTAGGTAAGGACTAGACAGCCTGAATTGAGGCAATCTGGATTCTCAATAAACAATTAGCAAAGAAACACAGTTCTCACCATCTTCATCCACAGCAGGTGGAAGAGCGTTTTTGGGTGGTGAGGGTGACGGTTCAATGTTCCCAGCCGGTGCCGTTTCCAGGGCCTGACTGAGGAGGTCGGAGTATTTCTCTGTCTGGCCCACGATGAAGTCCAGCTGGAGGTCCAGAGCCTTCTTCCTCTTCTCCTCTAGCCGGGACTGCTGCTTGTACTGCACCACCTTCTCAACACTGCCCCAGAAGGCCCGGACCTCCTTGGCTATGTTGGAGGCGACTCGTCTGATTTTTGCATGCTCGTCCCGCTTGGCCTTCTCCTCCTTTTGCCTCAGCTCCTCGTGGTGTCGCATCACCATCCGCACCACCTGCAGAAACATACATATCTATTGAGTTCCTTTGAACTTTTTGGACCTAACCTGAAATCATGGTGGCAGTTAAAGGAAAGATTCACTCATTTTGAATGTTATACAGTTTTTGCGCATCTCTGAGCGATGTTCTATCGATTCCCGGGGTCACTTCACGTTTATCTGAACTATTGCCATTGAAGCTGGCAGAAATACAACCGGTATGACAAGTTTTGTTTATTCAAACCACCCGCGGGCCAGATTGGACCCTCTCGCTTTTACACCCCTGCTTTAAGCAATCAATAGGTAATACCAATCTCTCTGCATTATGGATGCCACTTTGGATGGATGCCAAGCGGTGTGAAATGAAAATGATCTAAAGGGGTCTCTTACCTTCCTGGCGACCCCTCTCTTCCACCTTCTCTCCTGGGCAAAATCAGCAGAGAGCCACTGCATCTCCTCACACAGGTAGTCCCAGTGCACCTTGGGCCGGAGAGGCTCCGTCAGACGGGTCAGTCGCTTCATAGACCAGAAGCCTTCCCTCTTCAACGCTACGGTCCTGCCCTCTATCTCCGCTTCCTACAACACCACAACACAGTTCACATCCGGAAGCATAGAAATAAAGCCACTCAAGTTGCTCTCTTTAAAACGACTGAGACAGTCGTTTAAAATGAAAAACAATTCACAGTTGACATTTAGGACAAAAGGTCAGAAGGATGAGCAGGAGAACGCTGACTCACATGTTTGGCCAGTTCGGCCATGTCTGCGTGACGCTCCATGCGGGGTCGATAGGGAGTGACCGGGTCCGATGGGGAGGAACCTCCCGGGCCCATAGAGGGCGGAGAGAGGAACCTGCCCCTTGGACCTCGGAGAGCGAGGGGAGTAGTGCTGGGAGTCCAGTCACTGGAGGAGGATGGGCCAGGAGAGGGGGATGAAGTAGAAGGAGAGACAGGAGATGAACTTGGAGTGACCCTGTCTGATATCCACTGGCGTACCTGAAGATAAGAAGGAAATTAGGACTTTTGAGCAGGACCATAACAAGATTGTGCCTACAGGAACAGAGGCAAACATGCATAGAGATCACAGCAAAATATGTCTCAACACGATGTTGTACATCAAGCTATCAACAATTCTCTTTGAAATCACATGCAGCATTGAATAGAAAACTTTTTAATATTCTGTATCCTACACCCATTCAAACTGTGCAGTGTGTGCACCACCTGCTATCTCATGTGAAAATGTCAGCTGAATGATGGTTCAGTGATCATTCTGCAAGTGTGATCCTATCTGAGCGTCTGATAGCCACTGCTTACCTTTGAGAAAAGGGCCTTTCTGTCTGGCCTGCTCTGTCTCTGCTCATGCTGGAAAACACACATGGCTTAACATGCGGCCAACTTTAAATCACTAGGGCAAAACACTGCATATGAAAGATAATTTCATGCAACAAATGGAGAAACAATCTTCAGAACAGAATGAAATGCTATAATTTGAAAACATGCTGAAAACATGCTGAAAATTAACATTTTAAATAAAAGTATGGAATTATGCCTGCATGTTCGTTTTTGATCACTTGAAAAGTGCCATGCTCAAAAACTAAACTGAATGATAAACTTTCCATTTGTAGCTTTGCACTTTCAACAGGATTTCATGGAATTGCCTCATTCAAATATATCGCAGCACCGACTGAGCCAGCTACATTTTCCTACATTTAACTAACCATAGCATATTAATTATAGGGCAAACGCGGTCAACCAAGCAAGCTTCAAACTGAAAACGGAGTTTATTATATCACTCTCCCTTTCAGTTTTTGCCGAATTAAATGTTTCACAAAATTGCATATCAACACATTATGCCTTCATTAAACAATGAAAATACGCATAATAAACAAGTATACATAGAGTAGCAAAACTTGATTATTGTATGCCGCTGGCAGAGCAATAATCTTACATGCGAAAATAATTATCTGTTGATACATAGCGATATAATTGCCGATTTGGCAGCACATCTGAAGGAAACAGCTAGGCCTACATGGAAAGCCATTTTGGGGCATACCTTGCTCTCTGCTGGGCTGTGGGTGACCATGCTCCTGCGGCCAGGCTTGGCCTCCACTGCCAGGTCAGCCTCCCCATCACTGCTCTCCTCCTTGGCGCTGCTGATCCCTGGGCCCTTCACACCAGCTAGCCGTGGCCGGATGACGGGGGGTGGTCCAGACTGGCTTCCATCACAGGAGGAACTGGAGAGAGTACTCCTCGTCACATTGCCTGATGATGAGGGCAACTTGGGGGTAGAGGGGGGCTTGGAAGGTGTGTTGGTGGTGGAAGTTTTGATCGAAGTTAAGGTCTCTTTGTCAGATTTGCATGGTGTGGGACCAGAGGAAGGGGGCAGACGGGGCTGGGATGGGGTGTTTGTAGCGGGAAGTGCTGCTGTGGTTTCTCTCGTGACAGAGGGCTCTGTCTGGTCTCTATGAATGCCGAGAGGCACAGGCTCCGGCACAGAGACCGCGGCTGACACAGCTTTGGGAAGGCACTCTACTACAGGCGCTGTGTCTGAGCCACAGCTGGGGCTTCGAGCGCTAGCATGTGTCAGGCTGTTGCTTTGCTGCATGCACACCCCTAACAATAAGGAGGGTGGATGTTTGAGGAGAGGCGTGTCCCCACGCTTTAATAGAAGGAGCTTTGGGTCGATGACGCCAGAGAGTGCGGACCGGGAAGCCTCCGGTTTGTCCTCGGTTGTTGTCACATTAACAGTACTATCAACATCCTGCTGGATCTGCGCTGGGGTTTCTGACAGAGTTGGACAGGGCTGTGGATCTTTGGTCCCTTCATGAGAAGAAACACAGGGCTCCGGTTCTGTAGTATTTTGTAAGGTGACTCCTGGTACCTCTTTTAGAGGAGGACAATTCTGCTCTTTACCCTCTGACAAGTGTACGGTTATTGGCAAGGAGAGGACCTCAATACTGTGTTGACTGGTTGACTGTACAACAACCTCTGTTAATTCTTCCATTGGGGAGACAAGAGAAGATGTACTGGTCGTTGTTCCTACTTCGGTTTCCCCTGGCAGCTTTTGGGTGTCACTCAGACTGGTGGTTGGGGAAATGCTCACCCCTCTATGGTCTGAGACAGCTGTGCTGGTCTCCAGACAAGGTGCTGTAGCTTGTGTACAGGTGTCCGTCTGTCCATCTGTTGTATCTGATACTGGGACAGTTTTGACTAAATCAACCTTACTTGAATCTCTCACCACAGCAGTGTCCGTTTCAGTAGTTGTGTTTTTGGCCTCTAAATTCTGCCTTTCATCAGTCATCTCTACATCTCGTGTGGAGAGACTAGGAATAAAGTCATTTGAACAGACCTCCATTTCTGAGAGACTGTGATCTGATGAAAGGGGGCCTTGCTGGATAATGACTTGATCATTGTCATTACCCGTTTGAGGGGGAGATGGCAGGTGTATGTCTTGTCCCTCACTGGCTGTACAATTCTCAGAGTGTTCAATGAGTGGGGTGAATAAGTTTACTTCATAGCTTGGGGAGAGAGACAGTCTCTCTCCAACAACTTCAGTTGCAATCTCCTCCTCCGCAAAGCTATAAATCTCAAATTCTCCTGCAGCCAGTTGGGCCATTTCGATATCCGAATGGGTCCCTTCGATAAATGACTTTAGTTCTCCAGAAGAAAGTTCTGAGTTTAATTCAATAACAGGATGTTCTTCCAGGAGGATACACTGATTAACCTGCACCTCCTCAGACAACTCAAGGCTGGTCTCTCCTCCATGCATCACAGCTCCTTGAGCATCAGTTGAGAGGACGAGCTCAGACACCAGTGGAGTCTCCATCCTGGTTACGTGGTCAGGATTACACATCTGAATTTCAATAGATTTTTCTGTCTGCATTGAGTCTAGTTCTAAACTGGGGAGGTGGTGGATATGAGGGGTTGCTGCTGTTGTTGACGTCTCCTGTAGAAAATAGCTTTGTGACTGGATTGTAAGGTTGGGTGAGGGCTCTGCCGTTTCAGTCTCCTCCTCTGCCCCATTAGTCTCAATCTGTTCCTCTGTCGGTTGAGGGGGACTATTCTCGATATCGCTCTCACTCTCCTGTCGGTCAGTTGTGTAGCTTGGGGTGGAATTTCCACTGCCAGGGGGCGTGTAGGGTACAAGTCCAGAGTATTTAGCTCCTGGCTGTGGGGTCCCGGATATGTCAGTTGGTGGGGCTGGGAGTGGCGTTTGTGTGTGTGAACTCCCAAGTGTGACATGTCCACTCTCAGATTGTTCTGTAGGTCTTTCAGGTTGTTGTGGTCCCTGCCCCACCGCAATAGCTCCCTGCATCTCTCCTTCGTCGTCATTCGAGTTCTGCATGGTGATTTTAGGTTCTGTGGAGACGTCGGTTTGTCTCCTCTCGCCATTGTCAGTGACGGGCTGCTCAGAATTTGGGAGAATGCCTGCCTCTTTGACCTCAGACAGAGGTCTGTGGCTGGCCTGATTCGCCTGTGTAGGCGGAGTTGTTTGAGGCTGCTCCATCCCTCTGTCTTCTTTGTGGTCTGGGACTGCATCTTTATTTGGGCTGAGGGTAAGAGGGGAGGCTGTTGAGAAGGATTCAGAGGAAAGGTTTCTAGCTGGGTGTTCCCTGCCAAGTTCCTCCATTCCAGTCTCTTGTTTATATTCCAATTTCTCAGTCTCTGTGAGAGGCTGTCCCTGTTCTGTCCCACTGACGTCCACCAGTCCACCTGCACCTCCCTGCTGCAGAGCCTGGTCCTGACCTGGTCCAGCAGCACTCCACTCTGACCCGCTCGTCTGTCTGTCTGTGTGGCTGCGGTTATCAGTTTGTGACCCGTAATGTGAATCTTGCGCTGTTCCTTCCATCTGTATGTCAGAGAATCTGTCTGAGTGAGACTCTGTAGACACACTAGGGTCCTTGGGGTGCGATGGACCCAATCCTCCTTGGACAGCCTCAGCACCACTATCCGACATGGCACCACTATCCGACATGGCACCTTCTTCAAGGCTGTCCTTAGTTTTGCCGTTGGGGTGACTCTCTGTTGGTGCGTTCTTTTCACTGACGTGTACGCGTCTTTCCGGCTGTGACGTGGCCGTGTTATCCAGTGGTGGGAGGGGCGCTGCGGGGACCGGATGCAGGGCATGCTGGGATGACCCAGCCACATTATGCGCAGCCTGGGGGTCGCCACCCAGCACATCCACAGCCGGAGGGGTGCGCTGCTGCACCACCTCCTCCCCAGAGCTTTCTCCCTCTGTGCTGCTCTGGCTACACACTGCACCTGGAAGAAGACAGAGGAAGTCGTTCAGTTGGCGGAGATAAGTACAGTACATGCATTCAGAGACAAATAGTTAAATAACTTGTCAAACTAATCAGTGTCTCTGGTTAAAAAACGACCTATCACCTGTCTGTGGTGTGGGACACAGATCTTCCGTGCTTTCCTCTTCCAGGATGCTGATTAAGGTCCGGTCCACATATTCTGAGGAAAAATAAGTGTTTAACCCCAAAGAGTCCAATTATCTATTCCACGGTTCTCTTGACTACAATAAAATGTTCCATACCATGGAATCATAGAACCACAAATGATGGTTCTACTCTAGTTTCATGCGTTTCTCTGAAGAGTCGCATAAGTGCACATTACTGGCCAATGGCAATGAATGAATTTGGCAACATAGTTAGGCCTACACTGTAAACTATTCATGAATCAAACGTATTATATGGGGGGGGGGGGGTGTTGTATGAGTCAAAGTTCACAACGTAACGTTATAATCTTCCTACAGAATTGAGCAGATATGTTTCGATTTAGCGACTACTTGCTAGCATAGCTTGTAGCTACAATTGTTATGTGGCATTATCAACATATGCACGCGCTCTGGTTTTAATGTCTATGAGTTTGACGCACGGGCCTCCAGCCATTCAATTCAGTGTAGCTACACTGTTGCAAATGCAATTCATTGCAGGGTCTACTAATCTGGACATGGCATGTGCAGTGGTAACATTTATTTGTGTTCTTATAGCAAAGTGACACTCGACCTACAATGTTTCGTGCTCTTCAGATAGTATCGTTTCAATAACTTGATTTAGCTAGTTAGTCAGTTAACGTTCGGTAGCAACAATAGTCCCTAGCTAGCTAGCTAGCAACAATAGTACCTAGCTAGCTAACTAGCATGCTTGCTAGTTGACTATACAGCTTTATCTATATGAGAGTTGTTGGCCCAAATACCGATGCATTCAACTAGGAACGCACGCGCCCCATCCCACCCGAAGTTATGTAATGGTCTGGGCCTTTATACATTCATGTGTTATTTGCTTGAAGCGAAAAGGGTTCTAAGAAGCCGAATTAAACCCCACTTCCCCATGCACTACCGAGGGGAACAATTACTCGTGACGTCATTGCGCGGGGTCAAATAATAACCACAAAAACGAAACATTGACATCATACATTTATTTAGTGAATCAATATAAATGATTTAACTTAATATTAAAATAATGACAAAATACATTGTTGTTGTAATGTTTCTTGCTAAAATTTTGCAACGATTGCGAGGGGGATAAAGGGGGGTTCGAGTGACCCCACGCAGGCACACAGTTCAAGACTTGTGAAGTAACGATGTGGAGAGCTGGTGGAAGCTCTTGCTAAATCCTTTTGCGCCGCAGCAAAATTGACTGGTATAAGGCAAATTCCATGCCAAAGCCACTGTTTGGCCATGATGCTAGCTAGATAGCTACATGTTCTAGCTGCAGGTGAAGTATACAGGGAAGGGAATTAACAACTTTATAATTGCGTCGTCAATGACACGTGTTTGATCTATACTGCAGTGGCGCATGCAGAAAATAACTTTGGTAATCCCCAATTTCATAAATAGATTGTCAAAAGTAGCTGGATGCTGTGTCCCGCCGCGAACAAGCCCCCCCTAGTTCCCCCCACTACTTCCTCCATGCCCCCCCCTCCCCTCCCTTTCTCATGGCCGCCATCTTAAGTTCCCACCTACCTGAAATTTCCGAGCTGTTTTCTTTTACTAAATTCTTGTTGAAGGAGTCGTCATCCGGATAAAATCGTACTCAATCCGTGATGATAGTATTCCAAACTGTCTCTCGGTACCCAACGAGGTACGAGTAGGTCCGTGGGAAGAAGTTAAAATACGGACCGAAAGAGAGCGGGTTCGGCTCGCCGAATCTAGCGTTTGCGGGGAGGAGACTTTAGACGCAGCGAAATGGTGGAGAACCGCTGCTGACAACGTGAAGAAAGTATTATCTCGCGAGAAGTTGCCAGGCGCGCCACTGCAATTTTTGGGACAAGTAGTAGGAAGACAGTGCGTTGATTGCTTTAGTTGAAATTAGAGCAAATCCCATGATCATTTGGGGCAAATGTTTTATGTTGCCATTCTCTGGTTGGATTTTATATTATTTAAATTAATTTACCTGGTTATTGCAAATGTTTATTCTATTTGCATAGAAAAGTACATAATTCCCCTACTCCTGCACCTTTCTGTAGTGTTTGTGGTTTCTACTAACCCAAGTGGACTCAATATGCAAAAAAGGAACCTTATAAACCTTATAAATCCAAATATCATCCATTACTAGATACTGGTAGATAAAAGCTTTAATCGTGAAACAGATAAAATCAGGGCTTTGAATGTGACAATAAGCACATCACCATTGTCATATCAAGTTATCTATTTGACAGGAATATGAATTACCATGACTTGTTTAGTGGTCACAAAACAGTTAGCTATTTACCATTATACAGAGGGGTCAGGATGCTGCAATTGAACTAGGTGCTTGCCTACCATTGTCTCTACTGAAGGCGTTAGTGCTGGGCTGGAACAAAATCCTGCTCTCCAAGGTCGGAGTTGGAGCTCCACGCTGTACGCGCTCTCCAAATAAACTTGATTTCTGGAAAGCACAAAAGGTACATAAAGATGTGGTCAGTCATCCCTTTGAAGTTGCTGAACTCTAACATCTATTAGACACCAAGACAATCAAAGCAAATAAGACCCACACAATCAAGTAAACAACAGTTATTTTAATAATTAATCTTTGTGGACTCTAGGGGAAGGGGTTTGAAAGGTATAAAATGGTCTTATTAAAATAATCGACCCAAATGTCTTTTCCTCCTCTCAGTATACCCTCAGTCCAGTCATGTGTACCGATTCTTTTTTCAAGCCTCCCGTCCCATTCTTCCATGTATATAAATTATCTTTGTTCATGGAGCATCCCTGTGAAAATGACTTGCCGGAAGGCATTCATAGTCCAAAATGTGATGTGACACAAACACCAACACAAACCTCCCTCTGTGTTTTCATCATATATTCAAAGATCTGATCCATGAAGAGGCCAGAGGTTGTTATGGTTGTGTCTTACTCACGTTCACAAGCAATTTCTTTTTCCGTCAAACAACTTTTACTGCCTGATCTGGAACAACTTTAAAATTGTTACTAAGAGGGGAGTGCATTGGTGATACCTGAAACAATGACAAATAACATAAAAACAGTGAATATATTTATTATCATTATAGAAGATAAATGTTAACAATAATAATTACAAAGGCAATTTCACTAGACTACTCTATTAGGGTCCTGCTCATATGTCAAGTCAGAAGATAAATATTGTCCACCGTGTCTGCACAGTTTATATCATCATTCTTTCTTTTAAATACAAGAGGTGGAGCAGAGGTTCTTAGATCACAGAGTGGTGAGGTTGAGGGGAGAGGAGGAGCGAAGAACAGATGTACAGTTCTTTATAGATTTAGAATCTTCAAAAGTTTCATCATTAATCTAGTCTTTTCACAATTACAGAGGACACAAAAAAAGAAAACCATAGAAATATACTGTGCTACCATAATTATTTAGCTCATCCAGAAAACAGCCCAACATTTTATTTATGCAAAGGGATTTATATATCCTATGAGTTAGAACAACAGAAGGATGAACCATTCATGTGTAAAAAATGTGCACATCTCTCTAAGAGTTCATCTTATTCAACCTGAAAAAGCTTGCTTCAAACCTGATCATATTCAAATGGGAAAGCCTTTTCTCTGCCTCTTTGTACAGCTACCATTATTGTATACATCATATGGACAAACAACAAACCTTCTTAAAATAATAAAACACTAGGAAGCACAGAAACCATGTACCTTAAAATTGCACTGACAGAACCATTGTGAATAATATACTGAGTCGCCCCCAGACAAGTCTCCTTGTATCTTTTCCCTACCTTCAACCCCAGCAACACCCTTTGGGGGGGCTCATTGGTCTAGAGTAGGGATGGGCAATTCCAGTCCTCGGGGACCTGATTGGTGTCACACTTTTGTCCCAGCTAACACACCTTACTTCAATTATCAACTAATCATGATCTTCAGTTGAGAATGACATTTGTTTAAAATCAGCTGTGTTTGGTAGGGATGGGGAAAAAGTGTGACACCACTCCAGCTCCCGAGGACTGGAGTTGCCCATATCTGGTCTAGAGCCAGAGTGAGCTGTGTGTTTCAGGAAGCAGAGTGAGAGCGGCACAGTAATCCTGACGTTTCCCTTTGACTCCTCCGGTGTGTCCCTGTACTATCTGGACTCGCCGTCTTTGTGAGAGTACATAGCCAAGTCCCCGGGCCCACCCAGTCTGCGGGTCGGGGTGGAAGACCTGCTGGTCACAGATGGAATGAGCGGAGGGGGGGCTCCTACGGACAGTGCCCCCACCAGGCCAGCAGGGGTCTTGGCCAGGATGCCATTGGGCACATGGTGCGCGTGTAGAGGCCCCAGGCGGGAGTAGAGGCCAGGGTGGTGGGGCGATGGGGTGGAGGCTCCAGGCTGATGGAGGTGTGAGTGGGAGAGCATCCCAGCGTGCAGCTGCTCCAGGTGGGCAGAGTGAGAACCCGGTGGGAGGTGGGAGCCCGAGAGGTGCGGGTGAGAATGCATCCCGAAGTAGCGTGCCCTCTCAAAGTCTTCCCTCAGGATCTGGGCACGCTGCTGCTCATCCATGAGCCCGCCACCTTGGGGACCCAGCTGGGGAGGGCGGTCGAAGTTGTGGGCCATCAGGCCAAACTCCTGGCGGGCCGAGGAGGCAGACGAGGTAGGAGGGTGGTGGTGAGGGTTGTTGGCAGCCACCGCTGCTGCCATTGCCGCCGCCCTCTCGGCCTCCATGAAGCGCTGGGCGTGCTGGTTCTGGAGCAGCCGGGCCAGGTGGGGGTCGGAGCGCAGCGCCAGGTGGGGGTCCGACCGCAGGGCCATGGCCTCTCGGCGTTGCTGCTGCTGCTGCTGTTGGGCGGCCAGCTCCCTCCATGGGTCCCATGGGAAGCTGTGAGGGTGCTGGCCGTGCCCCTGGGGCTGGCCATGGGGGTGGGTGGAGAACCTCTCTCCCCCTGGACCCACTACTATCCCCCCAGCCCCTTGTGTACTCCCCAGGTAGGCCTCAATGGCAGCCTGCGCTCGGGAGCGCTCCAGGATGGAGAGGTGATGGTGAGGGTTGTGCGGGTTGGGAGGAGGCAGGGGCACCCCAGGCGTGGGAGTCAGAGAGAGAGAAGAGGAGGGGGTGGCAGAGCGGTGGTGGTGAGGGCGGCTGTTGGGCCGATCGTAGTTGTGGCTGGGGGGCAGGGGAGGAGGCAGGGAGATTGGCACGGGCTCCGGTTCCTCCTTCCGCTCCTCCTTGACCTTGACTGGGGGGAAGAGGGGGGGAGGCTTGGGCAATGGGGTGGTGGTTCGGTCAGGCTTCTTGCCCTGGGACAGAGAGGTGACCATGGCTGAGGATAAGGCAGGGGGGCCACCCTCTCTCTGTGAGGTGTGGGAGAGTTCGTTCTGTAGGCCGTGCTGCGCTGGGGGCTGCTGACGGGGGTACAGATCTAAGGGCGAGGGGGCGCCGGGTCCCGAGGGCGGGGGAGTCGTCAGCACAGAGGAAGAAGAGGAGCGAGGCCTGTCTCTGTCTGCTGCAGCCGCTGAGGATGAAGGGCCTAGTGGAGGTGGCCTGGAGGAGACGGAGGGGAGCGGTCTCTTGTCCCCGTCTCTGTCCCTCTCTCGGTCCCTGCTGTGGCTGCGTGTCAGATCCTCAGTGAGACCGCTGGGGCCTCCCAGGGGGCCCCCGTGTCCGTTGATGTGGGAGACAGGGGTGCTGCTACGATGCTGCTGGAGCTTGAGGGACGGGGCGACCGGAGACATCCGCACAGGTTGACGACCATACAGCATATTGTCTCTGAAAAAGAAATTGAGGATAGAAGTTGATCAGTGGTTGTGGGGAGAGATACCAATTAAGCACTCAAATCAAAAACAGTATTAAATGTGTTGAGTAATGTGAACTGAATCAGACAGAAAACTACTATAGAAAGATAAGTTCAAGCATATTTAGGAACTAGGTCGAAAAAAATATGTTAGAGGGCGGGCGTCTGTTGTCTCACCTGTCTTTCTCGTCTTTGATGTGAATAATATCTCTCCTCTCCATGTCCTTCCCCGGGTCCCGATCGTCCCTCTTCTCACCCCCCTTGGCCCAGCTGGGGCCGGCGAAGGGGGGAGGCCCACCGTGCAGACGGTTCCATTGGTCATGAGGGTCGGGTAAGCCCCCGACTGCAGGAGGCTCCTTGTGGCCAAACACTGAGCTGTTAGCTGGAGACGGAAAGACATTGGAATAACGTCATTTTAGTAGACTGCACATATTATTATCCAAGGAGTAAGGACATAAACAATGGTTTCTTTTTGAGGAAGAGAAATGGTGACTCACCCAGCGTAGGGCTCCCCAGTCCCCCGAAGGCACCAGAGCCCAGGGCTCCGAGAGGGGCGAAGGGAGGTGAGCGGCCGTACGGGTCTGCAACACATATGCACATAAACATCAGGACTGATGCGGACACAAACCTTACAGCATTAGACCCCTGGCAATATTCACTACTAGTGTTCAGACTCACTGGAGCACATTAGAGTTGCATGCTGTAAAGGTACTATGCTTTAATTGAATATCTAGCCTAATAAGGTGTTTCAGTGACCTGCGAATATGCAAATCTAAGCAGTTTCTTGAGAGGGTGAATCAAAATGAGAACTGTTTACCGAGGGTGCAAGTGGCACTGATGCGCCCTTTGAAACAGTCTCTTACCTAAGTGTGCTGTTGGAGTGAGGAAAGAGGAGTGGGGCGTTGATGGAGGGATGAAAGGAGATGAGGATGGATTGACTCCACCTGAGGGAAAAAGGACACACCAAAATTACAAATAATATGCACACCTCTACATAATACTTTAAAGGCCCTGAACAGTCATTCTGAAAAGTACTTTCTCTCTCGTAGCTAACTACTAAGAAGTTTGAAAAGACAGGCTGAGTGGGCGGGGAGCTTATATTAATGAGCTCACCTTGACTGACAGCTCTTTGAAACGCCCATGTCAAACAACTTGGATGCAGTGAGCAGTTTTGCAGTAAAATCATCAAGCAAATTTGGTGAACACAAAGCAACTAAACATTGAAATCGCATCAATTATATATTTTTAAACATCTCCCGTTTGGCATGTCTCTTGTCACAGCAGTACTGACGATGTGTTGACAACTGCGTCTGCATTTTAAACAATCCTTCACCCCCCCCCCCTTTGTTCCATGCTACCTGAAGACCTAGCTAGCCAGTAACTAGCTAACACCAGACACAGATGTAAGGGGAAACATATAGGCATCTTTGCCATAGATGAATAGGGTAAACTTTTAATTATATTTGCTAGCACCCTACAGTGAAATTTTGGCACCAGTAGAGTAGCTTTCTAGCTATATAAACCACGTCCCTCTGTAAACACGCCTTCTCCGATGTTGGTTACAGGGCAGTACTTATTTAAATGAGGTACGAGAATATCATGTTACCATTGGTGTATTAAAATGAGAGTTCAGCTGATGTCCCCTTAATAATGAATCCAAGTGTTTGACATGGGGGATGGAACCCGTAACTTTATGATAAAACTTTATCAAGGTAGAAGCAACAGTCATTTTCCATCATCCCATTTCATGAAAAACATGATTGACTGTTCATGACCTTTAAACATTGCACATATCAGATAGAACATTTGATAAATCTACTATCGATAATAAAAAAATTATAAAACTACTGACTAACTATTTGCAATGTCAAGGAATCTTTCCTCTTTGCCTGAGGTTTTCAAAAAGCCCATAGTTCTCTCTCTATGGTGCAAACAATTGCAGCCCCTTTTCTTCAAACATATCTGGCTAGACAAAGAAAAAGCACCCACCAGCAGCTGTGAAGAGGTTGGCAGGTCGGTTCAGGTCGTGGGCAGAGGGGAGGCCACCTCCGAGGGGCCCCAGAGGGCCCAGACCCCCGGCCCCTGGAAGACGAGCCAGCAGCTCGTTACGGAAGTCCAGCTTGTGAGGATCTGCATGCATCAGCTGAGAAAGAGGAGAGTGGTGCTCAGTCAATGCAATGGCCATAGCATTGTTAAAGTGAGATGAGGGCGCCTAAATAGCAGGTAATCCAAGAAAGAAAACAAGCCGGCAGCCAGTATGATGCAGAAAAATTTAGTGAACTATTTACAGATAACATATACAAAATAATACATATAAATAGGAGCTGATTAGAATATTGTTTCCATATCAGCACGCACAACTGCAAATAACTTTTTCAATAAACATGGACAACTAAACCAATATCGGTACGATTTTTTATTGATTTGATCACATCTGATAAGAATGTTTGAGTTGCTTCAGTGGTCGAATTACCTCGAAATACTTTCTACTACAGATTGGATCAGATTGAAGTCTAATAAAAAGTGTGAAACATTTCACAAGTCATTACCTTCACCTTCTTCTGATGGCTCAGAATCATCCACGCTACCCGTACATGCATAGCACACCACTTCCCTGGTTTCTGTGTATTCAAAAACACATGATTGAATCTGTGATCCTGTTTAGCTTGCATTAAGATTTAAGCCCTTTGCACACAGAGTCAGATGCGATGGTGTTAATGTCTGCCGTATGAAATGTTCTGGCACAGCATAAACATGAGTATGGGGGAAAAGGTACAGTTGAGGTACAGTTTAGTTAGGCAAACATCATTAATAAACAATTATGGGTCAGTTTATTTTTCCTGGACAAAAAAAAAAACACATGATCAAAATCCTTCTGATTCCAAAATGAGTAATGACGGAAAGTTGCAGAGTTTCACAGTAGGTGTGCCAAAAGTCATAGAAGAAATCAGACTTGGTGTGCAAGGGCGTTTAGTCGAATAGTTTTAAATCTGACCAAGAGTTAGTAGGAAAACCAACAGTACAGTGACAGTATCATAACCCTTTTAAAAATGAAGCATTCAAGGGTTGATAAAGCATCCGACTTTGCTTACATTACTGACTTTCAACGATGTCCAAAATGGATCAGTTAGCTAAAAAAAAGAATAGTAAACCATGTTTGTTAAAGGCCCAATGCAGCCATTATTATAACAATATCAAATCATTTCTGGGTAACAATTAAGTACCTTACTGTGATTGTTTTAAATTAAACTGGTCAAAAATAAACAAAAATAGCTTCTTAGCAAAGAGCAATTTCTCAAGCAAGAATTTTGCTAGGACTGTCTGGGAGTGGTTTGAGTGGGGAGGGGAAAACAGACAATTAGCTGTCATTATAAGAGGTTTGGAACTCTTTCTAATTGGTCTATTAACTAATTTACCGCATGGTGATGTCACCATGAAAGGCCAAAACGCCATCCCACCAAAACAGGCTGAAATTTCAGGCAGTCTTTTCAAAACAGCTCTTACACTAAAAGGGCATTATCATAATTTTCACAATGTCATAGTATTATTCCAACCTCAGTGTGGAAATATATATAAAACACAGGAAAATCCTGTTTTTGACTGCACTGGACCTTTAATATGTTCCACCCTTTATCCAACTATTTGCTAATTGTTTTCCACTCTTTCCTGCACTGACTACTAGGCCCAAGTCTTTGCACATAATGCCTTTATTAGGCACGTGTATCGTCTATCAATACCAGCTCAATCCTATACTACAAGCTTCAGTTGTAACCATTGCCATCATATATTCTATAGTCATACTGAGCATCTTACCCTGGGGTCTTTGGACTGCAGGTGGTGAGGCACAACCCCCAGTCGAGCTGTCATCTCAGGACTCGTTCTCTGGGGGGCAAGAGGCTGTATCAAAACACAGCAAACGCTTCGTCATCTAGACACTACACCACCACAGATCATCATCCATTGACTTGTTTAGGGACAATCTATCAGTGAAATGTAGCTAAACTCCACTCACCTTAGGCTGGAAGGCTCCTTGCAGAGAGCTGAAGGGCCCAGTGGGAGGAAGCACAGGCTGGATGCCTGGCACTGGGGGAGCAGGGTACTGTGGGAAGAACTACATCAGCCACACACACACACACACACACACACACACAGGCTGGTTAAAACGACACTCCCCAGACCCCTACCACGTTCATCTCAACAACCACCTCAGAAATGTATAAACAAATACGCCAATTCTGGAGCATGTAAACATAAACTCACAGTATTTCTGTAGAGCCCCTCCAGCTTGCCATATTTTTCAAACTAAAAGACGAATACAAAAAGTGGTAAGTTACATGCCAACACTGGCATTTCAAGGCAGAAGCTGCTCTATGAAACCCAATGTGACAGGGTAGCATGTCATCTCTTACCAGGTGCTGAGGCGGTGTTGCGGAGGCGTTGGGGTGCAAGAAGGGGGTGAAGTGTTGGTGTGTATGTGTGTGCTGGTGCTGGTGCTGGTGGTTGTGCTGGTGGAATTGGAAGGCCAGGGGCTGGATGCTGGCCTGGGAGGAGCGGCCTGAGGAGCCCGAACTGGAGCTGGCCCCCGACGGACCTCCAGGAGTAGAGCGGCCTGGCCCGCCACCGTTAGTCTCAGCCCCAGGGACGCTGCGGCGGCCCTCGCGGTCCTGCGAGGCCAGGAAGTGAGAGTTCAGGCCCTGGCGCAGCAGGTCCTGGTCTGTAGTAGGGGAACAGACAGAGCAGAATGGAGTTATTATTATTAAATGAGCACAAATAACTCATTTTACAACACCGTGACAGTAAGCTGTCCAAGTACCCAAATGAAGCTAATAGCAGACCTGATTGGTAAATAAAAAACAAACATTTGCAATTATGGTTGAAAATAAAGGTGAATAGCACTACATATTGGTGCCAACTGTACAGTACCTGCTCCTGAGTGGGACGTGAGGAGAGGAGGTGGAGGGGGAAGCCCAGGGGAGGTGAACAGGTCACCAGAGCCGGCACGTGAAGGGGGGCATAGAGATCCTGACGACCCTGGTACTCTCATGAGGGACATCGACATACCGGTAGAGGGAGTTGGGGGTCGCATAGACGACAATGAAGAAGCAGCAGAAGAGGATGAGGGCTTGACTGAGGTACCGTTCCTAAGGAGAGTGAAAACAAGTTTAGACTAGAAAAGGTACATTTCCTGAAGAAAATGTGTGTGCTTGCTTCAGCTGTCTAAAAGTTGTAGTAGTGGAAGTAGTCGTTTTTACTGCAGTAGTAATAGTGCTGACTGCTAGGCAGACCTGGTAGTGCCAGTGACTGACCTGTTGTTGATGCCCATACTGTAGATGGATGGGTGTCGCCCGGGGAAGGTGAGGAAGAGCTTGTGTTTGGAGCGCGGCAGGCTGGGGTCGTGGTGGGGGCGGTGAAGGCCGTTGCTGCTGCCGTTGAGCTGGCCAGGTCGTGAGACCGTTGCCGGTGAGAGGGACGGTAGGCAGGAGGAGGTAGACAAGGGCTCGGGGTAAGGCGGCTCCAGGCTCCTCTCCTGGCTGCGCTCCAGGCCAGAGACACGTGGGGTGACCGCCAGCCGGGAGAGGCCACAGCGGCCTGGTACTGGTAGTAGAGGGCAGCCTTTTCCCATAGAGGCAACGCTCACAGGGATAGGCTCCATAACTAAAGGGCGAGAAAGAACTGCATTTGAACCAAAACGGAGAAGAAAGGACACTGCATATCTTCAAATGAGTGCATACTTTGTATCACACCAATGGTCCAAATGTGGAATCCGTACCCTTACCTATGTCATGGACAGTAATGGTTTGAGAACATTCCAAGATTTGAAAGATACATCAACATTACTAGGCAACTCCTTTTTTCTCTATTTACAATTTAGGTCAGCGATGCTGGCCTATGGAGTCTCTTGGGAAACCCACCTACCGAAACATCCAATAATGGGATTTATAAATCAATTATCTGGCATCCCGAAAAGACTGATCTCTATAATATATAAACACCTTTTGGAAAGATCATATTCTGAGTTAGCCTTTAAAAGGTATGGTCCACAGATCTAATTGAATCTGAACCACCCTTTAACTGGAACAGCATATGGAAAAACATTAACTTGGCATCCCGTAATCCGAACCACCAACTATACATTGTGTTTTTTCACAGACTGTATTTAACACCAAGGAAACGTTTTACGATAAAATTAGCCCCAACTCCCAACTGTTCAGTGTGTCCCCTAAATCAGGTAGGCACATTCCTTCATATGATGTGGGAGTGCCGTACAGTTAAAAGCTTCTGAGGCAAAGTTACTAAATTAATTTTAGAAGTGCATGAATTTAAATATTCAATGCTTTCCATCTATTATGTTACTTAACAATGATAGTTCATTGAATCTCTCAATCAGAGAAGAATCCTGCTGGAAGACAGCACTGCTGCAAAAAAAGATGTTGGCTCTTAGATGGCAACCACCTCACTCTCTCCCATTTAACCAGCGGACACAGTTACTATTAGAAGTTATTACAGAATTATCAACAGCGAGAACTAATGGTAATAGTCAAGGAACAATTGAGGCCTGGACAAATATACTTGACTCTAAAGAACAATCTCAGCTAAAGCCCAACACAATTATATTTATTTATTTATATAGACTTGTTACTTTCTTTGCTTTCAGGCCCACGGTTAAGGGGTGGTACGGGGGAATGATAAGCAACCTCTGTTGCTGGGTGGGATGTAAGGGGTGGGGGGGGGGGGCATGCTTTCTTCGGGTCGGGATGTGGTGGTGGGTGGGGGGGATACGGACAGGTGGATGGGGACTGAGGGGTGGAATGGGTTATCTTCGTATGCACTTATTTGATTGTTTTTGTACCTTTAACCCCCCTCTGAAAAAATATAAACGACAACTGAATAAAAGGTTGGTCACAAAAAAAATTAAACAATGAGTGCATACTGAAAACAAAGTCACCAAATGACAAGAGCATATTTATAAAGCAAAGGCATACAGCTATGGGAATGCGAGAACAGCATTTTACCTTTCCTGGTGCTGACAGTGAACATTGGCTCCATGTCATTGTCAGAGGCCTAAGGGGATGAGATGAGAGGAAAACGCAATAGGTCAATCTAAACCTAATCATAAGCAGGAACAATAGTGCTCCTCCCAAATGAATCTTAATTTTATGTGGTTTGATTCAAGCAGTGCCCACCTTATCTGCTGACTCGCTCTCTGTGTCACACTAAAAGAGAACATACAAAAAAGCTACATTTAGGTGTACCACAACGTTCATAAAACCGCAGCTGTATTCTATGGACAGCTTACGTACTGTATAAATAGAAGTATAAAGAAACTTACGATGTAGCCTGTCTCCAAGAAGAGGATGCCCCCAACCTAAAAAAATGATAACAGTTAATATGGAAAATTGATGGTATTCACCTTCAACATAAATGTTGGCCCAAGCCTTAGGCAGAGCAGGTGGGACATCACAGGTTAGCCATGATCTGTATCCTGAGTCTTCCAGAATCACGTTGTACTTCTTCCGCAACTCTCAGCCTTGTCGTTTTGAGGAGGGCGCTTGGCTTCAACGTTGTAGATGGGTTTATTGAGTTGCTATTCTTGCTTTCACATTCTTTGGATATGACTATTTCAGTATTAAACACCCTTGAATGTTCTAATTATACTGTGTAGGCTAACTGTTCGCTAGGTTGGGATGCATAACACCTGAAAATCCATTGTCAATGAGCAGTTGTACTCCAGATATAGTTTACCCATCGGCAGGGTATTTAGCAACTTGAAATAATCTTAAAGTCTGTCTGACCTTGAGTTAATAAATCCCCATCGTTTCATCAAAAGCTAGGCCGACACGGTGCTAAAAGGTGTCACTATTAAGTGTTACTCAGCCAGTGCTCTTACTAGGCCTGTAGGCTATTACAAGTTTATAACTTCAGTCTGAATATTTGAGATGGACAGACCAGCTAGTTTCCAAAAACATGACAAACAGGTCACAATAGCATTTAGACCAGACATGCAAATACAGTGCTTAAATGAGTGACTTTTAAACCCAAATGTGAGATGACAACCATTCCGCCGGTGTCTCATGCAGCTTACCTTCACCTCAGTCTTTCTTCTCTTTTTTCTATTCCTATTCCAACAGCTGCGGGAGAAGCTGGGTAGGGCCCCTTCCTCGGGCTCTGAGAGGGCCCCTCTGCCATTCTGCTTCGGGCCCCTCTTCCTCTTCCTCCCCCTTCCCATGAGCATGGCGGCACGTTGGGTAGGCTTCATGGAGCAGTCCATCTTGAGAGAAGATACATCTCAGTGTTAAACAAGAGGTACAAAACTGTTAGGTTTACTGAAACAATGTCAAACGCGTTGATTGACTTCCTAGTATTTGCCTGAATTTTGCACTGGTTTAAAGCAGCTCGTGTTCTGCCTTGACTGCCAACAAGGACCTTCTTGCCACCAACATTTAATTGGCCAAAAAACAAAAGGAGGAAGCCTCGACTGTGAGAATAATTTTTTGGGGGAAATTAATAGCAGTCAGTGATGACTTGCCCGGACACGATTTCAGACTGGTTAAAATGATATTGCATGTTTTAGCAACTCAGATTTTGAGGTTTTGTCTAAAGTATGGGTCAGTGCATGGATACTGGATTGGTGCCATTCAACTTCCCCCAGAGCATGCTACACGACATGACCAAAAGTATGTGGACACCTGCTCGTCGAACATCTCATCCAAAATCATGGGCATTAATATGGAGTTGGTCCCCCCTTTGCTGCTATAACAGCCTCCACTCTTTTGGGAAGTCTTTCTACTAGATGTTGGTACATTGCGTCAGGACTTGCTTCCATTCAGCCACAAGAGCATTAGTGAGGTCGGGCACTGATGTTGGGCAATTAGGTCTGGCTCACAGTCGGCGTTCCAATTCATCCCAAAGGTGTTCGATGGGGTTGAGGTCAGGAATCGGTGCAGGCCAGTCAAGTTCTTCCACACCGATCTCGACAAACCATTTCTGTATGGACCTCGCTTTGTGCACGGGGGCATTGTCATGCTGAAACAGGAAAGGGCCTTCCCCAAACTGTTGCCACAAAGTTGGAAGCACAGAATCGTCTAGAATGTCATTGTATGCCGTAGCATTAAGATGTCCCTTCACTGGAACTAAGGGGCCTAGCCCGAACCATGAAAAAAAGCCCCAGACCATTATTCCTCCACCAAACTTTACAATTGGCACTATGCTTTGGGGAAGGTAGCGTTCTCTTGGCATCCGCCAAACCCAGATTCTTCCGTTGGACTGCCAGATGGTGAAGCATGATTAATCGCTCCGGAGAACCCGTTTCCACTGCTCCAGAGTCCAATGGCGGCGAGCTTTACACCACTCCAGCCGACGCTTGGCATTGTGCATGGTTATCTTAGGCTTGTGTGCGGCTGCTCGGCCATGGAAACCCATTTCATGAAGCTCCCAACGAAAAGTTATTGTGCTGACGTTGCTTCCAGAGGCAGTTTGGAACTCTGTAGTGAGTGTTGCAACTGAGGACAGACGATTTTTCAGCACTCGCGGTTACGTTCTGTGCGCTTGTGTGGCCTACCACTTTGCAGCTGAGCCGTTGTTGCTCCTAGATGTTTCCACTTCACAATAACAGCACTTACAGTTGACTGGGCAGCTCTAGCAGGGCAGAAATTTCACAAACTGACATGTTGGAAAGGTGGCATCCTATGATGGTGCCACATTGAAAGTCACTGAGCTGTTCAGTAAGGCCATTCTACTGCCAATGTTGGTCTATGGAGATTGCATGGCTGTGTGCTCGATTTTATACAGAGACTAGTCATTGTTGGTATAATGTCAAGCCGATTCCTAAACCTTAACATAGCCTAGGCTATTTGTATCAACATAGGGTGCTTGGTGTACACAAATAATTAAGGTTGTTAAGACACATCAGTGAAGATCATTGTATTTGATGGCCTTCATTGTGGTTGTTGATTGGATTGCTTCTCCTAATTGTTCAAAGTGTAAATGAACTGAATTGTAAGAAGTTCAAACCACAACTGATTCACACCTGGAGGTGTGAAGGGATGTTAACCAAACTAGTTCCAAGGTGAGACTAGTGTCCAAGTAAAGACAAAGAGATAGCGGACAATCCACTTCTGTGGAGACCTATGGGTGCCTCCAAAAATTGTTGATGTGTGTTAGTCCGATTTATTCCAGGACCAAATGTTATTTACATTGAAGTCCATCATTTCTGAGTATTGTGTTATGGGTAAGATTGTGCTCACATAAGGAAATACACTTACCTCCAGGGCCTCAAAGCTGATGAAGCTGGCAATTGAGAAGCCATCGATGATGTCCTCCTCGCAGGACACCGACACTCGCTTCCTCCGCCGAGGAGGCCTGTGTCTGGGGCCGGCGAAACCGGTTCGACATTCTCTACCTCCAGGACCGAGGACAGATCCTGACCCACAAAGTTCCTTTTCCGAGCCCGATGAGGGAGATGTGGCCCGCTGCTCAGCGAGGTCTACTCTTCTCCTGCACCGCTCTCTGTCTCGTTGAGAACGGGAGCGTCGGCTCTGTCTGAACCCACTACTTCGAATCGGGCCTTCCATGTCAATACAAACAGCACCAGTCCCAGTCTGACCAAAGGCACTTGTAAAAATCCGGCACGGTGGCACTTTCCTTAGCCCAAAGCGAAACACCAAGACACAGGCCCACAACGGAGCCCCTGTTTAAAATGGCGTTAATAGTAGTTATTATTTAGCGTCTTTTTCGGACAGGATGGCATCTGTGCCTTTCTCTCGGCGAACTTTGACTGTCATGTCAATGCACAAAGATGCTATCTTTATTTCCAGAATTGGTGGTATTACTGTTCAGCAGGAGTAACCCCAAGAAGCTATTGTCAAGACATGGCTGATTCTGTCTCCAAAGCTAGCTGGCAAGCCAAAAACCAAATATGCGTATGTAAACAAAATCACTAACTCTAGCTAGCCAACTTACGTAGTTAACTGTTATTCACCAAAAACGTGTATTTTATAGCAATGTTACATTTACTGATGTAATACTGAAACGTAAAGCACACCCATCTCGTTCCCATTAAAATTTCGGCACGAGCTGACAAATGAGCTAGCTAAAATCGCTCATTAGCTAATGATAGCTTAACTGCTAACTAGCTAAATGGACGATAGCTCGCTAGATAGCTACCTGCAACGGCAAATCACCAGAGTAAGATATAATGTGTTGCATAGATATAACTGTTTAGCTAACTCATTTAGCGCAGCCACACAATTACTGTTATTCCAAGCAGCTAGACAGTTAACTGTTTTTGTAGCTAATTAGCAAGCTAACTTTAGCAATACATGAGAATTATGTTCACTTACTAGCTGCTACTTAGGCTAATGCTACCTAGCTACCATTTATTCAAGTGCTTTATTATGCTAGCATTAGGTAGCTAATTAGTTAGCCACTTTATTGTAAAACTCAATGTAACTAGTTATCACGGAGTAGGCAACGTTACTAGAGTAAAACGCATTATTTAAAAACCGTCTGAAGTATTGATTTGCACAAAATTCATAACTACCCTTCAACAGCTGGGAGTAAAGCTAGCTAACATTCTTTTTCCAGCCTGACGATGGGCCCGATACGAATGGTTGAATTATCGTAAAAGAAAGATCTACCTGGCTAACTAATCCACTTTTTTTGTTTTGTTTACACCAAGACTGACGTTATATGGCGACTGTTTGGCCACCCACCATCCGTGTGTTATCGATGTGTCTCTTCCTACACGAATTTGTTTTCGCATCACCACCATTAAAGACGAAATTATTCAAGGCCCTACTGAAGCCTCGGTCTTGAGTTCCATTGATGAGGGTGTCGACCAAGCCCCCGGCAGAACAACTCCGTCAGCGGCCCACACCATAATCCACTGTGTAGGGGGAAGTTATTTGCCGACGTTTCCGGTCAAACCAAATCTATCCTGACCACAGTCTTCAAATACACACAAAATAGCACGATTCTCCAACGACCTTATTATATTTTTAAACAAATTGGATATGAAGATTTAGGAGATACAACCCTTGACAGAAGTGCATTGTGTGCTTCAGCGAGTCCTCTTCTTCTATCTGGGTAGTTGGGAAATTGATACCACTGCAAGTGCCTTGCTGCCGCCAAGTGGACATAGTTGGTCTGAACATGTCAGGGTCTGTTTTATCAGATTTGTGAAACAAAATGCATTTCAAACGTTGCACTTTATGGATTTAACGTTAAGTCGTTAACTTACCACCTATTGATTTCACTCTAAATGGTTATATAATAAAGTCACTGGTCTGTGTCTGTGACTATCGCACTATGAACATGAACGCCATTACTTTTTGGTGCGCTCGTTTTGCAAGACACCGTGCCACGAAATTATTAATAAACATATCAATAAAGGGGTAATACTGCCAGTCTGTTTATTGATTGTCTCTACCAAATGTGTTTATGTATTGTTATACTTACTACACAGTAGTGAATATTAGTAATTTAACGATTTAAGTGGAAACTCTGCCTAACTGGGACATAAACGGCAAAAGTCTCCTTCCAAAACGAACGAACCAATGGCATTTATGACGCAAAAATCTTTATTACGTCATATCCTGCTAGGGGATGAAAGTGGAGATATCTTTATGCGGAAGTCCATTAAAGAAAACAAGTAGGTAGACTATTCCCGAATTAAAACCTTTGAAGACCTCTCAAACGGTATTTTCCTTTGCAATTGTCATTATATTGACATAAACAGACCTACGAAAGACTTCATACACGGTAAGATAACATGGAATAACTAACTTGTTGCTATGACTCAACTTCTTAGCAGCTAATGTTAGCTAACAAGGAAGCAAGCGTAATAGTTTAAACAAAGACATTACTCTGAGGTTTTAAGGTTCTTCTCGCCAGACTAACGTAATCAGGCCCATGCAGTTATGCATATGCCTGTTTGTTGAATTATTAGACTCCTATCAATAACCTTATAGGGCAATTTCACAACTTTAACCTCGTTTTCATTAACTACAGCACAATACCAGTGTTTACATACGTGAAAACGCTGCATTTCTGTTTTGTAGAAAAAAATATAAAGTTCTATCAGTTGACATCAAAAGTTAAAACATTATTTTCAAACACTATTGCCCTGTTCAAAACAACTGAGAAGTCAGAAATCTCCGACTTTAGTGCGTTCAAGACAACTGGGAACTCAGGGGGAAAAACGAGCTCCTACTGGAAAAAAATAGTTTTGAACTGTCATCGAAGTCGGAAATTGGGCATCTTATTAGAGCTTCCACTTTCCGACCAGAGAATCACTGACGCCATGATTTGACCTCGTTTTTTTTTTGAGTTCCCAGTTGTCGTGAAAGCACCATTTAATCCTACCTTGTGATGTCACAGAGAAGCATTTTTTTTAGGACCTTTCTTATTTTTGGAACCACAGATCATAAAAACGGGCCATTTACACACGTAGACACTGGCATGGTGCTAGAGATAATGATTATGAGGTTGAAAAGTGACAGAATTGTCCTTTAATCTTGAATGTTAAAAAGCAGTTTAATCAGGGTCCAGTTAGCTAGCTACAGTAACTGTATCTGATGAGAAGTTGGCTAGCTACATTAGCTATAAACAAGAATTTGTGTATGCACGAACTCTCACAAACAAACGTATGCATAAAAGTACCTAAAATGTGTGCCTCTTCAGGGGAAAAACTGGCATATTGTAAGTAATAATGACTGACAAGAGAGAGGTAGATTTGGATTGAATATGTAGCCTAATTAATTCCTGTGTTGAAGCCTTACAAATATCTGTTTATAGTTCCTCTTTTTGTTCCTAAGATGGAGTTCCTGTTTGGGAAGAGGAAGACCCCGGAGGAGATGCTGAGGCAAAACCAGAGGGCACTGACTCGGGCCATGAGAGATCTGGACAGAGAGCGACAAAGACTGGAGCAGCAGGAGAAGAAAATCATAGCTGACATTAAGAAAATGGCCAAACAGGGACAGATGGTGAGAGAATAAGAGGGCAAAGATAAGAGGCTTTAAAGGGGAAAAGTCTTGATGCTTTAATATCAATCGTTATGCTTCATTTTAAAATTCTTACTCCTCTGTTACCATTCCAGGATGCTGTGAAAATCATGGCAAAGGACTTGGTTCGCACAAGGCACTATGTGAAGAAATTCATTATGATGAAGGCAAATATCCAGGCTGTCAGTCTGAAGATCCAGACTCTCAAGTCAAACAACAGCATGGCACAGGCAATGAAAGGAGTCACAAAAGCCATGGCTACCATGAACAGACAGGTGATCATTGTTTCATTGTTTCATTGTATCATGTGATTGATTCCTGTTAAAAACACAATCCAATTCTGTTTTAGAGGATAACTTGCCATTAGAACTGTAAAACACTAATAATAACCCAAAACGTTTGTAGTCATTCTTGTTACCAGTGAATTGTGCCAATACATTCTATAGGCTCACGTCATATGTTCACTTCCCCTACACAGATGAAGTTGCCACAGATTCAGAAGATCATGATGGAGTTTGAACGACAGAGTGAGATCATGGACATGAAAGAGGAGATGATGAATGATGCCATAGATGATGCCATGGGTGATGAGGATGATGAAGAAGAGAGGTAGGGGGTTCATGACAGAAATTTCCAGCCAAATCATTAAAATCTCAAAACCAAATCAAATTTTATTTGTCACATGCGCCGAATACAACAGGTGTAGTAGACCTTACAGTGAAATGCTTACTTAAAAGCCCTTAACCAACAATGCAGTTTTAAGAAAAATAACTGTTAAGTAAAAATAAAAAAATAAGCCTGCACTACCTCAATTTGATCACATCGTTATTCGTGAATGTTATATTAAATTGTACTATTCATATTTTTTGGCATACTTTTGTTAGCTGGTAAATCTATGGAAACACTAACTCTCACTGTTTTATTTACAGTGATGCCGTTGTGTCCCAAGTGTTGGACGAGCTGGGTCTCAATCTCTCTGACGAACTCTCAAGTAAGGAATACAGTCAAGTTATTGCGCTTGCAGTTAGTCAAATTTACAACTGCATTCACTACAATGTTGTAGTAGTGATACAGCTGGTTGTCACTTCATCAAGATTCCTATGTATACTGATTGATTGGATTGATTTCCTTGCTGTTCATTTAGATCTGCCATCCACGGGAGGTAGCCTCTCCGTGGCAGGTGGGAAGAAAGCTGAACCCCAGCCAGCCCTGGCAGATGCAGATGCTGACCTGGAGGAGAGACTGAATAATCTCAGGAGAGACTGAGCGTGGAGAAACTGGCACACAACAGCACTTTGGCTGCCTGGCGTTAATACAGATACACATGTTCTCAGCAACTCAGATCTCTGTATCTAGATTTATTTGGGGAAGAGAAGTGGAGGAACACTGGAGGGTTTCAGTGAGAACTCCATGTTATTACGGTATATAGCTTTTTTGTTTGCAAGTATTGATATTTTTCGCTTGCAGTATGTTATCTTTTATCAATGACGGATCAGAATCATTATCCATACCACAATTGTTCTCTTAAAAATATGAAGCATTCTCTTTAGGGGGAATATTTTAATGAAGTGAGTTTAAATACACCCAAAGGCATGCATTACACTCCTTGGGTAAATTGTACACTAATGATTTTAAAGTGAATTTAGACTATCCTGTTAAAGTAAACGTTTTGTATATTTGATGTACAAGTATCACTACATTTGTACAACATTTCAACTTTCAGAGTTGTGTGCCTGAAGGCATACAGTACACATTATCAGATATAACATTATTAACATGATTTAGTAATGGTTTTACTGTTTGTTACTTGCTTGCTTTTGATTTACTTTGAGAGTTTGTATAACATAGGGATTCACAGAGGTTTCAAATTATTAATGGGACTGCGGAGAAGATGCTGGTCATTAAGTATATCCTTTACATTATCGTAACATCCTTTGTGTGAGTTAAATGACAAATAGGTAAATGGATTCGACAAAAATACTAAAGTGGGGTAAAATGTCTACCGTGTGGCAAATTTTCCTACATGTCAAATGTCCGAAAGGGGGCACTCGCTTAATGGTGCCTGGTAAAACTGAAATAACCTTTTATCCTAGGACTGCAGACGTTGTGAGTTTTCATGATAATCAACGTAATATTTATCAAAAGGTTAGAGGGTATGGTGGTTTATATAATAAATTATTTCCTATTTTGCCTTTATTCAATAAACATTTTTTACATTTGACAGTAAGGGGTAATTGTCTTACTTCAATACCTAGAAATGTGATAACATTACCCCCCCCCCCCCCCCTGACCACAACATTTGGCTAACAAGATCAATCTCATTTATGCAGTGGTAATAATACACTAATGCTCCCATTATTTAATCTTGCTTAAAGGTCTATTAACCACTCCATTCACATTGCTGCTGCTTTGTTTCATGGTGTGTAATGTTTGTACTTACATGCCCATGTTGTTCAAACTCAGGTTTCCCAATAGTATAATTCAAAGAGTTTTCTAAGAATGTTTGCACTCCATTTCTCTCATGGATATGGCCTACCATTATCAATCAATTTCAGAGCTCATCAATCTACATATCGAGAAGACTAAGCTTAATGTTTTTCGTTTTATTCCAAAACAAACTTTTGTAAATTATAGTCAACATACAATCAATTATCATAGAACAATAATACTGAATGTACTCAACACAAACATTTAAATAATACAAAAATAACAGCCATGTTTTTCATATTTACATTTGTTCCTGAAAGCAATGTACAGAACAATTTCGCATTATTTCAAAACCAGCCTGTATTTTGTGGTCTGTAGCGTTGGAGAGGCAGGAAGCCATTGAGCCAAAAGTAAAACTTTCAAGCGATAACACATGACAAAACACAAGCTTAACATCCCCAGGAGCTCGATACCAATATTGTTAGATATAGCTAGCATTTAAGGGAAGGAAAATACCTAGCATTACGTTTGAGTGCTCTAGCTGATTAGGCTACTCTAATGCCAACCCATGTTTTTTAAACTTCACAGTAGGACTGATATCTACATCTCAGTTATCTACTGCAATTTATTGTGATGTACTGGAAAAACATCCTAAAATGAAAAACTCCAGCAACCAATGAGTCATGCTTTCGAAATTAAATCAGATATTACTCTTCTCGGAATTGTACTAAGCGGAAATGTTTCATTTACAGCTCTACCATGCTGATCGTTGCTATCGTTTGGAACAGATTTGTCACCTCAAAAAAGACCATGCAGACTCGCATAATAAAATCATGAGAAAAAAAACAAAAGTGCATACTGTAGAAGACCAAAGGTTTTGAAATCAATTTAACAGCCAATTTTGTCTGCCAAGAAGTACTCAACCAACTTGATTTCATGATGCAAAGTATGGACAATCATTTTAGCAACAGAAGAGGACATTTGTTATCTTATATTTACTGCATTTGTTATAAAACTTACATGCAGAGTGAGGATCAAACACATATCCACACTTTAGTGCACAATAATAAAACCTTTCACTTGAAGCAGTGTCCACACATGGAAATATTATTACAGTTAATACACAGACAGGAAAAATAGTTCCGTTTCAATCTAAGCAAAACACCGAGCATGTAAACGCCAATGGCGCTTCCAGCACACAGGGTTAGTTGTAGCAATTTGCATATTGTACAATTCAAGCACTGCCAATCAGTCAAATCAGAAAATACCACTTCTCTTCTTACCCTTTAGATCACAGTCCCCAAGTTTCTAAGTCAGGTTGACAACTATGTAATAAGGTAGTAATAATCAAAAGCTACATATTTGAGTGATGATGCAGTAATTAAGTATTACATTACACCGAATTCCAAAATATTTGGAAATGTTTGTGCTCCCAGGTTTGCTTCACAGAACATGCTTATTACTAAATTGTTACTACAGACATACTAAGTAACTATTGTGTTTTACCTTATAATCACTTAGCTGTTAGTAGGGGTGCTGTTTTCCTAGGGGGGGGGGTACAGCTTTTCATTCATTTTGAGTAGTATGGGCACCAAATGTACCATAGCTAGCCAATTTGGTAGCCATTTTCCCCAATCTCCAGCAGCTCCTTCTCCAGGCCAGCTGGCAAGTGACACGGGAAGACAGTGGTTTACTTTTCCACAGACTACTGAGAGTAGTGACAGCCTAAACCCACAAAATAAAACTTTTCAAGTCTGGGAAAGGAAGGGGGCTCTCTCTCTCTTTTGCTTGACACACGCAGATACCACCTCACTTCCGACAGGTCCGGTGTGGCGTGTGTTTCTTGGGCACCTCGATGCGGCAGCGGCTTCGCTCGTCAAGCCAAGGCAGGTCAAAGTTCCTACAGCGGAAGACACAATTCAGAAATTGAAAAGATGACTGGAGGAACAAGGAAAGGGGAAGGTCACCGGGAAAATTGGACCCTTGTAACCTGAAAAGCATTTCACATTGGGTTATCATCCAATTGGCACATCATGTGTTGAATAAAGAGTCTGTAAATTGTTTTCAGACTCATTCTATAGAACAGTGTTGTCTCAATATGCAGACATGTTGATAATAATGACTGTTAGAATGGACAAATAACATTTCTTATCTATGAAAATGCGTTTTTGTATAGAGATTTTTTTTGTCTTTCTTGTCCATTTTCTTTAAAGGATTTGCAAAACTACTGGTATATAAATATCCAGTCAATATTTACCCCTTCAGATTATATGTTAAGGCTAAAGTCCCTTTTTTTTTTATTCACCATGTTGTCTTGAAACTGGCATTAACAATCATTCATAAAACCCTTTTTAAAATTTACACCAGTGTGCATTCATATTGCCCTCTTTTTCTAAATCATTAGAGCTATGCCCTCTTCTTTGAGACCAGAGGAACGAATAGGCAAGAAAATGCTTGCCTTTGAGACAAGTGTTTTGGGTGTAACATTTTCGGTTTGCTTAAAACTTAAAAATACATACTTATGGGGAAGAATAAATACTTGCATTTTGATGAAAGGTCTTTCTGTGAAACTCGCCCTGCCCCGCCACCATGGTACCATCTTGAAAAATAAATTATGCATAGTAATGGATGAACTCAAGCTAGTGGGAATAGTGACTTACATACCTAACTTATCCCCTAACTCACTGTACAAAGAAATGTCCAGCGACAAGCCTAACAGAAAAGTGAACCTATAGGAAAATTTCAAAACCTGACTAAAATAAATAACAAATGGACAAACAAATAACATCTCTGCAAACGAATGGTATATCAAATTATAAACTGGGTGGTTCGCGCCCTGAATGCTGATTGGCTGACAGCCGTGGTATATCAGACTGTATACCACGGGTATGACAAAACACTTATTTTTACTGCTCTAATTACGTTGGTAAACAGTTTATAATAGCAATAAGCCACCTCGGGGGTTTGTGATATATGGCCAATATACCACGGCTAAGGGCTGTGTCCAGGCACTCAACTTTGCGCCGTGCATAAGAACAGCCCTTAGCCGTGGTATATTGGCCATATGCCACACCCCCTCGGGCCTTATTGCTTAACTATATCCTTTGAATGAAAGATACACAAAAATGCATAGATGTGTTTGTTTGGACCAAGTGCTTGGAAAAGGGTGCCATGATGTGTGATGGGGATGTTTTCCTCTATGTTGAACTGAACCTACAACAAGTGTTGCAGTGGACAGAGAGAGGGGCAGAACTACCGGTGGTGGAAATCATTACTTACTGTTGAGTGAGCTTCGGCAATGGCCGGCCAAAGGCCACCACAGGCAGGAAAGGGGTGATGATTATGGACTCGACTAGAGAAGGGAAAGAAAATGAATCAAGTCTGTCTGCACGCAATGAAAACATTGCTCGTAAAACTTCTGTAACTACATGTCAGTATTAAAGGTGGTGCAACTTTACGGTTCTGAGAAGAAAACATATTTAGGACAGCAGATGACGTGGCCAGTCATACCATCCTCAGTGTCCGGGTAAAATGACGAGACCTCTGGCTCACTTTCCTGGATCCCCTTCTTCTTGTTCATGCGCTGCTGCAGACGCTGAAACATGCGCTGTTCGCGTATACGCTGAATGTCCCATCTACAAAAAACAGGACACAGTTACGGAGGGAATGAGGGGAAGATGAGAGCGCAAGGAAAGGATGAAAACGCTGGTGGCTCAATGTAGTAAATCAAGATTGAATTACACAAAACATTAAAGGAGCCTTAGTGAGTGAAGATAAAGATGGTTCATGAGGCATTGAGAGTAACTTCGAAGTCATAAAACCCATTTGTACCTTTTTCTCCTCTTCTCATCTAACTCCAGCTTTGCGTGGCGCTTCAAAAATACACTGTCGTCCAACATCTTGGTATAACAACACAAAAAAACATGGTTGATGTGGTTAAGGACCATTTGCATGGATAAATGGTGAGGTGGATATTGTGTGTGGCATTACAGGCTTTATTTCTAAAATATTCTGTAATTGTATAGCCAGTGTGCTCTCCTCTCTAACCTCTGGGATGTCACTGGCAGCCTCCTCATCCAAGGGCTCCATACTGTTTTCCCTCCAGGAGGGGACTGGAAGACAGAACAGTGTATAAGAGACATATGCCTAATTACGACACTACTTGGATTTCTACATTATTATTCATTGTGAGGCAATACTACACAGCTTTACACTTGGAACTGAACAACTGGCTTGTGTGGTGGGTCTACTCACTGGCTACAACCTCCTCTTTCTTCGGAGAAGGGGACGGCTCGCGCTGGGGGGAGGGGGGAGGCTGATGCCAACGACACAGGTACATCTCAGTAGTCGACATGAAAGGGAGCTCCTCCATCCGAGCGGTGAGCTCCGGGTCCTCATTGCTTGGTTGCAGAGTATCCCTCTCTACCGCTGACCGACCAAACCCCATCTTCTCTGGGGTCTCTTTACTGCGCAGCTCCCTCTGATGTGGAGACCCAGCTCCACACTCTGACTTAGAGGCGACGAACTTGGAGCCTTTGCCTCCTCGCGACTTCTGGATTTTGGAGTCCAGGAAGCAAAATTTCCTGCATGGGCAGAGCAGAGATATTAGTGAATGAAAGATAGTTTGACTGAGAATAAGTGAATGCAGAGTAGTATTTGGGGTCTGTTACCTTTTGAGGCCTTTGCCGCCTCGACTGAAGTGGAGTGACCTAGGGGTGGGAGTCTGTGGGCTGTCACCCACTTCTAGATCCCACAGGTCCTCTTTATCTGGGGTCCAGGGCTCTAGTGGCTGAAATAGGCGCTTATCACGTGGGTCCTTCCTCGTCAGCTGCAAACGGCGCTCCATGCGCTCAATACGCGCCAGCAACTGTGTATGCAGACATGTTTTTATAAATGATTTGGTTCTAAAGAAATGACAGACTTACTGTCATCTAAAAACAATTAGACACTTCCAGATACCGTGCATACCGTCTCCTTGTCCGCTTTCAGCTCATCTATCTCCTTGTCCTTGGACTGCAGCTGTTGTTGCTGTTGTTCAATCAAGTCCAGCTGAAGCAGGAGAATCTGCTGGAGGCAGGTGGCCTGTGTGTGGGGGTTAGCAGGGGTTTTCCTGATGTTCCTCCACTTGCCCTCTGTGCTGAGCTCAATGGATGCAGTGTTGACAACTCCTCCAGGGGAGACCCCTCTGGTGCTCTCAATAGTACCAGCATCCTTGGAGTTATTGTTCGAAACCAACTCTGTATTATCCATACTGTCACTCAGAATGAGTTTACCTTTAATTGGGATTCCCTCACCCCCCATTTGTCTGACGGAGGATGACAGCACCCCTGTGCTTTCCCAATTGTCGCCTTGAGCCAGTGCCCCTCCCGCTTTATTTTGAGCAGCCACTGGGGCCCGAATGATGTAATTCTGGTCTAGGATCTTTGTTTTGCTGAGGAGCTCCCCTCCAGTCTTGTGGATGGCCCCATGTACGTCATGGACATCTATGACAAAGTCACAGGATTCTCTCTTGATGGTTATTGAATTCACGACGTTTGCAGTTCCCACTTGTGATTTGTCAAAGTCAAGTTTCTCTGTGTCCAGCTTAAATCCTGCATTAGCAAACAAAGTGGATCTCATAGTCATGGCGAATAAAACGCAGGTGTTATTGAACTAACATTACATAATAACTGCTTTTTCTGCAAAGCAGTCAAGTGTCATTGAAGCCTATTTTCTGTTTCATTGAGCCTGGATCAGACTTCGTCCTGTAACAGAAAGAAGTGTTATCAGTATTGCAACCAACATAATTAACAGCTAACGTTAGCGGGTCTAAATAACAGACGAAAAGTGCTAGCTAGCTACGCTGGGCACCATGTTGCTCCATCACTGGCAACCTCGACACTAGCTACTACAACTGACTGACACATAAAATACTGCACTGCGCCTGACTGCTGGGCTTCCTTTTCACCAGCTAGATATCTAAAAACATACACAATTTCAGCTAGCTAACTTACTAACTGTACTGGACAAACAAGGTAACAAAAACTCTCCCAGCATCTAGTTAGCATTTAGTTAGCTAGCAAACTAGCTTGCTACGTAGGGTCTATTATTTTATAATCGGATAAAAATATAGTTTGCACACCCTCATGGTCCTGCAGAAGGGTTTGGTAGCTAGCTAATTCTACTGAAAGCCACAAAGACGCGCGGGGATATCGTTTGGCTAGAGTGGCTCGTGCTTTAACAAGTGCTAGCACTTCGACATTTCCTCCATTTTGGTCCTGCACGCGTTGATGAAAAACATAACAGTATAGACTCCTTTCTGTGTTTGCAAACATTGCCGCACGAGGGCGATGCGCACAAATTGGTGGCCGAACAAGGGGGAGTTCTTATAGAACGCCAGCAAAAAAAAGAGCCTCTATTTACATGTTGCGTATGAGTGAATTTCACACTACTTTTGGATTATAATTGGATTTTAAGGATCGTATGAATGTCCTGCTTAATATAATGTTTGTGTCATTATCGCAAATCAACAGCATTACACTTAAAAAACACTTCAACCAGTAAAATGGCTCTTTGGTTAGCTTTTGCCACAACCTATATCAATGACCGTTAGCATTCTAGCTAACAACTGCTGCATCCAAAATAGTTATTTTGCAAAGATCATAACCAAATATAATCTTAGCGACTGTTCAAGCAAGAATCCAAACATCATTGTAAGCGTATGAGAACCCCAAATGGTTATTTTGTTTAGAAGTAATAAAAACGTAAATCTAGGCGTTTGTTGAATGGGTGCAGATTGGCATGGCTTTCTTACTGCCGCTAAGAGTCGTGCGTGTCGTGTACTGGAAAAGTGTCACAGCTATGGAACGCCGTTTGGGTCTTTGCGTGTCAAAAAAATATACAAATTTGACGCCTCAAATAAGCTTTTCATTTGACACGTCAAATAATACAATTATATTATAGAATGTTGTGTGTGCTGAATTTGCATGTGCAAGCCAAGCGCCACCACTACGATCAGTAGCACTGTCAAAGCTGTACAAAAAAAGTCTGCACACCAGCCACCAACGATGTGTTTACAGTAGCGCGTTGGCAATAATGCATTATTTGTTCGACGGAATGGGAAACATCTGTGTGAGCATTTTAAATAAGAGCAGGATCAAAAATGTTTGCAAATATATTTGATACATATGTTATTAGCAACTTCTGGGGAAGCTAGCTAGCTTTAGCTTGGTAACGTTACCTAGCTAGCACCAATGCAACTAACGTTAGCCTGTAAACAATGACCAATAGAAACTGCAGTCATTTGCAATATCCTTAGCAATGATTTAGGAATCCATGTGAGTAAGTATTAGCTAGGTAGCCACTTGAAATGGAACTTCAGTTCATGAAAATAACTAGCTAGCCAGCAACTTAACCCTGTTGCCCAAAGCTAACCTTATAAGCAGCCAGTAAACTTCATCTGGCTGGTGAGGCTTGACCAGACCGGGTTATGTGTTGTGAAAATTGCCACAATAGTGGAATTTGCTGTTTGCCTTCAAAATAAAAGTCCCTATTTGAAAGTGACGCAGAAGGTTACAATTGGTGAAATCATGCAATATTTAGACTAGATAATGTTAAACAACGTTGGAATGTGGAGCAATGAAATGGGGTATCCCCCTGACCCATCTGTCTATCTCCTCATTTGAATTGCATGCTGTCACAGTCACTAGCCCATTCAAGCTTAACATCCTTGTCATTTATCGCCCTCCAGGTTCTCTTGGAGAGTTCATCAATGAGCTTGACGCCTTGATAAGTTCCTTTCCCGAGGATGGCTCACCCCTCACAGTTCTGGGTGACTTTGACCTGCCGACATCTGCCTTCGACTCATTTCTCCCTGCCTCCTTCTTTCCACTCCTTTCCTCTTTTGACCTCACCCTCTCACCGTCCCCCCTACACACAAGGCAAGCAATACGCTTGACCTCATCTTTACTAGATGCTGTTCTTCTACTAATCTCACTGCAACTCCCCTCCAAGTCTCCGACCACTACTTTGTATCCTTTTCTCTCTCGCACTCCTCCAACACTACTCACTCTGCCCCTACTCAGATGGTAATGCATTGTCGCAACCTTCGCTCTCTCTCTCCCGCTACTCTCTCCTCTTCCATCCTATCATCTCTTCCCTCTGCTAAATCCTTCTCCCTCCGGTCTCCTGATTCTGCCTCCTCGACCCTCCTCTCCTCCCTTTCTGCATCTTTTGAATTTCTATGTCCCCTATCCTCCCGGCCGGCTCGGTCCTCCCCTCCTGCTCCGTGGCTTGACGACTCATTGCGAGCTCACAGAACAGGGCTCCGGGCACCTGAGCGGAAATGGAGGAAAACTAGACTCCCTGCGGACCTGTCATCTTTTCACTCCCTCCTCTTTACTTTTTCTTCCTCTGTTTCTGCTGCTAAAGCCACTTTCTACCACTCTAAATTTCAAGCCTCTGCCTCTAACCCTAGGAAGCTCTTTGCCACCTTCTCCTCCCTGCTGAATCCTCCTCCCCCTCCCTCTCTGTGGATGACTTCGTCAACCATTTTGAAAAGAAGGTTGACGACATCCGATCCTCATTTATTAAGTCAAATGACACCGCTAGTCCTGCTCACACTGCCCTACCCTATGCTTTGACTTCTTTCTCCCCTCTCTCTCCAGATTAAATCTTGCGACTTGTGACGGCTATGTCAAAAACTACAGACCAGTATCCCTTCTTTCTTTTCTCTCCAAAACTCTTGAGCGTGCCGTCTCTAGCCAACTCTCCCGCTATCTCTCTCAGAATGACCTTCTTGATCCTAACCAGTCAGGTTTCAAGACTGGTCATTCAACTGAGACTGCTCTTCTCTGTGTCACGGAGGCTCTCCGCACTGCCAAAGCTAACTCTCTCTCCTCTGCTCTTATCCTTCTAAACCTATCTGCTGCCTTTGATACTGTGAACCATCAGATCCTCCTCTCCCCCTCTCCGAATTGGGCATCTCCGGCGCTGCTCACTCTTGGATTGCATCCTACCTGACAGGTCGCTCCTACCAGGTGGCGTGGCGAGAATCTGTCTCCGCACCACGTGCTCTCACCACTGGTGTCCCCCAGGGCTCAGTTCTAGGCCCTCTCCTATTCTCTCTATACACCAAGTCACTTGGCTCTGTCATATCCTCACATGGTCTCTCCTATCATTGCTACGCAGACGACACACAATTAATTTTCTCCTTTCCCCCTTCTGATAACCAGGTGGCAAATCGCATCTCTGCATGTCTGGCAGACATATCAGTGTGGATGTCGGATCACCACCTCAAGCTGAACCTCGGCAAGACGGAGCTGCTCTTCCTCCCGGGGAAGGACTGCCCGTTCCATGATCTCGCCATCACGGTTGACAACTCCATTGTGTCCTCCTCCCAGAGTGCGAAGAGCCTTGGCGTGACCCTGGACAACACCCTGTCGTTCTCCGCTAACATCAAGGCGGTGACCCGATCCTGCAGGTTCATGCTCTACAACATTCGGAGAGTACGACCCTGCCTTACACAGGAAGCGGCACAGGTCCTAATCCAGGCACTTGTCATCTCCCGTCTGGATTACTGCAACTCGCTGTTGGCTGGGCTCCCTGCCTGTGCCATTAAACCCCTGCAACTTATCCAGAACGCTGCAGCCCGTTTGGTGTTCAACCTTCCCAAGTTCTCTCACGTCACCCCGCTCCTCCGCACACTCCACTGGCTTCCAGTTGAAGCTTGCATCTACTACAAAACCATGGTGCTTGCCTACGGAGCTGTGAGGGGAACAGCACCTCCTTACCTTCAGGCTCTGATCAGACCCTACACCCAAACAAGGGCACTATGTTCATCCACCTCTGGCCTGCTAGCCCCCCTACCTCTACGGAAGCACAGTTCCCGCTCAGCCCAGTCAAAGCTATTCGCTGCTCTGGCACCCCAATGGTGGAACAAGCTTCCCCATGACACCAGGACAGCGGAGTCACTGACCACCTTCCGGAGACACTTGAAACCCTACCTCTTTAAGGAAAACCTGGAATAGTATAATAGTAATCATTCTATCCCCCCTTTACTACCACTGTCTTTTGTCTAAACTAACACCTGACTTATTTCACCTGCTAGCACTGACTTGTTTAAAGAAATGTGGCGCAGTGGTCTAAGGCACTAGCTGTGCCACTAGAGATCCTGGTTCGAATCCAGGCTCTGTCATAGCCGGCCGCGACCGGGAGACCCATGGGGCGGCGCACAATTGGCCCAGCGTCGTCGGGGAGGGGAGGGGAGGGAATGGCTGGCAGGGATGTAGCTCAGTTGGTAGAGCACGGGGGGCCAGTAAAAAAAAAAATATATATATATATGCACTCACTAACTGTAAGTTGCTCTGGATAAGAGCGTCTGCTAAATGACTAAAATGTAAATGTAAATGTGATCGAGATGTAGTTGTGCCAGATTGCACTGACTTTGCTCACAGCTGCTTGTTTGAAGAAGTGTACTTACTGTGATCAAGATGTGATTGTCCCACTGGCTATCCTAAGTTGAATGCACCAATATGTAAGTCGCTCTGGATAAGAGTGTCTGCTAAATGACTTAAATGTAAATGTATCAGACTACTCTGTGACACCCACAGAACCCAACTGTGAAGCGTTTACGCAAATACTAGCGTTGTAGCTCTTATCACGGGACTGTGACTGTGTGAAATCACCTCCCCAGTCAGCCTATTGTGCGTATTGACATTCACATTGCACTGTACAGCTTTACCTAAGGATTGGGGATCAATTAAATTAGGTGTCAGTCTACTCAGTACCGAGAGCTTTTTTCCCAACGTCCTCCTCAGAGTTATCGGACTCTAAAACATCCAGGTTGTATTGTTTTTCCTCTGGAATAGTGTTCAATACACATAGTAGGGTGATTGGTACAATAAATATTGCTCAATTCAAAGTGGTTTCAGAGTCCCGCATTGAGAGCTACGACGCTAATAGTCTCTGGGTGTCACTGAGTAGACTGATACCCCATGTCATTGATCCATAATCCATAGGTAAGGCTGTACAGGGAAATAAATATGCCCCCAATGAAATTCTAAAGTCTAATACATCCAATGTGATTTCAACAGATTTGTCAAATTAACAAATTATTTTATATTGTTGAATTTATAAAACAACAACCCAACCTCGTTTAGCATGATCCATGGCATTCTTCCACTATTTGTATCATTTGCATCAGTCAATGACACTCTTATTTTGAAGGCTAACCACAAAGTATCCTTATTGTGGCTAGCTTCACATAGGTGGGTCCGACCACCATTCATCAAATAATAACAGTTTTATAAATTAGGGGTATTTTAGATGATGACACCTAGCTAGATAATTAGCTAGCTAACTATAGCTACTGAAACAGATTATGTCGTTTTGCTATGTTTTTGGGGAAGAACATTGTTTGCATCCATCAGCTAACGTTAGCTAGCTTTTTTTATGATCAGCACTGTCCAGAGTTTGGGGAAGCGCAGGTACTCGAGACAAAACTTTACCAGCATCATAGCTTACGTATCGATGAGTCGTTGTGACAAATTAAATACGAGTGGTAGTGTAATCAATGTGTAATAAATACGTTAAAAATGTATGAACGGGTTAAATAGTTATGTGATGTGCAGTCATATTCAGGTCCTGATTGGTCAACAAGTTTATTTGACACATCATATAGTGTTAAATGTAGCTCAGTTGGTAGAGCAGTGTTGTGGGTTCGTTTCCCACGGGGGGCCAGTATGAAAATGTATGCACTCACTAACTGTAAGTCGCTCTGGATAAGAGCGTCTGCTAAATGACTAAAATGTAAAATGTTATTTGATGTTTATCTTTTTTGACATGCAAAGACCCAAACGGCGTTCCATACACAGCACTGACTCGCTGCATATGATAGGGATTTAAAGGACCTATATAAAACACCCTACTGAAAATACGTTATAATAAGTTATCATATAGTTTCAAAGAGCATGGTATTTTTGTGTTATCCTTAATTTTCTTATCATTTCCAAGCTCACCTAACGTTAGTGCGTTCATGTTCATTTTCCACTCTTGCAGACTTCTTTATAGTCCCCATAATGGCGCATGCGTAATTACGCCAAATGGTCATGTTTTGGGAAGAATGAAGTTGCAGAAAAGCATCAGTAGGGGGCATTGAGCTGGACATAGGGTTGGTCGACAGTGTTGAACCATATTGACCTCTGTCAAAGTGATATAGGTAACGTGTCAAACTAATTATATGAAGGGCCGAGTGTCTGCGTGTCTTCACTCCTTCCTTGTGCTTTATTGATGAATTCCTGTCACCTGGGTTGTCTTGTCTTGATTGAAAGGAAAAACCAAAAACCTGTGGACACTAGGCCCTCCATGGAATGGGTTTGACACCCCTGATATATACTGAACAAAAATATAAAGCAATATGCAATCATTTCAAAGATTTTACTGAGTTACAGTTTATATGAGGAAATCAGTCAATTGAAATTCGTTAGGCCCTAATCTATGGATTTCACATGACTTGGAATACATATATGCATCTGTTGGTCACAGATACCTTAAAATATATGGGCCTCACAATGGGCCTCAGGATCTCGTCATGGTATTTCTGTGCATTCAAATTGCCATTCATAAAATGCAGTTGTGTTCGTTGTCCGTAGCTTTTGCCTGCCCATACCAAGGCGGGAGTTTAGAATGTAAGTATGGCTCTACGAATACCTGGAAGACCGTCAGTATGGTTGAAAGTACAGTGCCTTCGGAAAGTATTCAGACCCCTTGACTTTTTCTACATTTTGTTACTTTACAACCTTATTCTAAAATTGATTAAATTGTCCCCCCCCCCCCCCCCCCCTAATCAATCTACACACAATACCCCATAATGACAAAGCAAAACAGGTTTTTAGAAATTATTGCTCATATATAATGTTTTTTTATACACTGAAATATCACATTTACATAAGTATTCAGACCCTTTACTCAGTACTTTGTTGAAGCACCTTTGGCAGCGTTTACAGCCTCGAGTCTTCTTGGGTATGACGCTACAAGCTTGGCACACCTGTATTTGGGGAGTTTCTCCCATTCTTCTCTGCAGATCCTCTCAAGCTCTGTCAGGTTGGATGGGGAGCGTTGCTGCACAGCAATTTTCAGGTCTCTCCAGAGATGTTCGATCGGGTTCAAGCCTGGGCTCTGGCTGGGCCACTCAAGGACATTCAGAGACTTGTCCCAAACCCACTCCTGCATTGTCTTGGCTGTGTGCTTAGGGTCGTTGTCCTGTTAGAAGGTGAACCTTCGCCCCAGTCTGAGGTCCTGAACGCTCTGGAGCAGGTTTTTATCAAGGATCTCTCTGTACTTTGTTCCGTTCATCTTTTCCTCGATTCTGACTAGTCTCCCAGTCCCAGCCGCTGAAAAACATCCCCACAGCATGATGCTGCCACCACCATGCTTCACCGTAGGGATGGTGCCAGGTTTCCTCCAGACGTGACGCTTGGCATTCAGGCCAAAGAGTTCAATCTTGGTTTCATCAAACCAGAGAATCTTGTTTCTCATTACATTTGACATTTTAGTCATTTAGCAGACACTCTTATCCAGAGCGACTTACAGTTAGTGAGTGCATACATTTTTTCATACTGGTCCCCCGTGGGAATCGAACCCACAACCCTGGCGTTGCAAGTGCCATGCTCTACCACCTGACCAATGCCTTTCTACCCCGATTGCTCAGTTTGGCCGGGCGGCCAGCTTTTAATAATAATAATAATAATTGGTCATTTAGCAGACGCTCTTATCCAGAGCGACTTACAGGAGCAATTAGGGTTAAGTGCCTTGCTCAAGGGCACATCGACAGATTTTTCACCTAGTCGGCTCGGGGATTAGAACCAGCGACCTTTCGGTTACTGGCACAACGCTCTTAACCACTAAGCTACCTGGCGCTTTTGAAGGAGTCTTGGTGGTTCCAAACTTTTCCATTTAAGAATGATGGAGGCCACTGTCTTCATAGGGACCTTCAATGCTGCAGACATTTTTTGGTACCCTTTCCCAGATATGTGCCTCAACACAATCCTGTCTCGGAGCTCTACGGACAATTCCTTCATTCTCATGGCTTGGTTTTTGCTCTGACATGCACTGTCAACTGTGGGACCTTATATAGACAGGTGTGTGCCTTTCCAAATCATGTCCAATCAATTGAATTTACCACAGGTGGACTCCAATCAAGTTGTAGAAACATCTCAAGGATGATCAATGGAAACAGGATGCACCTGAGCTCAATTTCAAGTCTCATATCAAAGGGTCTGAATACTTATGTAAATAAGGTATTTTTTGTTTTGTTTTGTAATACATTTGAAAATAATTCTAAAAACCTGTTTTCGCTTTGTCATTATGGGGTATTGTGTGTAAATTGATGAGGATTTGTATTTATTTAATCAATTTTAGAACAAGGCTGTAAAGTAACAAAATGTGGAAAAAGTCAAGGGGTCTGAATACTTTCCGAAGGCACTGTAAATATAGCTACACACAACCCAAAACAGGTTACAGCATTGAAAACAATCACCTTTTACTTCATTTCCTTATCTTCTAGTTTGACCATTAAGTTGTTCACGTCTCAATTGTTTCCCATCTAGCACCATTCAGATTAGCCTAATAGCCCAGAAAGGTTTCCACTGATCATGTTAAGGGTAGTTACCTCCAATCTAGAGAGCAATTTTAACCATCCAATTATTTTACTCAGTGGGGAAAAACAGGCTTAAAAATTCTGAATTCATTAGAAAGCTTGCGTATCGGAAGTATGTGTATATTATTGCCCTAATGTAGTGGAACTAACGTGTTATTCCTGATTATATGCCGGTGTTGACACAAATCACCTCTGAGAAACTGTATAAAAGGACCAATGTCTTGTTGCAATTCACAAAAAGCCTGCATCTCTCACTGAAGAATATCCATTCACAAGGTAAGATAGTTTTCAAAATATACCCTTCCAGTATTCTGCTGTTCAAACTAGAAATTTCTACTTAATACATTCATTCTTGTGTATAGCTTACTGTAGGGGTAATACATTTTTACCTACAGAAATTAGAACAGCTATTTAGAAATATAAAGTCACCTCTGTATTGTAAGTGTAAGACATTCTCCTCAATTGCAGATTTTTTCCTCTTCCTGGCTTTCTCTGCCTCTCTCTTCTCTCCTCCTTGTTTAGTTTTGTCACCATGAAGGTAGCTTTGTTTTCACTGGTGCTCCTCGGCCTGGCTGGGATGCTGCATGCTGAGGCCCTGTCCCAGTCTGGAGAGAACAGGTAAGATTCCCATCCTGCGTTTGAGATTTCTGATCATATTTCATTTTGATGATGAGTCCCCTGCATTATCTAATATATCCATTCCTCTCGCATGTTTGTGTTATTGTCTGCTTGTTAGTCTCACAGAAAATGGACAGGGTTTGGGGAGAAGATATGCAGAGTCAACCATCGCCAGTGACATGAGCAAAATCATGGACTCCATGGTGCAGAAGAATTTTGTCAACTTCCTGCTCAACCAGAGAGAGAAAAAGAGCATGTAAGTCAAATTGGCTTTGAAATTACTATAATTGCTACAGTTCAGAACTTGAGATATTCAGAAGCTGAAGCGGAGAGATATGCAGAAGTGGAGAGCAAATTCAGCCACTGGCAATGGTAATAATAAAATAAAACTGTCATAGGTCTAATGTCACTCCAGAGGAAGATCCAGAGGCTCGCCTGTACAACAATCTCCTGAAAAAGCTTGCACTGTGCATTCGCAGCAAGGGACAGATCCATGTGAGTTAATTCTGTGAACTACTTTAATATAGTAAATTGTAGTAAATATAGTAAGTTGACTACTTCAATATAGTCAATTGTTGCCAAATTATTGGTTGTGTCATATTGTTTTTATTATAATATTTTCCCATTTGTTTCCTCACTACAACCGAACACAGTGATGTTTTGAAGAATATCAACAAATGATCAACGTAGGTGGGAGAGTAATTCAAAGAGAAGCCTGAAGTCAACCAAAACATAATGACAATTTGGAGGAAAATGTATGCTTTCTATTTTTGTGTACACAATATATATTGTAAAGTTAGAAATATGAATCCAGAATGCCTGAACTTTTTCATAAATAATTGCTAAGGGAAATAAAATAGTATAAAACAAACATTGGCCTCACTGAGTTGTTAATTGCATCTAGCATTTTGTATAAGATAAACATTTCACCAAGTAAAATCTTGCACAGTAATATTTTCACAAATGTTCAAATTTTTCACAAATGCCACACCTTAAAAAAGAGGCCTACTGGTCATATTGAAGGAATAACAAGGTCCTTTGCATATCTTGAGAGGAGGCTTCATATACCACAAAATAGGCAACTACTAGAACAGAGTTTGCTACTTGGCTTCATGTTATTCCAATATATTATAAATCATATTTTTTGTCCAACCACTGAAATAAGATAATTTCATGAGATAAGGGCCTCCACTCGTTAGTCTCTTGCCGGAACATGAACGAAATCTGAATACAAGTTTTGGGTGGATAGGCAATGGCATGACGAGAGAGATGGAGTTGTTTGGGAGGGAGTTTAGCCCCTCTGTGGTTCTCCCTGCTATCCCACCTTGGTTTCTCCCTCAGCCAGTGATAGATCTAGGTTGCTTGAGAGCGTGAGAGATGTTGAAGAATGAGTAGATTCAGATGTAAGTGAACATTTAGGAACACAATAAAAACAGTGACAAAAAGAGCAACGGATCATTTATCTGTTTACACAATGGGGTTGTTGGCCATACTATTGGCTGCAGAGTGGGTGGAGGAGATGAGGCCAGACAGTAGTAATCTGCTCCGACTCCTGTGCAGCACTGATCAGCTTAAGTTCATGTGTCTGCTAAGAGTGTCTGCTAAATCGTTAAAATGTAGGTGTCAAGAGGAGGTGAAACGTTCTTTTTCAGTGCCAGAAATATTGGAGGGAAATGGAGTGATATATATTTTATTTTATTTTGTTTGAATTTTTTTGTTTTTTTATATATTTTATAAAAAAATATATATATATATATTTTTTTTATTTTTATTTTTATTTAAAAAAAAAAAATCGGGGGGAATGGAGTGGTTGTTATTAGATTTGAGGAGTAGGGAGACGAGAATATTGGGTAGGATTTAGACCTTCACGGTCTCTAGTCCACACTGCACTCCAGTTGGTGGCAGTAATGCACCTTAAAGTTGGTTGCCAACCGCCATATAAAATCCACAGAAGAAGAAGTCTCTCGTGGAGGCAGTACCATATCTCATTAAACTCAGAAGTTACTTCCGGATTCTTAAACTAAGCATAGAGCTTACTAGCTCTCAAGTTTCACGAAGAGTGCGAAATTAGTCGATTTCAGAGTTGTGTGCATGGAAATTATTATTGAATAAGAACGGAATGCTGAGAGCTATCACATGGCTGCACTAGGCAAAAAGCAGCTCGCGACCTAACAAATTACGTTAACCGTGCAACTGTAAACTAGCTAACGTTAGCATAACAATAGTAGTGTCAACCTTTTGCTAGCTAGCTAGTCATTTTTTGACATCAACAATATGCATAGGAGAGGAGTAGGTGCGGGAGCTATCGCCAAAAAGAAGCTTGCAGAGGTAACATGTTGTCTAGATGAATGGGCCCATCTACAAAATGTAAATAATGAAGCTAAGGCATTGCAGCCATTTTCATTGGAAGCAAGAAATACAACCATCTTATCCAAAACACTTATTTGTTGTAGGCCAAGTATAAAGAGAGGGGGACAGTGTTAGCTGAGGATCAAATTGTTCAGGTAAGCTCAATTATAATAATATATGCCATTTAGCAGACACTTTAATCCAAAGCGATTTAGTCATGTGTGCATACATTTCACGTACGGGTGGTCCCTGGAATCCAACCCACTATCCTGGCGTTGCAATCAATCAATCAAATGTATTTTATAACGCCCATTTCACAAAAGTAAGTGTCACAAAGTGTTATACAGATACCTATCCTAAAACCCCAAAGAGCAAGCAATGCAGATGTAGAAGCACACTGGCTAGGAAAAACTCCCTAGTAAGGAATGAACCAAGGAAGAAACCTAGAGGGGAACCAGTCCTCTTCTGGCTGTGCAGGGTGGAGATTATAAGAGTACGGCTATTTAGGCCAGATTGATCTGCAAGATGTTTAAACGTTCATAGATGACCGGCAGGGTCAGGTAATAACCACAGTGGTTATAGAGGGTGCAATAACACCTCAGGAGTAAATGTCAGTTGGCTTTTCATAGCCGAGCAGCGCCATACTCTACCAACTGAGCTGATGTGTGGGTGTGCAAGTGTGTCTTCTTTGGAATGTTATTCAATCCATGTAGTTAGTCAAGCTGCTGCCATTTTGGAAATATCTAAACATCATAAGTCTTTCAGATGTCAAAACAGCTGGAGACCTTCAAATCTAACCTTGAGGAATTTGCCAGCAAGCACAAACAAGAGATTCGTAAGAGTTCCCAGTTCCGGGTCCAGTTTCAGGACATGTGTGCCACCATTGGAGTTGACCCACTTGCCTGTGAGAATCACAACTGTGTTTGTTAAAATTGAAGTTGTTTTTGCTCTGCATTAATAGCTCATTAAGATGTCCCTTACTCCTTTTTAAAGCATGTGGTTACTCATACGTTGTATTTATTCAAGGAATTGAAATGCAAACAATTAAGTGTGTTCTGTGTCATTGACAGCTGGCAAAGGCTTTTGGTCAGAGATGCTTGGTGTGGGTGACTTCTATTATGAGCTAGGTGTGCAGATCATTGAAGTATGCCTGGCCCTGAAACACAGAAATGGAGGTGAGGCTTCTTTGGAACATCATCAAAATCATAGCAAAACACTGAATTTTGAAATGTGTCTTTCATTGGTGTTCGATCTCTGTGTTTTAGGACTTATTACCCTGGACGAACTCCATCACAGAGTGTTGAAGGGAAGGGGGAAATTTGCTCAGGATGTGAGCCAGTGAGTACCATCGGACAGATATCTGAAATTATATATTAAATTCTCTCCTAAGTAATGCAGAAAGTCAACATTTATTATCATATTTAATATTAGAGAGGATCTCATGTCAACAGCTGTTGAAGTAATATGGCTACTGGTTCACTTGCCTCACCTAAACCCTATTCTTGTGGGAAGTTGCTATAGACCACCAAGTGCTAACAGTCAGTTTTTGGATAATACAGTGGGGAAAAAAAGTATTTAGTCAGCCACCAATTGTGCAAGTTCTCCCACTTAAAAAGATGAGAGAGGCCTGTAATTTTCATCATGGGTACACGTCAACTATGACAGACAAAATGAGGAAAAAAATTCCAGAAAATCACATTGTAGGATTTTTAGTGAATTTATTTGCAAATGATGGTGGAAAATAAGTATTTGGTCAATAACAAAAGTTTCTCAATACTTTGTTATATACCCTTTGTTGGCAATGACACAGGTCAAACGTTTTCTGTAAGTCTTCACAAGGTTTTCACACACTGTTGCTGGTATTTTGGCCCATTCCTCCATGCAGATCTCCTCTAGAGCAGTGATGTTTTGGGGCTGTCGCTGGGCAACAGACTTTCAACTCCCTCCAAAGATTTTCTATGGGGTTGAGATCTGGAGACTGGCTAGGCCACTCCAGGACCTTGAAATGCTTCTTACGAAGCCACTCCTTCGTTGCCCGGGCGGTGTGTTTGGGATCATTGTCATGCTGAAAGACCCAGCCACGTTTCATCTTTAATGACCTTGCTGATGGAAGGAGGTTTTCACTCAAAATCTCACGATACATGGCCCCATTCATTCTTTCCTTTACACGGATCAGTCGTCCTGGTCCCTTTGCAGAAAAACAGCCCCAAAGCATGATGTTTCCACCCCCATGCTTCACAGTAGGTATGGTGTTCTTTGGATGCAACTCAGCATTCTTTGTCCTCCAAACACGACGAGTTGAGTTTTTACCAAAACTTTCTATTTTGGTTTCATCTGACCATATGACATTCTCCCAATCCTCTTCTGGATCATCCAAATGCACTCTAGCAAACTTCAGACGGGCCTGGACATGTACTGGCTTAAGCAGGGGGACACGTCTGGCACTGCAGGATTTGAGTTCCTGGCGGCGTAGTGTGTAGGCTTTGTTACTTTGGTCCCGGCTCTCTGCAGGTCATTCACTAGGTCCCCCTGTGTGGTTCTGGGATTTTTGCTGATTTTTGTTCACCGTTCTTGTGATCATTTTGACCCCACGGGTGAGATCTTGCGTGGAGCCCCAGATCGAGGGAGATTATCAGTGGTCTTGTATGTCTTCCATTTCCTAATAATTGCTCCCACAGTTGATTTCTTCAAACCAAGCTGCTTACCTATTGCAGATTCAATCTTCCCAGCCTGGTGCAGGTCTACAATTTTGTTTCTGGTGTCCTTTGACAGCTCTTTGGTCTTGGCCATAGTGGAGTTTGGAGTGTGACTGTTTGAGGTTGTGGACAGGTGTCTTTTATACTGATAACAAGTTCAAACAGGTGCCATTAATACAGGTAACGAGTGGAGGACAGAGGAGCCTCTTAAAGAAGAAGTTACAGGTCTGTGAGAGCCAGAAATCTTCCTTGTTTTGTAGGTGACCAAATACTTATTTTCCACCATAATTTGCAAATAAATTCATTAAAAATCCTACAATGTGATTTTCTGGATTTATTTTTCTCAATTTGTCTGTCATAGTTGACGTGTACCTATGATGAAAATTACAGGCCTCTCTCATCTTTTTAAGTGGGAGAACTTGCACAATTAGTGGCTGACTAAATACTTTTTTTCCCCACTGTATGTGTGAAATGCTTGATAATGTATGTGATAGAGGTTTCTTTTCTGGGTGACCTAAATATTGACTGGCTTTAATCAAGCTGTCCACTCAAGAAAAAGCTTTAAATTGTAACCAGTGCCTGCAACCTGATTCAGGTTATCTGTCAACCTACCAGGGTATTTACAAACAGAACAGGAACTAAATCATCCACTTGTATTGACCACATCATTACTAATGCTTCAGAAATCTGCTCTAAAGCAGTGTCCACACCTATCGGATGTAGTGATCATAATATAATAGTCATAGCTAGGAAAACCAAAGTTCCAAAGACTGGACCCAAAATAGTCAATAAGCGATCTAATAAGAGGTTTTACAATGATTCCTATTTTGAAGATGTGAAAAATATTTGTTGGTCTAATGTGTGTAATGAGGAACATCCTGACGCTGCACTTGAATCATTTATGAAATTGCTTCTTCCGGTTACTGACAGGCATGAGCTCATAAATAAACTTACTGTTAAAACAGCCAAATCTCCATGGATAGATGATGAATGGAAAAACTGTATGGATGAGGCTAAGGGAATGGCAAATAAGTCTGGCAACACAGCAGATTGGCAAACATACAGTAAATTGAAAAATCACGTAACTAAACAAAAAGAAGAAGAAACTATACTATTAAACAAAGATACATTATATAAAGAATGATAGTAAAAAGCTCTGGAGTACCTTAAATGAAATTCTAGGCAGAAAAGCTAACTCGGCTCCATCCTTCATTGAGGTTGATGGCTCATTCATAACAAAACCCTTTGATATTGCCAATCACTTTAATAACTTTTTTGTTGGCAAGATAAGCAAACTTAGGCATGACATGCAAACAACTAATTCTGAGCCTTCATATTCATGCATAACGGACCAAATAATGAAAGACAAGCACTGTAGCTTTAAATTCTGCAAAGTTAGTGTGGAAGAGGTGAACAATTATTGCTATCTTTAAATAAGGACAAACCATCTGGAACCGACAACCTGGATGGCAAATGACTGAGGTTGGTAGCGGAATAGGTGTTACGGGCTCCCGAGTGGCGCAGCGGTCTAAGGCACTGCATCTCAGTGCTTGAGGCGTCACTACAGACCCCCTGGTTCGATTCCAGGCTGTATCACAACCGTCCGTGATTGGGAGTCCCATAGGACGCCGCACGATTGGCCCAGCGTCGTCCGGGTTTGGCCGGTGTAGGCCGTCATTGTAAATAAGAATTTGTTCTTAACTGACTTGCCTAGTTAAATAAAGGTAAAGTAAAAAATTAAAATACATTGCGACTCCTATTTGCCACAGCTTCAATCTAAGCCTAGAAGACGGAGTGTGCCCTCAGGCCTGGAGGGAGGCAAAGGTCATTCCGCTGCTCCAAAATAGCAAAGCACCCTTTAATGGTTCAAACAATCAGCCTGTTACTGGTGCTTAGCAAAAATGTAATGTTCGACCAAATACAATGTTATTTTACAGAAAACAAATGAACAACAGACTTTCAGCATGCTTATAGGGAAGGGCATTCAACATGCTCGGCACTGACACAAATGACTGATGATTGGCTGAAAGAAATTGATAAGAAGATTGTGGGAGCTGTGTTGTTAGACATCAGTGCAGCCTTTGATATCATTGATCATAACATATTGCTGAAAAAAACGTAGGTGTTACGGATTAACATCCTCTGCCTTATCATGGATGGACAGTTACCTATCCAATAGAACACATGGAAGTCTCTGTAATGCAAATACGGTTGAGTGTGGCATACCGCAGGGCAGCCGGCTTGGGCTATTATTGTTTTCTGTGTTTAGTAATGACCTTCCATTGACCTTGAATAAAGCCTGTTTGTCCATGTACGCAGATGACTCAACAGTATACACCTTCGGCTGCATCAGTAAAATAAATAACTGACACCCTTAACATAGAGCTCCAGTCAGTTTTAGAATGGGTAACTAGCAATAGGCTGGCATTACATACCTCAAAAACTAAAAGCATCATTTTTGGGACAAATCATTCGCTCAACCCTAAACCTCATCTATCTATCATTGAATAGTGTGGCTATTGAGCAAGTTGAAGAGACTAAACGAGCTATCATGGTCAAAACATATACAGTGCATTCTGAAAGCCTTATTCTAAATGGATTTTAAAAATATATATAATCCTCATCAATCTACTGATAATACCCTATAATGTCAAAGGAAAAACAGGTTTAGACATTTTAGCTATTTTTATAAAAAATAAAATAAAAAATGTAGTACATTTACATATGTATTCAGACCCTTTAGTCAGTACTTTGTTGAAGCACCTTTGGCAGCGATTACAGCCTCGAGTCTTCTTGGGTATGACGCTACAAGCTGGAAGGTTCTCCCATCTCCACAGAGGAACTCCCTGACCAAGGCCCGTCTCCCCCGACTGCTCAGTTTGGCCGGGCGGCCAGCTCTAGGAAGAGTCTTGGTGGTTCCAAACTTCTTCCATTTAGGAATGATGGAGGCCACTGTGTTCTTGGGGACCTTCAATGCTGCAGAAATGTTTTGGTACCCTTCCCAAGATCTGTGCCTTGACACAATCCATGCGCTGTCAACTGTGGGACCTTACATAGACAGGTGTGTGCCATTCCAAATCATGTCCAATCAATTGAATTTACCACAGGTGGACTCCAATCAAGTTGCAGAAACATCTCAAGGATGATCAATTGAAACAGGATGCACCTGAGCTCAATTTCGAGTCTCATAGCAAAGAGTCTGAATACTTATGTAAATAAGGTATCTGTTTTTTAATTTTTAATAAATTAGTAAACATTTCTAAAAACCTGTTTTTGCTTTGTCATTATGGAGTATTGATGAGGGGAAAAAACTATTTAGTCCATTTTAGAATAAGGCTGTAACAAAACAAAATGTGGAAAAGGTCAAGGGGTCTGAATACTTTCTGAATGCACTGTAGACTCAATGGTTACTAAAATGGGAAGAGGTCTGTCCATGATAAGGCCTTGCTCTGCTTTCTTGATATCCCAGTCAACCAGACAGGTCCTACAGGCCCTAGTTTTGACGCACTTGAACTACTGTGCAGTTGTGTGGTCGGGTGAGGCGAAGAAGGACATAGGCAAATTGCAGTTGGTCCAAAACAGAGAAACACGTATTGATTGCACTTAGATGTACACGATGGGCGAATGTCAATGACATGCATGTCAATCTCCTGGCTCAAAGTTGAGGAGAAATTGACTGCATCACTATTGGTCTTTGTGCACCGTGTTGATGTGTTGAAGGTACCGAACTGTCTATTCAAGCATTTGGCACACCGTTCGGACACTCATCGGTATCACACAAGACATGCAACCAGAGGTCTCTTCACAGTCCCCAGGTCCAGAACAGAGGCTGGGAAACACACAGTATTAAATAGAGCCATGACTAAATGGAACTCAAGGTAACTCAAGCTTGCAAATAAACAAGATTTATATAAAAAAACAGATAAAAGAACACCTGTGAAGAGAGACAGACATGTTTATGCATTTTGTATTGTATTTTGCATTATATTATGTATGTGATACGTGGTTGGGATATGACTTCGATATGTGATTGTCTCGCCTGGCAATCTTAAAATGAATGCACTAGCTGTGGGTCGCTCTGGATGGGAGCATCTGCTGAATGGCTAAATTGTAATGTAAATGTACAGTGGCTTGCGAAAGTATTCACCCCCCTTGGCATTTTTCCTATTTTGTTGCCTTACAACCTGGAATTAAAATTGATTTTTTGGGGGTTTGTATCATTTTATTTACACAACATGCCTACCACTTTGAAGATGCAAAATATTTTGAAGATTTATTGAAGATACAAGAAATAAGACAAAAAAACTGAACTTGAATTACAGCTGCAAGTCTCTTGGGGTAGCTCTTAACCTGTTCCACTACAGCCTGTTGATGAGAATGGGGGTGTGCTCAGTCCTCTTTTCTTTCCTGTAGTCCACAATCATCTCCTTTGTCTTGATCACGTTGAGGGAGAGGTTGTTATCCTGGCACCACACGGCCAGGTCTCTGACCTCCTCCCTATAGGCTGTCTCATCGTTGTCGGTGATCAGGCCTACCACTATTGTGTCGTCGGCAAACTTAATGATGGTGTTGGAGTCGTGCCTGGTCATGCAGTCATGGGTGAACAGGGAGTACAGGAGGGGACTGAACACGCACCCCTGAGGGGCCCCTGTGTTGAGGATCAGCATGGCAGATGTGTTGTTACCTACCCTTACCACCTAGGGCCAGCCATTCAGGAAGTCCAGGATCCAGTTGCAGAGGGAGGTGTTTAGTCCCAGGGTCCTTAGCTTAGTGATGAGCTTTGAGGGCACTATGGTGTTGAACGCTGAGCTGTAGTCAATGAATAACATTCTCACGTAGGTGTTCCTCTTGTCCAGGTGGGAAAGGGCAGTGTGGAGTGCAATAGAGATTGCATCATCTGTGGATCTGTTGGGGTGGTATGCAAATTGGAGTGGGTCTAGGGTTTCTGGGATAATGGTGTTGTGAGCCATGACAAGCCTTTCAAAGCACTTCATGGCTACAGACGTGAGTGCTATGGGTCGGTAGTCATTTAGGCAGGTTATCTTAGTGTCCTTGGCCACAGGGACTATGGTGGTCTGCTTTAAACATGTTGTTATTACATACTCAGTCAGGGACATGTTGAAAATGTCAGTGAAGACACTTGCCAGTTGGTCAGTGCATGCTCGGAGTACACGTCCTGGTAATCCGTCTGGCCCTGCGGCCTTGTGAATGTTGACCTGCTTAAAAGTCTTACTCACATCGGCTATGGAGAGCGTGATCACATAGTCTCCCGTGTAGCTCAGTTGGTGTGTAGCTCAGTTGGTAGAGCATGGCGTTTGCAACGCCAGGGTTGTGGGTTCGATTCCCACGGGGGGCCAGTATGAAAATGTATGCACTCACTAACTGTAAGTCGCTCTGGATAAGAGCGTCTGCTAAATGACTAAAATGTAAATGTAATAGTCATCCGGAACAGCTGATGCTCTCATGCATGCTTCAGTGTTGCTTGCCTCGATGCGAGCATAGAAGTGATTTGGCTCGTCTGGTAGGCTTGTGTCACTGGGCAGCTCGCAGCTGTGCTTCCCTTTGTAGTCTGTAATAGTTTTCAAGCCCTGCCACATCCAACGAGCTTCAGAGCCGGTGTAGTACGATTCAATCTTAGTCCTGTATTGACTCTTTGCCTGTTTGATGGTTCGTCAGAGGGCATAGCGGGATTTCTTATAAGCGTCCAGGTTAGAGTCCCGCTCCTTGAAAGCGGCAGCTCTACCCTTTAGCTCAGTGCGGATGTTGCCTGTAATCCATGGCTTCTGGTTGGGTAAGTACGTACGGTTACTGTGGGGACGACGTCATCGATGCACTTATTGATGAAGCCAGTGACTGATGTGGTGTACTCCTCAATGCTATCGGAAGAATCCCGGAACATATTCCAGCCGTTCTATCCTGCCGATGTAGCGTATATCCCGCCAGCTGTAGGTTATCCATGTCGTCGTTCATCCACGACTCTTCAGCCAATCTCCGCTGTGGAGCTTTGCAGCTCCTTCAGGGTTATCTTTGGTGTCTTTGTTGCCTCTCTGATTAATGCCCTCCTTGCCTGGTCCGTGAGTTTTGGTGGGTGGCCCTCTCTTGGCAGGTTTGTTGTGGTGCCATATTCTTTCCATTTTTTAAATAATGGATTTAATGGTGCTCCGTGGGATTTTTAAAGTTTCTGATATTTTTTTATAACCCAACCCTGATCTGTACTTCTCCACAACTTTGTCCCTGACCTGTTTGCAGAGCTCCTTGGTCTTCATGGTGCCCCTTGCTTAGTGGTGTTGCAGACTCTGGGGCCTTTCAGAACAGGTGTATATATATACTGAAATCATGTGACAGATCATGTGATACTTAGATTGCACACAGGTGGACTTTATTTAACTAATTATTTGACTTCTGAAGGTAATTGGTTGCACCAGATCTTATTTAGGGGCTTCATAGCAAAGGGGGTGAATACATTATTTATTTTGTAGAATTTTTTGAAACAAGTTATTTTTTTCATTTCACTTCACCAATTTGGACTATTTTGTGTATGTATGTCCATTAAATGAAATCCAAATAAAAATCAATTTAAATTACAGGTTGTAATGCAACAAAATAGGAAAAACTCCCAAGGGGGATGAAAACTTTTGCAAGGCACTGTAGTGCTATGTATATTATGTATTTTATTTGTTGTTGTGTTTCCTGTTTGGACTCCAGGAAGAGTAGCAGCTGCCTCGGTAGCAGCTAATTGGGGATCCTAATAAATACTAAAGGCAAACATATTGATATTCATTCATCAACTTTCGTGCAATTTCATTTTGAAGTTGAAATTGTATCTCTACTCTCCACTCCAGAGATGACTTGGTGCGGGCCATAAAGAAGCTGAAAGTCATGGGGAACGGCTTTGGGATGATTCCTGTTGGAGGCTCTTACCTCGTGCAGTCAGTGCCAGCAGAGCTCAACATGGACCACACTGTGGTACTTCAGCTGGCTGAGGTAATCCTTCATTTCACCTCTTGAATCTGTATTGTGTGTCTGCCTCATCAGTAATTAGGCTAAATGACTTAACAAAAATGTCTCAGAATACTGATTGTAAGATTAAAGAGGGGCACTGTTAGATATTTCTTGTGAGCAGTTGTCAACATCATGCTTGGATTCAGAACATGCTGCACTGTTACTTTTGCTGAGTCATTTAGAGGGCTGCAAATATGGTGCCAGGTGTCATGAATATTTGTTTTTCTGCCAATTTGCAGAAGAAGGGCTACGTTTCAGTAAGTGAGATCAGAGAGAGTCTCAAGTGGGAGCGAGAGCGGGCCTGTCATGTGCTGGTAAGTCTCCTACAGAGGAAATGCAAAGCGGCATTATGAAACCAACCCTATTTTGGCTGTTGAAATTATTCTGCCAAGAGTCTTTAGGAGGATATTTTACAGAAGAAAATGGTTAGAAGACAATTAGGACTGACAAAGGACTATAGAATCATGGTTCTTGATTTGATGTTAGCTCACCACAATCCTAACATACACACTCCTTGTTGTCCTAGGATCACCTGTTGAAAGAGGGCTTGGCGTGGTTGGATTCCCAAGCTTCTGGAGAGCCACAGTATTGGCTGCCAGCCCTCTTTTCTGAGCTGACTTCCCGTGATGTCACACCTGAGGAGGCCAATCAGATAACGCCTTAAGATAGGATTTTTGGGACGTGGGAAGTTAGGGTAACTTGTTGATGAACAATGTGTGCCTGTTGGAAATATCCTGAATTGAAATGGGGTGTATTTAACTTAAAGGGTAGGTACCAATTATGTATATAAATCATTGGTAGGTACACATGATATTGCTTCCCTTCAGCGATTGTGGAGATGAAAACTAGGTTACAAATGATGTTTTCTGTGACAGTTGTCAATCATGGATTTATTTTTTATTTAATTTGTCATTATATTCAATTACCTTCTATTAAAACATCAGAGGATTTCTTTGCATATTGCAGTTTGTGATACAAAACCATGTTTGTTTTCATGCCAACACAACTGTGAAGACATCTTTCTTTGTTGTTTGAACTTCCCACATGAATCTAATTTCAACCATTACATTATCAGAGGGCATTATTTGACCATTAATCATTTGACTCTATTATGCAACACATCGTTTATATATTAGCAGCAGGTTTAAGGGGAAATTAGCCAAAGTAAACATACAGTAGTTCAGAAGATAATAGCAATAGAGTAAACCTAGGAAACCATTAAATAGCAACTCAATACATTCCTATCGATCAGCAATGGAGGCAAATTTGTACTCCATGTTCGAAATTAACAATTGACAATCAACCCTAACCCTAGCCATCAAAGTGTCTAAAACAATATGATAAATTCAATTAGTTATGGATTTCCCAGACATTAAATTATTAACCCTTATTTCACCAGGTAAGAGGACATTTACAGTAATTAACAGGAGACTTTAAATGTTTGTCTTATAATGTCGTGGATAGGTTGTTAGCCTGTATTTATTTGTCCCCCCCCCCCCTAATATAATTAGTAAGGTATCAGCTTTCTTTAATGAGTAGTCAACTCTCAGCAACTCTCTGGGTTGTGAGGATGTGGCATCCCTACACCTCATGGCTGTAGACGTGTTCTTCATACTTGGTCTGCTCGAGTCCGTCACAGATGAGGGTGCAAAAGGGGCACACTCTGTGGCTGTCCTCGTGCAGCTCCAGCTCATTCGGGGTGATGCCAGGGAAGCACTCATGGCAATGACGACATTTCAAGGACAACTATGGGACAGACACAGGTCATAAGTGGTAATAATATTGGATCTAGATTGGATAGAGTTAACTGTACTGTAGCACAGAAATGATAGAGCATTATGAAACCAACCCTTTGATCCCAAACCACTAGTGTATGTTGTTGTAAACATCTAATCTGCTTTATACCATGTATACCATAGGAATTACTTAACATACCTCCTCCGGGTTTGTCGCAGGGCCTGCAAACAGAATCATGTCAGTCATAATTGAACATGTTTTGTTATTTTTCAAGAAGGTGTGTCCATGAGGCACAAGTGGCGTTCATGTCTCATTTAAGAATATTTATGTGAGGCTTTCCAACAGCTGGAGTATTGGGATTACCTGGGGTCTCATAAGGGTTCCCAAAGTGGAGAGAGGCAGCCAGTGCATCTTGCTGCTGCTGCTCCTCAGTGGGGATGGGGTCAGTTGAAGAGCCATAAGGGTTGGGATGCTGCATGGACACTGGAGCAGCCTGGAGGTCAGCAAACTCCTTGCGAAGTCTCACAACAGTTATTTTGAGTTCCTGACAGATGGAAAACAGTGAAAACCCCAAGGTAAGCAAATGTCCCTAATTTTATTATAAAGTAAATAATTAAATGACTAGTAAATAGTATCAGAATTCATAGCAATCACCTGATTTTCTCTGGACAACTCCTCTTTCTCTACTTTAGCAATCTCTGTCATGCTTTCTTTCTCCTCAATGATTCTGTGTAACTCTAAAAGTTGCATCTGAGAGGAGAGAACAGGCAACTTGTGATCAGCCAAGAGAATAAGATTAGTGTGTTTTATATTCATTTGCTCTCACAACTGCTTTCCCAGAACAAACAACATATTGGTAAGCAAAAATCATATCCCTGACCCTGTCTGTGGATTGGAATAGCGTCCAAGATATTCTCTAAGCACCTCTAGTTTGCTGGTTTTCTGCTCCGCCTGTGTAGACCTTATTGTTATGAGCTTCATGCACTCATTGACCTTCTCCAGTTCCCCCTCTGCTTGCTCTGCACGTCTACGTGTGTTGTTGGAAGCATGCAGCTCCTGGTGCAACTGTGTCTGAGCCTCCTGCAGCTGGCCAAGAAGAGCTTGGTATTGTACCTAGAGGCACACACAAGAAGACTACAGTATTACATTTCACAATGGTGTGTATTGGAAGGACATAGTTATTTTAGCAACTTGTTCCCACCTTCAAATCACTGTCCACCATCTCCTGCTGTGGCTGGTGCTCCTGCTCTGACAGGCTTCTGTGTAAGGCCTTGTTCTCAGTCTTCAAGTCCTCCAGGTCATGTGTGAGACCACGCAGTTTGTGCAACTCCGCAGAAAGCTTCTCCTTCTCTTTCTCACTGCTCTGGAGATCCACCTGAAAAAGGTCAACATGAGATTCCGTGATTAAATGTTTTTTTCACATCAATGGAAGCACTAAATTAATTGGCCAACAGGTCTTTTAAAGAGTATACAGTGGGGGAAAAAAGTATTTAGTCAGCCACCAATTGTGCAAGTTCTCCCACTTAAAAAGATGAGAGAGGCCTGTAATTTTCATCATAGGTACACGTCAACTATGACAGACAAATTTAGAAGAATAAAATCCAGAAAATCACATTGTAGGATTTTTTATGAATTGATTTGCAAATTATGGTGGAAAATAAGTATTTGGTCACCTACAAACAAGATTTCTGGCTCTCACAGACCTGTAACTTCTTCTTTAAGAGGCTCCTCTGTCCTCCACTCGTTACCTGTATTAATGGCACCTGTTTGAACTTGTTATCAGTATAAAAGACACCTGTCCACAACCTCAAACAGTCACACTCCAAACTCCACTATGGCCAAGACCAAAGAGCTGTCAAAGGACACCAGAAACAAAATTGTAGACCTGCACCAGGCTGGGAAGACTGAATCTGCAATAGGTAAGCAGCTTGGTTTGAAGAAATCAACTGTGGGAGCAATTATTAGGAAATGGAAGACTTACAAGACCACTGATAATCTCCCTCGATCTGGGGCTCCACGCAAGATCTCACCCCGTGGGGTCAAAATGATCACAAGAACGGTGAGCAAAAATCCCAGAACCACACGGGGGGACCTAGTGAATGACCTGCAGAGAGCTGGGACCAAAGTAACAAAGCCTACCATCAGTAACACACTAAGCCGCCAGGGACTCAAATCCTGCAGTGCCAGACGTGTCCCCCTGCTTAAGCCAGTACATGTCCAGGCCCGTCTGAAGTTTGCTAGAGTGCATTTGGATGATCCAGAAGAGGATTGGGAGAATGTCATATGGTCAGATGAAACCAAAATATAACTTTTTGGTAAAAACTCAACTCGTCGTGTTTGGAGGACAAAGAATGCTGAGTTGCATCCAAAGAACACCATACCTACTGTGAAGCATGGGGGTGGAAACATCATGCTTTGGGGCTGTTTTTCTGCAAAGGGACCAGGACGACTGATCCGTGTAAAGGAAAGAATTAATGGGGCCATGAGATTTTGAGTGAAAACCTCCTTCCATCAGCAAGGGCATTGAAGATGAAACGTGGCTGGGTCTTTCAGCATGACAATGATCCCAAACACACCGCCCGGGCAACGAAGGAGTGGCTTCATAAGAAGCATTTCAAGGTCCTGGAGTGGCCTAGCCAGTCTCCAGATCTCAACCCCATAAAAAATCTTTGGAGGGAGTTGAAAGTCCGTGTTGCCCAGCGACAGCCCCAAAACATCACTGCTCTAGAGGAGATCTGCATGGAGGAATGGGCCAAAATACCAGCAACAGTGTGTGAAAACCTTGTGAAGACTTACAGAAAACATTTGACCTGTGTCATTGCCAACAAAGGGTATATAACAAAGTATTGAGAAACTTTTGTTATTGACCAAATACTTATTTTCCACCATAATTTGCAAATAAATTTATTAAAAATCCTACAATGTGATTTTCTGGAATTTTTTTTCTCATTTTGTCTGTCATAGTTGACGTGTACCTATGATGAAAATTACAGGCCTCTCTCATCTTTTTAAGTGGGAGAACTTGCACAATTGGTGGCTGACTAAATACTTTTTTTCCCCACTGTATGTGTGTTACAGGCATTCATTTACATCAATTACTCTGCTGAGTGTGCTGACCTGTAGAAGTTGAATGTGATCCTTCAGTCTGTAAGACTCCTGCTCAGATTTGCTGAGCCTTGGGCTCAGCCTGTTTACACAGACGCAGGGGCATGAGGAACAACATTGTTACACAAGTGTAAAAATATATATATATATTATAATAATATACAGGATGATATCATGATATGACTGGAAAGGTGTTGGACTAGAAAGCTATGTCCATTGAATGGATTGCTCGAGACAAGTACTCACTGTGCAATCTCCAGACTTTGGACCTCAACCTTTCCTTTCAACTCCACTTGCTCCTTCTTCAGCTGTTTGATCTTGCTCAATGCTCGTTCATATTTCTCACAAGTAGGAGTCAGAGACTGCAGGCATTTGTGAAGAGAAATAGCAAGTTAGTGTTTTCACACTTGGTCCCTTTCAGACAATTTTTGTGAATACATTACGGTTTGCTTAATGTTCTGTGAACACTCCAAAGGAATTCAGACCCCTCAAAAGAGCCCCCGAAGTGAACCGAACTGAGACCATTCCGAGAGGTGGTCTGAGTTCGGTTCGCTTGAATTCTGCAGGCCGGTTCTCTTTTTTAGGCCAATGTGAACACTAAGCTCCCCAGGTTCGCTTGTCATTATTCCCGCACCACACACTAGACTACTTTATTAAAGAGGACTATGTGAAAACACCCTTCGATACATGACAAGGAGACAGAGAAAGTGGGGGGGGGGGGGGGGAATAGTAGAAGATTCATTGAAAAATATTGATGGTATACAAACAGCTGTCACATGTTTTGACACTATATTCACCAAATATTTTTCATGAATTGGGGTCAGAGACTCCAGACATTCATGGAAAGAAACAGTTAGAAACAAGACAAAATGCACTCAGTAGTAGTAGTTCTTTAGTAGTCCCAAATGGGAAATTGGTTTGCGTCACTTACCTCCTGTCCTATGTGTGATTCATCCATTGATTTGGCATTCTGTGTCAGTTCTTCATGCTCTCTAGCATTATGTTGCTGTTGCTCCAGTTTGCTCACTACCTGTGCAAGTTCCTCTTTTGATTCCTACAGGAACAATATACAATTCATCATCCTCTCAACCTGATTAGGGGCTAGAAGTAAGACTGCTGGTGGAAAGAAAATACTTTCAAACAAACCTTGAGGCGGTCAACCTCTTGCTGTTGCTCCTTTAGGGCACTTGTCAGAGTCTCATTTTGCTCTTTCAGTTGCCCCAACTCCATGGCCAGCTCTTCTTTCTCCATCTCACTTTGCGCCACCTGTTCCTAGATTCAGAAATGCTCAAATCATGTTGATAACCTCTACTGGTTATGGACATGGAACACTAGTCACTTTAATAATGTTTACATACTGCTTTACTCATCTCATATGTATATACTGTATTCTATTCTATTCTACTGTATTTTAATCAATGCCACTCCGACATTGCTCGTCCTAATATTTATATATTTCTTAATTCCATTATTTTACTTTTAGATTTGTGTATAGTTGTGAATTGTTAAGCTACTACTGCACTGTTGGAGCTAGGAACACAAGCATTTCGCTACACCCGAAATAACATCTGCTAAATATGTGTATGTGACCAATAAAATGTGATTTGATTTGATTACTGTGTTTGGCTAGTTCCATCTATCCATCAAGTATAGTTCCACCAGTTATGTTGAAAAGCATTTATGTTTCAGTAAGGAAACAGTTTCTTAGTTGTCAGATGATTTGTGATCACTGTGTTGTAGACACAAAATTGACCAAATATTACCTCCTGTCCTTTGTGGGAGTCATCCATTGATTTAGCTTTATGTGTCAGTTCTTCATGCTCTCTTGCATTCTGCTGCTGCTTCTCCAGGTTCCCGTCGGCCTGGTATAGTTCCTCGTTAGACAGCTGCAGAAATAATGTTACAATTCTGTTACCTCACATTCTCATTTCCATTCTCACACATGACTAGGGGCTATAAATTAGCAGCAGTTGGAACAAACAACTAGAAAACAAACCTTGAGGCAATCAATCTCTTGCTGTTGCTCCTTCAGGACTCCTCTCAAAATCTCATTTTGCTCTTTCAGTTGCCCCAACTCCATGACCAGCTTTTCTTTCTCCCTCTCACGTTGCTCGACCTTTTCCTAGATTCAGAAATGCACATCATGTACATACATAACCTCTCCTATGGATAATTCTAGCTAAAATGTTATTGTGAGGGACATAATCTCCTTGACCCAGCCACTAAGCAAGCCAAACAACAAGTTCTGCATTTTTAAGTCAAATATTTCAAGCATGGTCTTTAAAACACAATCAAATCTACGTTTAATGTTAGGTATGGTGGATTGCATTGTACCTGTGTTGTGATGACCAAGAGGTCGTTTTCCAGGCTGCCATCTGTGCTTTGTTCCCCTGAGGTTTTAAAACAAAAGGGGGTGCTGGCTCCTCTCACTTGGCCATTGCTATCAACATAGCAGAACTGATAGAACTCTGCATCATCCTTTGGCAAGTAGTATGCTATCAGAATAACAATATCATTGTCAGCGTAATCCCCAGCATAATATTGATCACTTGAATATCAAATGAAAATGCAATTTACATTATTTGTATATAGAATTAAGAAATTAACATGGGCCTATAGCTATCATCAAAAAATAATTAACCTAAATTGATCACGATCATTCATATCAAAGTTCATGTCAGTTGAAACGTTTTGAGGATAAAATGCACACATTGTCTTACCACTAAAAACCACTTGTTTTCTGTTTGGATCCTGTTTCATCGGATCCAATGATGGTTCTACCCACACAAATGTGTAATAATCCTTTGTGGTGCTCCAGCCCACCTGCACAACATCAGTTATAACACAATCAGCACAACATCAGTTATAACACAATCATGACTGACTGACAATTGGGAGGGATTATAGACTGTGGATATCTATTGTTTAATATATTAGGTTATTATTTCCTTTCTGGAAATAATCAAATCAATTTCTACTGGTCAACTAATACAATCCATATCATAATCTCTGATGAAACAGATCATGACAAAATATCTATAATCTCACTTTGAATATCCCCACCCAGTCTCTGGGGTTCTGTTGAATGGCTGCTGTCAGAGTGTAGCAGCAAATCACGGCAAGATTTGGCGCATAGGAGTGGGGGATTTCCTGAAATACAACCTGGGAAAAGGTTGTTGACAATTCCATGTTGGCTGCACTTTCGACGCTCTCCATTGTGAGCTCTGAAATTGAGAATATAGCAAAATGAAAACAAGTAGGCCAACATGCGCATAAAAAAATGCAACAGTTAAAAACTAACAGCATGTAGAACTCGCATAAACCATCATTTATGTTGTCAACTGAACCCCGTATATGTATCTTCTCTGGCAGCACACATTGTGGATGATTCGTTTGTTTATTAGAAGGCCAACAATTTTATATCACATAAAAATTACATACACTGTTCCGTACGCAAAAACGAAGTTTCACTTTCATTTAACATTTGTTGTGCGACGTATCGCCTATGGTTCACACCTGACACTCACATTTAACATACGCATAATTGTTTTCTAAATACTTTTGGACGTTTATTTGATTTTCAAACATATACTTCTAACCCAATAGCTTATTCAAGATAGATGTATTATGTTTGATCAAGCCACAATAAACCATACAAAGCCACAAATAAAACACTGGACAGAAAACGAATATGAAAGTGAACATTATTACGATCAAATGTGTTATACTGTTTAGCTTAAATAATGACATTAAATGGTTGAACTTACATGAAGTTTGGACTGCCAACTGCAACTGCAACTGCCAGTTCAATTCAGCGGTGTCGCAACTCCGACAGCAACTCGGAAAACGTACTGTCCTTAGGTATTCATTTCAAGCAGAGAGGAGGAGGTTATGGGAGAGCGATAACTGGGCCAAAATCTTTATTCTCCAACATGTGGCGTTGTTTCGTTTTTTTCGCTCACCAAGCTAGGAGTTTTTGTATAGAGGTCAATGAGAGTGTCGAATTTGGCTAACACGAAAATGTAATGGCTTATTTGCTATGTGTGGCTTATTTGATCGAATAGAAGTCTCGTAATGATGAGGTTGTTTCGAGTGTACGGATATAAGTAGGACACGTGACATCACGGCAACATTGAGAAAACACACTTTATATCGGAGTTGTGGCTGGTCGTTACTACTTACCACAGCCACAAAGTCATTAATCCCATTTACATTTACGCTCTTATCCAGAGCGATTTACAGTTAGTGAGTGCATACATTTTTTTTTTTTCATACTGGTCCCCCGTGGGAAACGAACCCACAACCCTGGCGTTGCAAACGCCATGCTCTACCAACTGAGCTACACGGGACATTTCTACAATTTATCTTCTTAAAATGTGAATTTAAACCTAACCTTAACCATACTGCTAACCTTATGCCTAACCATAACCTTAAATGAAGACCAAAAAGCACGTTTTTGTTATCATACATTAAATTATGACAGCCTATAGCCAATTTAGACTTTGTGGCTGGGGTAACTAGTGGAAACCCTTGTGCCTGCTGTTCAAACACGTATAGGTTTATACTTTCCCTTTAATCTAGACCAGTGTTTGCCAACTCCGGTCCTCGAGTACCCCCAACAGTACATATGTTTCGTGTGGCCCATGACAAGCACACCTGATTCTACTCGCCAACTAATCATAAATCCTTTGACAAGTTAAATCCGTTTTTTTTTTGTCCTGGGATTCAACAGAAATGTGTGCTGCTGCTGTTGGGGGTACTCGAGGACCGGAGTTGGGAAACACTGATCTAGACAGTTGGGGAGATTTCACAATATGAAATAGGATATAGCCTGTCCCCATTATTAAAGGGTTGGTCTTATGTTGTGACTGTGGATATTGCTGATGTCAATGAGTGGCACTGCATTAGTCAATATAGCACTATCCAATAGGAAAGGGGTTCAGGTAGCCTTGGTGCCGGACTGTTTCTGTATTCAACATTGACATGTCAGCTAAAGCAAAAACAGACTGTCACCGAGGATAGATAACAGGATGGGGGATAATCGTGATCAACTTTCAATTCCCTGCATCTGCTGTAGTGCACTCAGATATGTGTATGTAGCATGTAGCCTACAGGCTTCTCCTCAGTTAATCAGTTGTTTTCTAGGGGAAACCAAAAACAGCATTTCATATTGTTGGTTGAATTACGCAACAATCTCCTGTGTTTGCCTGAATACTTGGTAAATCTGGTGTGATTGAAGGTGCAAGGATTCCTCCTTACATTGACAAACAATAGCAGATGAAACAAGGGCCATAGAGGATGACAACCAATGGAAATCTAAGGCATACAATGGGTAGAACTTTGCTATAGCAGAAACAGACACCATGCCATAACATAATCACTGGTGACACACTGGTGCTGCTATTCCTGTAACACTAGCCCACTGCTCTCCTTCAGCTTCCCTGGCTTCCCTGGTTCAGTGTACAAAAGGAGATTACCTGCTGGGCGCTGTATCAGAGAGGTGTCAGTGTGACTCGGGTGTAGCCTAGTTGAACAGGCAGCAGCTCTCCAATGTATTGCCCAGCTTAAAACACACTCTGCGTAACCCTAACCTTTCTGACGTTAGCCAGGAAAGTGTAGTATTAGGCACAGGATGGAGCATTGAACTGCTCTTTGCACCTGTTGCAGGCTGGGTATGGCTTTTGGTTCCTTTTCCTTCACTGCTCTGATCCATATTGTATTTTTTGAGGTTGATGTATCCGGGTGAAGTTTCTTTCTGCCCCATTTTATTTTATCAAGACCTTTTTGGCCTGTGCTGCTTCATTCAAAGATACCGCAGATCTGTATATAATGACGAGATGACAAGTTTAGGTCCAAAATCAACCCATAGAAACGCACTGGGCTTATTTTTGACAGATTTGGGCGAGAGTGAAACCTCTTGCTTTGCCTTTTCATCTCGGGAAGATACTCTGTGCACCCTGGTGTGTAGGCTAAATACAACCTGTTTTCTATTTTGAAAATGTTTCACTCTATACTGAAGAATTGTGCGCCGATTACACAATATTTTACTTGCATTAATGCTGTTTTCTCAACATCCTGAACCTCAGTATAATCCTGCAGTAGTGTTTGAGTCTCAGTGAATTGAACGTCAGTGTCAACCTCACCTCTAGATGGCGCAAACTGACCTACATCCCCTTTCAAACCTCTCCTCGGGGACCCCTAGATATTTCACAATTGTGTTGTAGCCCTGAACTACCAAACCTGATTCAAGTAGTCAAGGGTTTTATAATTACTTGTTGAATAGTTAAAATGCATGTTGAATAGTTCAAATACATTAAATGGCTGGGGGTCCCCGAGGAGAGGTTTGAAAAAGGCTGCTCTAACCTGCTGTACAAAAGCTTCTGCATCACCATTCACCATTTGTCTACTGTTATAAATATAGTCGCTATTGCAAAGATGTATCTAAAACACTGTCCTGATAAGAGGCTTGAAGACCTTGTCAAAGCTGGCAGGGATTCTGTCCTTCTCTGAATCTCTGATCATGGAGCAGCTTTCTGTTTCATTCTGTTGCTTCAGGAGATGAAGGATGAAGCACCTGATTTTGATCTGTTTTGACATGTACATAATACCGATTCACTGACTTCATTATGACTGACAATACCTTGAATGTAGAATACTAAGCGATCTAAAACGGCTCAAAAGCAGGGTAAAATCCGTCCATGACTCAAAGAGGTCCTCAAAGGCTGATGTGTTTCTCTGGTGCTCTGTGTTCAGAGTTCATCAGTTAGTACAGTGGTATTTCAACTTTTTCAGCAGGGACCCCATTTTTTTCGCCAGAGTTTCTCGTGACCCCACCCCAAAATCTAATGACAATTTCAACTTTAATATCAACAAATAACCTTACATTAATTACATGTTCATCTTTCTTATCAAAATTAAGAGAACCAATATATACATTTACTCAATAACATTTTATTTTTCAAATAATAAAACAAAATAAAACAGATTGTTTATTGTCCCATGCAATTATTTTCTATTTTTATTTTTATGTACAGCCCCCCACTAGGCGTTGCTGAGAGCCCATTGGCTGTCGAACGAACAATTGGCTGTGTGATTGGACGAAACTACAGCCTGTTTGTGTAGGAGGAACGTCATCGCAGAAGAACAGGACGTCGGGAATGTTTTTAAACAATATTGACACCGTGTGCCTGCCACACTGACACATATTGTGCGGAAGGAAAAGTAAAAGGTAAGCTTTACTATTTTATTTTGACAGTGTATGGTTGACCATTTTCGGGTGAGTGAGAACATGTTTGAGACTCAGGTGTTGATACCTACTTTCTGCTGCTTGCTTTGAAGTCAGCGAGCGTTCTGTTACCATAGCAATGCCATGCGCTATCCAGCTAGGAAGCTAACTAGCATAGCAGCAGGGAAGTCAAGTTAATACAGTGGGTTTATATTTTGAAGTCACTGTTTGCAATACCAATTATTCAGTTACTTTTCTAAAAAGGATACTGTTGGTTCAGTAGGGAATGGATAAAGTGGAATGTGTGAAATAACATTTGCAGCTTGTGAGGGCGGCAGGTAGCTTAGTGGTTAAGAGCGTAGTGCCAGTAACCGAAAGGGCGCTGGTTATAATCCCCGAGCCGACTAGGTGAAAAATCTGTCGATGTGCCCTTGAGCAAGGCACTTAACCCTAATTGCTTCTGTAAGTCGCTCTGGATAAGAGCGTCTGCTAAATGACTAAAATGTAATGTAAATGTGAGGGAGGGTAGGAAGAAAGCAAGTGTTTACATAGCAGAGACTCAGTCAGTGCGTGAGACAGTGTATGTGTGTGCTAGTTGGGAGATGACTGATGCCTATTAGTTACCATGACAACAAGGAAACATACAGTAAGGTGACCCCCACACAGATCAAATTACCTCCTAGGCTTTAATCTCTGTATGGTGAGGGGCTAGTTGCAACCCATCTTGTGGTTGGAATAAAATAAATATTGCTATGAAAGATAAACTGAGCATGCTGTTGATAAGAGCAGAAGTTTGTTCTAGATCCACAGGTTATGGTAACAAATAGACCAGAGCTTCCCTTTGAACAACTGTGGTTCAGTTCTGATTATCTGTAGTGCAGTTTTCCTCAATGGATTCCTCCATGGTCAATGCAAAGCATTCATTTCGCTAATGTGCACTGTAGCTAGTGGTTTCAGCACATATTTGAATTGCTCACAGTGTCAAATCACTTGTCTAATTACCTTGAACAAATATGAGGGATTAACCCTCTCTACTTCCACAATGTGATATCAATATAATATAATATGCCATTTAGCAGACGCTTTTATCCAAAGCGACTTACAGTCATGCGTGCATACATATTTTTGTGTATGGGTGGTCCCGGGGATCGAACCCACTATCTTGGCGTTACAAGCGCCGTGCTCTACCAGCTGAGCTACAGAGGACCACAATGTGATATCCTGCTCATAATTTTCTCTCCATGTCAGGACATATAAGGTGTTTTTCCCTAGTTTCTTATTGGCCACCTGACCCACTGGCCATGCTATTAGGATGTAAGTGAATCTAAGTAGTGCCACCCCTGGGGTCATGGTACAAATGTGCCCTTTTTGTTCAGGATTAGGACCAGACCAGAGGTGGATATGAGGCTTTGTGAGCTGCCTTCTGTTGGGAACGACCACATCTTGCCGGGCCCCTGAAACTGAGGGGCCCTTACCAACAAACAGAGTGGGTGAGTTGGAAGGGTGGAGGGCATCGTCTAGCATTTCCACCCACCTTAAATGCACAGCACAGGTTTGTGTACCTTTAAAAAAAAAGTATATATACTGTACGTATGTGAGAATGCTGTTCATTGACTACAGCTCAGCGTTCAACTCAGTGGTCCCCTCCAAGCTCATCACCAAGCTCAGGACCCTGTGACTGAAGACCTCCCTCTGCAACTGGATCCTGTTCCTCGGTGTCCACATCACTAAGGACTTAACATGGTCCACACACATGGTCCGCACAGTCGTGAAGAGGGAACAACAGTGCATCTTCTCCCACAGGAGGCTGAAGAGATTTGGCATGGGCCCTCAGATCCTCAAGAGGTTCTACAGCTGCACCATCGAGAGCATCTTGACTGGTTGCATCACCGCTTGGAAAGCAACTGCACTGCACCGCCCTCGACCGCAAAGCTCTACAGAGGGTGGTGAGGATGGCCCAGTACATCACTGGGGCTGAGCTCCCTCCCATCCAGTACCTCGATATCAGGTGGCGTTAGAGGAAGGCCCGAAAAATTGCGAAAGACTTCAGCCACCCAAGCCATAGACTGTTCTCTCTGCTACCGTCCGGCAAACGGTACCAGTGCATCGGTTCTCGGACCAACAGGCTCCGAGACAGCTTTTATCCCCAAGCACTGTTGAATAGATAATCAAATGATTACCCGGACTATATTCACTGACTCTATTTTGCACTGACTCTATGCACACTCACAGGACTCTATCCACACACTCACACACACATACACACACTTACATACGCAAGCACACACACACAACACACGCATACTGACGCCACACACACACAGACACTTTCACACATGTACACATACACTCATCATACAGTGAATTCGGAAAGTATTCAGACCCCTTCCCTTTTCCCACATTTTGTTACGTTACAGCCTTATTCTAAAATCTACACACAGTACCCCATAATGACAAAGCAAAAACAGGTTTTCAGACATTTTTGCTAATTTATATAAAAAATAAAATAAATAAAAAGATGCCTTATTTACATAAGTATTCAGACCCTTTGCTATGAGACTCGACATTGAGCTCAGGTGCATCCTGATTCCATTGATCATCCTTGAGATGTTTCTACAACTTGATTGTAGTCCACCTGTGGTAAATTCAATTGATTGGACATGATTTGGAAAGGCACACACCTGTCTTTATAAGGTCCCACAGTTGGCAGTGCATGTCAGAGCAAAGACCAAGCCATGAGTTCCAAGGAATTGTCCATAGAGCTCCGAGACAGGATTATGTCGAGGCACAGATCTTGGGAAGGGTACCAAAAAAAGTCTGCAGCATTGAAGGTCCCCAAGAACACAGTGGCCTCCATCATTCTTAAATGCAAGAAGTTTGGACCCACCAAGACTCTTCCTAGAGCTGGCCGCCCGGCCAAACTGAGCAATCGTGGGAGAAGGGCCTTGGTCGGGGAGGTGACCAAGAACCCAATGGTCACTCTGACAAAGCTCCAGAATTCCCCTGTGGAGATGGGAGAACCTTCCAGAAGGACAACAATCTATGCATCATTACACCAATCAGGCCTTTATGGTAGAGTGGCCAGATGGAAGCCGCTCCTCAGTAAAGGGCACATGACAGCCCACTTGGAGTTTGCCAAAAGGCACCTAAATGACTCTCAGACCATGAGAAACAAGATTATCTGGTCTGATGAAACCAAGATTGAACTCTTTGGCCTGAGTGCCAAGCGTCACGTCTGGAAGAAACCTGGCACCATCCCTACGGACTAGTCAGGATCGAGGGAAAGATGAACGGAGCAAAGTACAGAGAGATCCTTGATTAAAACCTGCTCCATAGTGCTCAGGACCTCAGACTGGGGCGAAGGTTCACCTTCCAACAGGACAACGACCCTAAGCACACAGCCAAGACAATGCAGGAGTGGCTTCAGGACAAGTCTCTGAATGTCCTTGAGTGGCCCAGCCAGAGCCCGGACTTGAACCCGATCGAACATCTCTGGAGAGACCTGAAAATAGCTGTGCAGCGATGCTCCCCATCCAACCTGACAGAGCTTGAGAGGATCTGCAGAGAAGAATGGGAGAAACTCCCCAAATACAGGTGTGCCAAGCTTGTATCGTCATACCCGAGAAGACTCGAGGCTGTAATCGCTGCCAAAGGTGCTTCAACAAAGTACTGAGTAAAGGGTCTGAATACTTATGTAAATGTGTTATTTCAGTTGTTAATTTTTTAAAATAAATTAGCAAAAATGTCTAAACCTGTTTTTGCTTTGTCATTATGGGGTATTGTGAGGCGGGGGAAACGATATAATCCATTTTAGAATAAGGCTGTAACGTAACAAAATGTGGAAAAAGTCAAGGTGTCTGAATACATTCCGAATGCACTGTATTCGCTGCTGCTACTTTGTTTTTTAAATCTTATTATTATCAATCCTTATGCCTAGTCACTTTACCCCTGCCTACATGTACATACATAGCTACCTCGTACCCCTGCACATTGATATGGTATTGGTACTCCCTGTACATAGCTTCATTCTTGTGTGTTTTATTACTCTGTTTTTATTTTCTTATTTTACCTCTTTGTCGTCGGGAAAGAGCTTGTAAGTAAGGTCTACACCTGTTGTATTCGGCGCATGTGACAAATAAAATGTGAATTGATAGTGAGGGAAAATACAGTGAGCATTGATCAGAGAAAAACATGTAAAGTCAGGTCAGTGGTTGACTGAATTGTTGATTTGAGTTGTTTTCAGAAGTTTTCCACCATGACTTCAGAACTTTTGCATGAAATAATTACTTTGTTTTTCCATCTTTAGGATAGAGATTAGTGAATTGAAAATGAGTTATTATATAGTAATAGACCGATATCATTCTTTGACTAGAATTTACATCTGATATACTAGAACACATTTGCTTGAGAACACCAAACTGCTAGGCCTATTTAAAGACTATATTTATGCATTGTTGTTTTTTGGATAGGTCCTAAAGAGAGCTCCTATGAGAGTGCTGTTGTAACAGGATACCTGTAGAGGTCACTGGGCCGTCTCCGCCAAGCTCAATTACAAGAGTTCAGGGCCAGGATTATCCAGATCACTGGCTCAGAATACTGTTACCCAGCACCAGAGGAGGCTGGTGGGAGGAGCTATAAGTGGACGGGCTGATTGTTATGGCTGGAATGAAATAAATGGAACGGAGTCAAGCACGTTGTTTTCATGTGTTTGATGTGTTTGGTACCATTCCATTGATACCATTCCACCCATTACAATTAGCCCATCCTCCTATAGCACCTCCCACTAGCAGCCTCTGCCCAGCAGCCAGGCCTCCCGCAGCCTAACAGGGATGTCCCTCCTCACCCTCCCCTGGGCCCTGTCCAGCACTTACCCTTATCATTACCAGCAATTAGTCTCACCTAGGCTTCACCTTAGGGACGTGAGATCAGAGAGAGAACCCCTCAGTGATGGTCAGGGCACACAAGGACACTTCAAGGGGATTTAGGCTAAGTTACTGTCTGAGGAGTCTTGTGTTTTTTCCAAACGGAGTGATCCGTCTGAACTCTATTGCAAACTTGACTCGCTGCCCAATAACTCTTGAATGACCCTCTGCTATGGATGGAATGTTGACAGGCCGAGTACCTACCTGAGAAGAGAAATGGAAACAGAAACATGATTCTCTGTGTGCATTACAACCTGGATTCTGATCTGGTTGATTGTATTTCAGGGTGGGGGTACTAGTATTGACATCAAAACGCAATTATGTAAATGTATGCAAATTTCTTAGATATTGGTTGGAAAACATAATGTCTTTAATTTGTGTTAATTGATGCTTGATAACACGTTAATTACCTAGTGTTACTGTTATGTAAGCCTTTTTTTTTGTCCCTCTTTATGTATCTTCTTCAGGATGGACCTGCGAGCAGAGAGCCCTGACAGAGACTCTGAAGATGATGCCTTCAAGTGTGGACCTGAGGGGGGAGAGGAGGGCGAGGGCTGGGGGAGCGATAGTCAACCCGAGGCCTGCACCCCTACTCCTCCATCCATTGGCAAGAGGAAGAAGAAAAGGAAAAAGAGGTACTTCAAGTTAAAAGATGTAACTCTACTGGTGCTTTGGTGCTTCCTCTTCCCCAAAACGCTGGGAGAGGCGGAAGTAATTGAGGAAGGATGATTAGGACCTTGCAGCAAGGCACATGTCTGTCCCCCTCTTTCTGTTTCTTCTTTCCCAGATGACTGTGGATCAATATCGTCAACTGCAAATATGAAAGTGGTGAGTTATCCTGCATATACCAACGTATGAATTGGTGTGATTTTATCTTTTCAAAGATCACCCATGTCACTTGCTTTGTTACCCCCATGTTGGGAGAATCCTAGACAATCGCTTTAATTCCTCACAGTCACAGTTTTGCTATGTAGTCTAGTCAAATACATTTGAAACACAGACATACACTGAGTATAGCATACATTAGGAACACCTTCCTAATATTGAGTTGCACCCCCTTTTGCCCTCAGAACAGCCTCAATTTGTCGGGGCATGGACTCTACAAGGTGTCGAAAGTATTCCACAGGGATGCTGGCCCATGTTGACTCCAATGCTTCCCACAGTTGTGTCAAGTTGGCTGGATGTCCTTTGGGTGGTGGACCTTTCTTGATACACACAGGAAACTGTTGAGCTTGAAAATCCCAGCAGCGTTGCAGTTCTTGACACAAACCGGTGCTCCTGGCTAGGGCTGTTGCGGTGACCGTATTACCGCCACACCGGCAGTCACGAGTCATGAAGGCAGTCAAATTCCACATGACCGTTTAGTCACGGTAATTAGGCTTCTCCAAGCTCTGATGCTGCTGCTGGTCATTAGTAGCCTACCAAACTTGCTAACTGCCTGGTACTCAGCACTCTATTGTCCCTCTAATCACTCTGACATCAATGCAAATGTATTCGAAAATCTAATCAAACACTTCATGAGAGCCCATGAGCTCATGTTGCGCAACATTTCTATAGGCTATGCAATTGCGGGAGAAAATAGATTGATGGCCGCTAAGAAAAAGAGGAGGATCCCATCAGCTTTCTATAGGCTTACTATATTTATTTCTCAACTTTCCTAATATTAAGCACATTGCTGGCTGGCATGAAAATAAACCACGGTGAAAAGCGTCCTCAATTCGCTATTTAAGTGCATAGATTACATTTATTTTTTCCTGCTGCCCCTGTTTCGATACAGGTGCATGATAATGGTCCATTCTAAATTAAAACAAATTTCACACATACACTACCGTTCAAAAGTTTGGGGTCACTTAGAAATGTCCTTGTTATGGAAAGAAAAGCAATTTTTTGGCCATTAAAATAACATCAAATTGATCAGAAATACAGTGTAGACATTGTTAATGTTGTAAATGGCTATTGTAGCTGGAAACTGCTGATAAAAAAAAAAAAAGGAATATCTACATAGGCGTACAGAGGCCCATTATCAGCAACCATCAGTCCTGTGTTCCAATGGCACGTTGTGTTTGCTAATCCAAGTTTATCATTTTAAAAGGCTAATTGATCATTAGAAAACCCTTTTGCAATTATGTTAGCACAGCTGAAAACTGTTGTGCTGATTAAAGAATAAATAAAACTGGCCTTCTTGAGACTAGTTGAGTATCTGGAGCATCATCAATTGTGGGTTCGATTACAAGCTCAAAATGGCCAGAACAAGTAACTTTCTTCTGACACTCGTCAGTCTATTCTTGTTCTGAGAAATGAAGGCTATTCTATGCGAGAAATGGCCAAGAAACTGAAGATCTTGTACAACGCTGTGTACTACTCCCTTCACAGAACAGCGCAAACGGTCTCTAACCAGAATAGAAAGAGGAGTGGGAGGCCCCAGTGCACAACTGAGCAAGAGGACAAATACATTAGAGTGTCTAGTTTGAGAAACAGGCGCCTCACAGGTCCTCAACTGACAGCTTCATTAAATAGTACCCGCAAAACACCAGTCTCAACCTTCTAGGCAGAGTTGCAAAGAAAAAGCCATATCTCAGACTGCCCAAGATTAAGATGGCCAGTCTGAGATATGGCTTTTTCTTTGCAACTCTGCCTAGAAGGTCAGCATCCCAGAGTTTGCACTGTTCTGTGAAGGGAGTAGTACAGAGCATTGTACGAGATCTTTGCTTGACAATCACCGGCTGACAAAATTTCGTGACCGCCACAGCCTGGCACCTACTACCATACCCCGTTCAAAATGTCTTACATCTTTTGTCTTGCCCTTTCACTCTTTGAATGGCACACGTACACAATCCATGTCTCAATTGTCTCAAGGCTTGAAAATCCTTCTTTAACCTGTCTCCTCCCCTTCATCTACACTGATTTTAAGTGGATTTAACAAGTGACATCAATAACGGATCATAGCTTTCACCTGAATTCACCTGGTCAGTCTGTCATGGAAAGAGCAGGTGTCCTTAATGTTTTGTATACTCAGTGTAGATTAATATGTCCTCTAATGGGTAGTCTTTCTTCCTCACCCTGTCAGTGCGACGTGCTGCTCGCAGATATGGCCTTTGGGAAGCAGTGGAGGGCGAGGACTGGACTCTCTTCTGGACAGACTGCTCTGTCTCACTGGACAGAGTTATGGACATGAAGCGCTACCAGGTACTTAACATCTCCCCCAAGTCCACCTCTCTCCTCATAGAGCTCTGAAAATGTGCGTCAGCCCCTGTTGATTCGCCACATTCAATGCTATGTGTCTGCTGTACCCTTACAGAAGATCAACCATTTTCCCGGGATGAGTGAGATTTGTAGAAAGGATCTTCTGGCTCGAAACATGAACCGCATGCTGAAGCTCTTCCCCAAAGACTACAATATCTTTCCCCGAACATGGTGCCTACCGGCAGAGTGAGTTCTCATTGTCAATGTGCTTAGAGTCTTGTCATTCAAAACACATACACTACCAGTCAAAAGTTTGGACACACCTACTCAAGGGTTTTTCTGATGACAGCTTTGCACACTCTTGGCATTCTCTCAACCAGCTTCATGAGGTAGTCACCTGGAATGCATTTCAATTAACAGGTGTTCCTTCTTAAAAGTTAATTTATGGAATTTCTTTCCTTCTTAATGCGTTTGAGCCAATCAGTTGTGTTGTGACAAGGTGGGGGGGGGGGGGGGGGGGGGTATATTTGGTAAAAGACCAAGTCCATATTATGTCAAGAACAGCTTAAATAATCAAAGAGAAACGACAGTCCATTATTACTTTAAGACATGAAGGTCAGTCAATACTGAAAATGTCAAGAACTTTGTCTCAAAAAGTGCAGTCGCTAAAACCATCAAGTGCTATAATGAAACGGGCTCTCATGAGGACCGCCACAGGAATGGAAGACCCAGATTTACCTCTGCTGCAGAGGATAAATGCTTCACAGAGTTCAAGTCACAGACACATCTCAACATCAACTATTCAGAGGGGACTGTGTGAATCAGGCTTTCATGGTTGAATTGCTGCAAAGAAACCACTGAATAGGTGAAGGACACCAATAAGAAGAAGAGACCAGCTTGGGCCAAGAAACAACGAGCAATGGACATTAGACCGGTGGAAATGTGTCCTTTGGTCTGGAGTCCAAATTTGAGATTTTTGGTTCCAACCGCCGTGTCTTTGTGAGACGCGGTGTGGGTGAATGGATGATCTCCGCATGTGTAGTTCCCACCGTAAAGCATGTTATGCTGTGGGTTTGCTTTGCTGGTGACACTGTCTGTGATTTATTTAGAATTCAAGGCACACTTAACCCAGCATGGCTACCACATCATTCTGCAGCGATACGCCATCCCATCTGGTTTGGGCTTAGTGGGACTATCATTTGTTTTTCAACAGGACAATGACCCAACACACCTCCAGGCTGTGTAAGGGCTATTTTACCAAGAAGGAGAGTGATGGAGGGCTGCATCAGATGACCTGGCCTCCACAATCCCCCGACCTCAACCCAATTGAGATGGTTTGGGATGAGTCGGACCGCAGAGTGAAGGAAAAGCAGTGCTCAGCATATGTGGGAACTCCTTCAAGACTGTTGGAAAAGCATTCCAGGTGAAGCTGGTTGAGAGAATGCCAAGAGTGTGCAAAGCTGTCATCAAGGCAAAGGGTGGCTATTTTGAAGAATCTCAAATATAAAATATATTTTGATTTGTTTAACATTTTTTTTGGTTACTACATGATTCCATATGTCTTATTTCATAGTTCTAATGTCTTCATTATTATTCTACAATGTAGAAAATAGTAAAAAAATAAAAAAATAAACCTTGAATGAGTAGGTGTGTCCAAACTTTTGACTGGTACTGTATATGAATCAGGAGCGTAATCAATTGAGAATGTAAGTGTTTTTTTGTATCTCTGCAGTTATAGTGACTTCCAAGCTTACACCAGGTCCAAGAAACACAAGACTTACATCTGTAAGCCAGACTCCGGTTGCCAAGGGCGAGGCATCTTACTCACTAAGTCCAGCAAAGACATCCGGCCCGGAGAACACATGATCTGCCAGGTGTACGTCTCCCGGGTGAGACTCACTGACTCACTCCCTTCTGTACATATTGTGTAATATTCTGCACAAGTAGCTCAACTGAGGTTGCAGGACGAAAGGTGCAATAAATGTGATACCTTATTATGTGACAGTATTTATGGGACCAATCAGAGAGCAGGGTTATGACAATGTCATTATGAAAGGACCAATCAGAGAGCAGGGCTATGAATGTCATTATGAAAGGGCCAATCAAAGAGCAGGGTTATGACGATGTCATTATGAAAGGACCAATCAAAGAGCAGGGTTAGACTATGTTATTATGAAGGGACTAATCAGAGAGCAGGGTTATGACTATGTCATAATTAAGGGACCAATCAGAGAGCAGGGTTATGTTGATGTCATTAGATATATCATAATGCCAACCGTCCTCTCCCCCCCAGCCATTCATTATTGACGGCTTCAAGTTTGACCTGCGTATCTATGTGCTGGTGACCTCCTGTGACCCCTTCCGCATCTTCCTGTACAATGAGGGGCTGGCTCGCTTCTGCACTACCCAATACAACGAGCCCAGCAATGGCAACGTGGTGAGGTGGACAATACAGATACTCCATCAACACTTCTAATGCCAACTGTTACACAGCATTACACACTTCTCATTGTCCTATCTCGCTCTGTTCATTGACTGTTAATTGGTAGTTATAGTGTTGGTTGTGTCTTTGATGCTCTGAAGCTCTCTAGATAATCATTTAACATGGGGTATCACATCTCTGCAGTATTCATATGTTTATTCCAGTATGATAGTATATATTCTACGGTGTCCTTCCTGATCTCTCATTGTACCTTTACCCATCCCCGGCTCTCCCTCACCATATTTCTAATTCTACAAGGATGATGTTTGCATGCATCTGACCAACTATGCCATCAACAAGCACAGTGAGAACTTTGTCCGTGATGACGACACTGGCAGCAAACGGTAAGCAGATGTTAGTTTACTTCAAATACCTCTCGAGTTGACCTTTAGCTTTGTTTCTTTGTATAATTAATCTCATGATGCAACTCTTGCATCTCAGTTCCCTCCTCCCTGTCGTTCCAGGAAGCTGTCCACCTTGAACAAGCACCTGGAGGCCATGTGTTACGACACAGAGAAGATGTGGTTGGACATTGAGGACGTGATTATTAAGACGCTCATCTCTGCCCACCCCATCCTCAAACACAACTACCACACCTGTTTCCCCAACCACGCTGCTGGCAGCGCCTGCTTTGAGATCCTTGGCTTTGATGTGCTGCTAGACCATCGACTCAGGCCCTGGCTGCTGGAGGTGAGGCCTTCTTAATTAATCAGGATGATGTATTGATATGGGTCCTGTATCAGTGTCTGTTGAGCTAAGAAATGTGTTATTCTAATAATCACTACACTCTCATCATGCAGTGTCCAATAGGCATTTCGCTAGCAACTTATAATAACTTCAATATTAAAGCTAGATAGCAAACAAGGTATATTCATGATGTTCATGTGTGTGTATTAAAGGGATACTTCGGGATTTTGACAATGAGATCCTTTATCTACTTCCCCAGAGTCAAATGAGCTTGTGGATACCATTTTTATGTCTCTGTGTCCAGTATGAAGGAAGTTAGAGGTACTTTCTTGAGCCAATGCTAACTAGCGTTAGAACAATTAATGGGAGTCTAGCGTGCTAGCAGATACACATAAACTTCCAGTCATTACGCTAACGCTAGTTAGCAATTGCACTAGTGTTAGTTAGCAACTTCCTTCAAACCGCACACAGAGACATAAAAATGGTATCCATGAGTTCATCTGACTCTGGGGAAGTAGATAACGTGCCTCATTGCCAAAATCCTGAAGTATCCCTTTAACGTTTGTGCAGGTGAACCACTCCCCCAGTTTCACTACTGATTCGCGGTTGGACCGGGAGGTGAAGGATAGCCTGCTGTATGACACCCTGGTTCTTATAAACCTGGGTGCCTGTGACCGCCGTAAGATCACTGAGGAGGAGAAGCGCAGGGTGAAGGAGAGGCTGCAGCAGAACCGCTCTAGAGAGGCCAGGTACAGTCAGGACCATGTGATTGATAGGAACACGGCCGGCCCGCTCGTTAGGTAGGATTAGGTGGCAGATTGACGAGGGCGGCATTTTCTGAGCTAAACTAACCAAGACGCACCTCCAACAACAACACATAAAACCTCACATAATTCTGCCCAAAAACAATGACAATTTCTCTCAACCAGTGGCATATGGGCTTTTTAGGTGAGTGCTGATGCCGCCCTTTGATAAGCAGTGCCCCAAAGGCAGGGGCGCAAAATATGTTGCTTGTCCATTCCCAGCGCGTCTCTACAGACTGGAGATAAAATATATGACAATGTAATGAGATGGACACTTTTTACATCATGCAGGTTTCTCCGATCAAATAGCCTAACCTAAATGGTGCCCAATCAAATAAAAAATGCGCTGTCATGTTAACAAACAACATATCCTAAAAACAGGACAGGTCAAAGTAAAATGGACAATATGGAATGGACAATCACAACTGTTGTCCAGGAGTTTCACCCCATTGTCATGATTGGTGGTTTCAAGTTTGTATCCGTCAATTTTTGACAAGCTGATCATAGCGAAAAATATAATATATCTGCATTTCCCGCTGTGTAAACGCATTGCAAATAGGCTCGCGATAACTCCTGATAAAGTTGGATAGCTGAAATTCAGAGCTTAAATAGCCATATTGATTAGTCACAGGAATCAGGACTAATAAAGCCAATGTAATGGCCTAAATTCCATTGTGGGCCAATATGGTAGCCTACACCCCAGTAAGCAAGCCAACATCTTTTTTTGGTGCAGACATCTATGTTTGGTTCAGATTTTGTCCGGTCTGGACCAGCCTTGATTTGGTCCAAACATAGACATCTATAAATTACTTATTTTCAACTTTCATTCAGAACCTAAAATTAGCCTGATTCCAACAATGTGGAACTTTGATTTCAATATGCTTGTATGATCAGTTTGACCATGTAACAATAAGCTATGATGGGTCATTTTATTATAAATTAGCATTGTTATAGACATGTAACAAACAAAGTGATTTGGACAAAACTCAAGCCAACAAAACATTAAGAATACCTGCTCTTTCCATGACATAGACTGACCAGGTGAATCCAGGTGAATGCTGTGATCCTTTATTGACGGCACTTGTGAAATCCACTTCAATCAGTTGTCATGTTGTGTTGCTGCCATGCTATGTTGTTGTCTTAGGTCTCTCTTTATGTAGTGTGTTGTGGTGTCTCTCTTGTCGTGATGTGTGTTTTGTCCTATATTTTTTATTTTTTATCTCAGCCCCCATTCCCGCAGGAGGCCTTTTGCCTTTTGGTAGGCCGTCATTGACAATAACAATTTGTTCTTAACTGACTTGCCTAGTTAAATAAAGGTTAAATAAATGTTAACAAATAAAACAATCTGTGTAGATGAAGGGGAGGAGATAGGTTAAAGAAGGCTTTTTAAGCCTTGAGACAACTGAGACATGGATTGTGTATGTGTGCCATTCAGAGGGTGAATGGGCAAGACAAAATATTTAAGTGCCTTTGAACGGGGTATGGTAGTAGGTGCCAGGTGCACCGGTTTGAGTGTGTCAAGAACTGCAACGCTGCTGGGTTTTTCACACTCAACAGTTTCCCGTATGTATCAAGAATGGTCCACCACCCAAAGGACATCCAGCCAACTTGACACAACTGTAGGAAGCATTGGAGTCAACATGGGCCAGCATCCCTGTGGAACGCTTTCGACACCTTGTAGAGTCCATGGCCCGACGAATTGAGGCTGTTCTGAGAGCAAAATAGTTTTTGTACACTCAGTGTATATTTTTTGATGCATTCAATTCATGCATTCATTCAGTTGTGGTCATTTTTGTGTTGTCAGGAGTGAGGAACTGCGTCAGTCCCAGGCAGCCAGTGTAGAGCAGATGCGGAGGTATGAGGCCAAACACCTGGGTGGCTTCCGCGGGATCTACCCTCGCGAGGGCGGAGAGAAGTACGAGAAGTACTTCAAACACAGCAGCTCCTTGTTTCAGGAGACTGCCGCCTCCAAGGCCAGGGAGGAGTGTGCCAGGTAGACACAATCACCCAAACACTCATATTACGCACACACACACAGGCTTATAGAAAATACCATGAAAACACTCAACAGAAAATACAAAATCGTTGTGCCTTAAATTCACTTTTTTCATTGTTTCATGTACAACTTGTTTGTTTGTGTGACTCTCCGCTCAGGCAGCAGCTGCAGGAGCTGCGTCTGAAGCAGGAGCAGAAGGAGAGGGAGCAGAAGGGGAGCCGTAGACGAGACTTGCAGGGGGAGTCTGCAGGAGAGAGGGCCAAACCACACAGAGTACAAGTTCGTCAGACCAGCTCCAACTCCCAACAGGTTACTGTGAGTCACATAACCCTGCCCATCAGTTTTATGTAACATATTACCTCAGGTTTTGAATGTATTATTGCCTACAGAAACAACCATAAAGAGAACTCCCAAGTCTCATCGGATCATTGGGGGTGGCAATCTTAGTGGACTTGTAGTTGCAAGGCCTTTCAGTGACCACAAGAGGGAGCCAGATATCTTCTCCACTCAACACCTTACATACATGTCCAACTACCAAACCATATAATGGCCATTTATCATATTTACATAAACAATTAATACTGAAGAATGATTATACACTGTGATGAACTGTTTCCTTACTGTTTGATCTGAAATGTGGCTGTCCAGCTCCTGACCATGCCCCCCCTGCCTACTGCCACCAACGGTTCCCCTACGGTGCAGGACCTCTCTGAGGAGGAGGTGGAGAGGGTGAGTGGACTGCTCCAACGGGAGAATCTACTGAGGGACCTGGGGGTGGTGGACCAGATCTATCAGCTGCTGCAGGGGCGAGGCCACTCCATGCCTGACGGCATTACACCCCCCCGCGAGCAAAATGAGCTGCCCCTACACAGACATGAACGAGCCAATAAGGTAAGGCTACACTGCCATCCATAGTCACTCACTGGTCAGTTTAGTAAGTTCAGTTTATTGTTTCCCTAGCAGGGAAATGTGTCCTCCATATAGAGCTCGCCAGCTTGTAGTCCTAAAAAATTTAAATGAGTTACCTCTGGTTCGTTTAAGCATTCTTATGGGGGAAATTAATGGGGAAAAAATGGGGTTTTGGGATAAATGCTGAAATAAGGTCAGAGGTTAACATAGGCTTAGGAGATCTTATACATTTTGTTCTGTGAGATAATATCAGTCAGTTAACATGTCCTTTATGAATTATGAAGCCTTTATGTCAGGGATAATCAACTAGATTCAGCCGCTGGCCAATTTTTTTCTTGAGCGTGTAGCTCAGTTGGTAGAGCATGGCGCTTGCAACGCCAGGGTTGTGGGTTCGATTCCCACGGGGGCCAGTATGAATAAATTTATGCACTCACTAACTGTAAGTCGCTCTGGATAAGAGCATCTGCTAAATGACTAAAATGTAAAAATGTAATGGTTAGGGGGTCGAACATAATTACAATTTATTTGTAGACTGCAAATTGACCACAAGAAGCCCAAACCGATATAAAACATAATAATTTAAAACCTTGCTTACATTTATATACGATCACGTGTCTCTCTATTATACATGGGAATACTTGAGAACAGATTTCCAAAATTAAAATCACTTGGAGCTGATTTCCTGGTGGTTTTATGTCCAGCCATAAAAAATGAAAATAAAACTCTTTTTTTGACTCAGAAAACTTGGGGGGTCAAATAACCAAATAACCACAGGCAGTTGGGGAACTCTGCTTTATGTGTTTGTTTTGATTACGTAAGTGCCTATTTTTTTGTTTGTTTTTAAGTGATGTTAGCTGATGAAGATGATCTCATAGAAAAAAATGTATAAGATTTCGTAAGCCTGTGTTTACTACAGACCTTATTTTTGGCGTTTATCCAAAAACCCTACAAAAAAAAAAAAACATTTCTCCATAGGCTTTGTTTGACCAACGAGCCATGGCGGAGTTAGTGCCTACAAAAAGACGCCATTACTATCGGTCTCTATGGTCACTGCATTGTCTCAAAGTTATCAGTAAACATTACTCCATTAGTAGTGAGATGCTTTAGTCTGTCCTATGTCATATTTTGCCAGTTGGACTCCCTGAGACCGAAGCGCCACTGTACTGTGATCCAACACCAGGTGCCTCCAGGGGCCAAGCCCTTCCGGCAGTACGTCCATTCCCAGCTGCTGCAGCAGCGCTGGCCCTGGCCAAGTCTGGACAGGGGGCCCACTCACACTGAGTCTGCCTGCCTACAGTACTACACCCCAGAGGACCAAGTCCTAGAGACAGTCTGCCGGGCGCCAGGAGACCTGAGGAGGACCAACAGTGCCCAGCGTATCCCATGGACAAGTGAGCACAACCACTGAGCACCCTCGCTGCACCTCACTTTATTGTGTCATTACCATACCACCACTGATCTGAAGTTGGACATTGTACTTATGGATAATTGGAGGGCATAGGATTGATTTTCTCAACCTCTCTCTTTTTTTCTCTCTCTCTTTGTCTCTCAGTCAATGGTGCTCGTCAGGGCAGTATGAGCTCGTCCTATGCAGAGTCCAGGGCCCGGGCCACAGTGTCAAACTTATCCCAGCTCATGCCTGGACGGCTCCACTGCACCCCCATGTCCTCCGACCCCAAGGCCTTCCAGAGCCTGTTTGTCATCTCCACCCCAGCCCCCCTGATCCAGCGGCCCGAGTTCCCCCACCCCATCCGCAAACCCTTGCGCAAAGTCCCCCAGCACGGACAAGGGCGCTAGGGAGCAGGGACTTCACCAGTCCTGCCATAGTGCCATAAACCACAAGCGGGGGAGAGTGAACAAGCTTTCCTGGCAAAGTTGTCCCTAAAATCCTCTCCCTATACTGTGTAAATTTCTTCACTTTTACATCATCAAAATGAAATTCATTTCTACATTGGCACTGAGCTACTGAGAATTGATTGAAGAGAAATGGAGCATAGATCAATGGAGTAGGTCTTATTGTGAAAATATTGAAGCAATGGTGCCTGTCGTGTGGTATTTGGTAGGAAAACATGTCATCTCATATGTCTACGCAAACACTATGTGGCTTTTACAGAAAGGAATGTAAGTGAATACTATATGTGTCTTATCAAATATCTCGGGTGGTTAAATATCACTATAACCACTGAGCCAATAGTGAAAACACAAAAAAGAATCTGGATGTATTACTCAGGTATGTGAAATCTGAAGGGAAGATATGAGTGACCAAGTAGTCATATAGACATTTGTACGACTTTGATGTTGATGACTTTGCTACTATGCTTTGTTATCATATTGATTTTTGTTTAGCTATGCAGAAAATTCTAATTTTGCAAGGGGAACCATAATCAATCATTTGTGCCAAATCTTAGAAGAAAAGCTGTGGACACTGAAATAACCACCAAGATGGACTAACAAAAACTCCTCACATTTCACTGATTTTAATTGCAGATTTACCCACAGTATTTTCATATGGTTATTGTAGATTTGGGATGGGGTGTACATTTACTTATTGAGCATTCTTTTATTTGAGTTGGTGAGATAGACAAATACCTTCAGAAATGTTATGCATTGATCATTGCTCATGTTGATATGAGGATATTTGTTAAATTCAGGATGATATTGATAATAGTACTAGGCTTATTATAAATATACTCCATATGAATAATCCAATATTTTCCCCATTTATGTAAATTATTTGGTAACCATTTTAGGCCTACGAATTATAAGTGAAGTCTTTGGAAATGCAAACTGATATTTGAATGAAAATGTAAGCTTTATTTTCTTTAACAATGATCTTGCACTGTTTGATTTAAAAAAAAATCTAGCTCATAAACATTGTATACTGTATTTAAATCTAGCTCATACTGTATTTAAATGGAAATTCGATATGTCGATTTGTTTACATTTTACCTCAGGAATTATTTGGAAAAGTAGGCTTTAATTACAATCGAAATGATTTAACGATATATTGTTTGATTGGAACAGGCCTGTGCAGAGTTTCTATGCGCGTGATCTCAAGTCTATCTCTCAAGACCTATGACTTGTGGCTGTAGTTGTCATAACAATAGTTTCAATTACACAGTTTAGTTATACTTTATATAACTGTCAACACCCAGCAAAATAAAGAAGCCTTTCCTTTGCGCACTGAAAAAAGCTACTGATGATTGATTTTCGATTCCAGGCTGTATCACAACCGTCCGTGATTGGGAGTCCCATAGGGCAGCGCACAATTGACCCAGCGTCGTCCGGTTTTGGCCGGTGTAGGCCGTCATTGTAAATAAGAATTTGTTCTTAACTAGTTAAATAAAGGGAAGAAAAAAAAAAAGATAAACATAATCTTATTATTGATGTCTTTGAATGCCAATTAAAATCAATAATATAGGTTATCCGTTTGTTGTTAGAAATGAATCAAAATGTAGGCTGTCTTCTTGTCTATTCGATCCAAATAACTAGCCTATGCATCAATATTCTCTAGTATTTCAGCTAATAGCCAGTTCTTCACAGTTGAATATTTGTATCAGGTTCACTCTTCCCACTGGGCACAGACGTCAATTCAACGTCTATTCCACATTGGTTCAACGTAATTTCATTGAAATGACGTGAAAACAACGTTGATTCAACCAGTGTGTGCCCAGTGGGTTTCCTCATCTCCCTATCAACCCCTCCCTCCTCACTCTTTCTCCCTCGCTTGGTTTCTCTCACTTTGCATACAAGCGCGCAATGCTTTGTCTGTTGTCTGTCTGGAGACATCATCGTATCCAAAACAAGGCGGGATATACCCCGTGAAGCTATAATCCATAGTCTGCCTCATCATTCATGGATTTTAGAGAGGTATGCTATTGAATTGACATGGAAATGTTGGTCTTCACCGAGGAAAGTCATGCGTAAACTTTAAAAACCTGGCGTTTATTCCATGAAGTGAAATCTATGCTAGTAACCTGATTTAAGATTTTAAACATCAAAGCAGAAAATGAGCTCTTATTTCGTTAATGCTCTATTCTCAAAAAACAGCAACGGCGAGTCCTGGCACTCCGATTTTGGGCTGGCACATGATTTGGGAAGCACATCCTCTGTAGCATACGAATACGGTGCCGGTGGCACCATCCAGCAGCAGCATCCCACGCAGTTACCGGAATTCTACAATGGCACATCGTTGTCCAAAATCGCTCACCAACACCAACTAAATCCGTGCGTATTATCGCTGCCAATGGGCAGCTTGTATCATGCCCACGATGTGATACAGAGACCAGCCTTTTACGCATCCAATAATACGGATTGTATCCAGTACAGTGATTGTCATTTGAAATCCACCGGGGTTGCAGATGATTCCGAGTGCGCAGAACAGTGCTCCTCTCTGCCGGACCTCTTTCCCTGGATGAAACCACAAGGTGAGTCACTGACCCTTAAAACACCTCATTTGAGAATTTGGTTGGCCTCGGAAGTATAATGTAATAATAATAATAATAATAATATGCCATTTAGCAGACGCTTTTATCCAAAGCGACTTACAGTCATGCGTGCATACATTTTTTTTTTGTGTATGGGTGGTCCCGGGGATCGAACCCACTACCTTGGCGTTACAAGCGCCGTGCTCTACCAGTTGAGCTACAGAGGACCACAAATGTGTGACCCCCCCAATAAACTTCGTTTCAAATGACCCCCAATAAACTTAGTTGTTTTTTCAGCATTTCTGGAGAGGACAATGGCTCATTATGGTGACAAAAACAAACTGTAAATCTATTTTATGATGTGAGAAAAGTTTCTGCTTCGCCTGATTTATAGTTTTTTATTTTTATGTGTGTGTGTCTTCAGTACCGGCTATGGTATGTGGTAGCCTTTGTCAGGGCTATTGAGTCAATGTTTATCTAAATCTGTCTAAATGGTTTGTCTCTCAGCAGCTACCGGACGGAGAAGAGGCAGACAAGCGTACAGTCGCTTCCAGACTCTGGAACTTGAGAAGGAGTTCTTATTCAACTCTTACTTGACCCGCAAGCGCAAGGTTGAAGTGTCGCACGCTCTGGCACTCACCGAGCGGCAGATTAAAATCTGGTTTCAAAACAGACGCATGAAATGGAAGAAGGAGAACAAGAAGGACACATTTCCAATAAACAGGCCGGATCAGAGTGAACTCGAGAAACAGAGCAAAGAAACTTACAAGAAGATTCAGACGTCAGATGAGGAGGGTAAAGGATAAGACTATCCTAGACTTGGTGATGGGAGGCCACACAGTGATAACAAATGTGTTTATTATAAATTGCATTTCGAAGAAAAAAATCTACAACAGTGAAATATATTGTGTTTGTTGATAGTTCATTGTCAAATTAAATTCTATAAAACTTGAAAAGAAGTGCGCAAAATAGCTTTTACGCATCATTCCAATTAGAGGTTTGCGCAAAAGTTTCAAGGTGTGAATCACTTCTGCAGAATAGTCTGAACAGGCATTTATGTTGTTAGAATGTATAATTTTGTAATTTAGTGCAGTATGGTTGCACAGCTCCCACACTTTCTGTCACTAATAATAATGGATATGTTTAATGCAAAGATACAGTAGTGTGCACATCTCGAGTCCCTGCCATTTTAATTGGCAGTTTTGTATCTGTGTTGTCTATGTTGTGTCAAGAGCTGTTGTCAGGCCTTGGCTGTGAAGGCTGCTACTGGATGTACACCGTAAATAAAATGTAACCTTTTAAAATCGAAGCCTCTCCTTTACTGTGAAACATATAGGCCTACCTAATAGTGTAATTGTTTGGATCTTTGTATGCTGAAAGCCATACTTTTTAATAAAACGTTAATCAAATACAACCACCAACTGTTTCCTTGAAGAGATTCAATTGGCACATGCACATTTGCGCAGAGTTGCCATTCAGCAACAGCAACGGTGGTTGTATTTGATTAACGTTTAATTAAAAAGTATGGGTTTCAGCAAACAAAGAAAGACATGCAACAACCAATATCACATATTGCAGGTCTGTATCAAGTTTCCTCAGTGTTATATCAACATTTTGAGTAGCCTATACTGTTTGGCACTAGCATAACAAATTCAAAAGATCTAAAGACATTATAGAAAAAAATATTTGTTTTACTATGTCGGGTAACGGATATTTTGTGCACCATCATTCAGTCTAATACAAGCCTGGCTGAATTCATGCCAATTGTATATTCATTGAGTGTTGATTTAAAAAAGGGTCTGAAGGTTAACAAACAGTCTGAAATTGTGGAGTAATTAGGAAGTTAAAGCCAGGAAAGAGGGACACAAACACACAATTTCAACTAATTTTGATCCACCTTTATGAGGCAAATACATTGCAGTTAATGAAAACTATAATGTATCGAAATGCTTCATGTTAGTTGAATTATTGTTGATAGGTTGTTAGCATTTTTTAGACTGCAATAAAATGTGCCAACGTAGGCCTATAGGCCTACTTACAGGCCACATTCATCCAAAGTAGAATACTTTCAAAATGCATTAGACAACATCTAAGTCTACATAATATTTACGAATTTTATAGAAAATAGTTATAGAAAACGAATTTTCGTTTATTATCGTGGAGGTTTAGGCCTATTGGTCCTACTATTGAAAAACATGCCCGAACTCATTTCAATAAAAAACCATTGCAAGTTTCCTCGAATATGTTCGGTTTAGGCTAACCTTGTTTTGGGGAGATTAGGCCGAATTCTCCCTTTTGCAGAGGGAATAGGTTGCATTGGGGGGTTTTATGGTTTTATTGCATCTATAAATGTCGGAAATCCTTTTTGTCAATTTAATTTAATTTAACAGGGCACCATGCAAACAGTTGCTTGGGCTATGTAACCAAAAAATGTTCCATACATTTTATATAAATGTTTCACCTTATGATGATGATTATTATTATATATTATACATGCCTGATGCCCACTGGGCACAGACGTCAATTCAACCTCTATTACACGTTGGTTCAACGTAATTTCATTGAAATGACGTGGAAAAAACGTTGATTCAACCAGTGTGTGCGCAGTGGGTGTTTTCATATAGGGATATCTTTGGTCTATATATCTTAACACACAAATTTTTTATATGTGAGCAAAATCGAAAGATTGGCAGCTCAGTAGGCTATTGCAACAGTATAGGCTAATTCATGGATCCCTAACATATTTTGCTCGCATTTGTTTGAAAATGTGTGCTAATGCTATGAAGGTAGGCCTATAGGCTACCTAAGGGATTCATAAAGGGTGCAAGGTTGATTATGTTGATATATAACTAGTTTAACTAAACTAAATGACTAAATGTAATGCAAATGTAGACTAGGCCTTATATCATTAGCCGTTTACATAGTCTACCTATAGGCTTTTATCAATCCTTTAAGTAAACGTATAATACCTATCCTATAAGACAATGTAAATTGTAACCAAACATGTTTTATATAAGCCTATATGCTATAGTGTGGAACTACAATTGGTAAAACGTTTCCGCATTTTTGTAGCCTAATATTGAATTGATAAGGCATGATAATCAAATGCTCTAAATATGATACCAACCTGAAACATTATAGGCCTAGCCATTTCGTTTTAAAGACTATGTAGCTTTTTTTTTTAAGCTGAGGATTCTATCCCGTATTTGAAAGAAAAAGATGGCGATTAAGAAAAAAATGCCTTCTATTGAAGCATTCGTGAAAAATGAAATAAATTAGAGTCTGTAAATGAAAATTTACAACTTTGTGATGGAACTTTACGACTGGCTGGGTTCTGGGATTGGCTGAGGTTGGTCATGTGGACTCTGGACAGGGAACTTTTTTTCCCATGAGCTTATATTGCAGCTGTCTGTTTTCGACTGCTCATTCAGTAACACCTTCGTTTTCTTGGTTATTTGTATTAGCTACAGTTGAATTCTGTAGTAGAAATGTGTTCAGTAACTACGGAGCTCCACCAACTGAGAGATGGAGTCAATAAGGAATGTCTCATCCAATGTTAGCCTATGCTAATGTTGCTATCTCTGAATTGCACCGTCAAAGACTCAATATTCGCAAGGACAATGGAATACTTTTTTTTTTTTTTTCCACAGAGGGACTCGTTTAGTTATTGTTACTTACCGTATGGAATATACCAAGGGAACAATAATGGAAGACCTAAAAAGAACCGTGATAATCACATCCGGAATACCCATATGCGAAGTGATGAATTATCAACAAAGGTAGGTCGTCAAGTCTCCATGTCCTATATCACCACAATCATACTAGTAGCCTGTCTTGTAAGGTTTTAAAAATAATAAAATGTTGAGTAGGTCATGAGGTGCAAATTAGGTTCGATAAAAACAGTTACAAATATAACATTGGTAGCCTACAAAATGGCTACAGTGTCTTAAAGTGTACTAGCATTGTATCGATTTGCAAAACCTGGTTACTACTATAGTGTGTTAGTGGCAAGATGGCAGCAGCATCGTTGGCAGGTGACTGTAGCCTAAATGCATTTAGTATTCTGACGAAGGTTTCAAATAAATAAATAGGTAGGCCTATATGATACCTCGTGGAAGCTGCCACAATCATGTGCACACACTGAAAATCAGACAACCCAAAATATTTAGATTTAGATTTCCATGATGGACAGTGTTTTTTGTTGTTGTTGTATGTAACCTACATTTGTATTACCTTTGAGCTAGTTGTAATGCTAAGTAGATAGGCTACAATTGACTCATACTCAAAACGTTTTATGGGTAATTTAAAGAGTAAAACTGAGACATTATGTAAGCGATGTTCTCAATGGTGCAATAATGTAATTTTTCAGAATCCACTTTCCAATCATCGGCACTATTCCCATGCACTACACATTATCTATGTCGTCGACGTCATTATCATCATCATCAACATTATCGTCGAGCCTCAATCAATTAATTGATAGGCTATTCACTCCATTTATTCAGCAGTATGCTGGCACATTTTCTTTACAACCTAATCTAATGTATTGCTATTTGGCGCCATCTAGTGGCGACAATAGGCATTCATTTGGACACCAAATTCTTGAGACCGAAGCTTTCAGTGTGTGTGTTTTTGGAGATGCCACTTCCACCACGCGCAAAAGCACACACACACACACACACACACACACACACACACAATCAATTAATTGACACATAATGTAATTTTGGCACAAATTATAATTTTTTTCTTTCGTTTTTTTATTATCAAATTCAACTAAAGCAAACTGACATGTATTTTGCACATAAGCTACTGAAGTTGAATAACTGTCATTCTGTATACAGCCAAGTCGTAGGATACTTAGCTTAAATGTTTGATTAGTTGTGGAAACAATTCTCTTGAAGGAAGTCTATACAGACTATTAAGTATCAAGTTTAGATAATACACATTTATTTTGAATTAGACATTTTTGTTGAAATATCATCTTAAACAAGGTTTTTACAGTGAAAGGAAAATAACATTGATTGGAAAAAGGAAAGACATCCGGTTGTAAAGAAAGTGGCTTTGTTTATTAATTCAAATGTGTTGAACGTTTTAGTCCTACAACAAAATAACGATAATAGCATCATAATAATACATATTCAATTATATTCAACTCAATAATATAGGTCTACTGATATCATCATAAGAATCATAGTCAAAATAATATCAGACTAGATTCGATAATGACAATGTTTACAATGTTTATATCAATGTAAATATATTTATTTGATAATATTCAAACCTATAGATTATTTATTTTAGTGGTTAATAAAACATACTGCATGTAATGTGGTCTACTTAGGCCTACAAGTTCCCGAAACATTATATAATAATAATAATAATAATATGCCATTTAGCAGACGCTTTTATCCAAAGCGACTTACAGTCATGCGTGCATACATGTTTGTCCCGGGTATCGAACCCACTACCTTGGCGTTACAAGCGCCGTGCTCTACCAGCTGAGCTACAGAGGACCACATATAGTGATGAATGTTGAAACCAATGTGTAATATCCTCTGTATTGGCCTTGATCAGTAGGAATATCCTTTTGCCTTTTGTGAGTTGATTTGTCAGTGTAGACGACTTGGTCGTGGTTTACTTTTTATCCGGTCAGTGTGGGAATACCTAGAAAACACAACGAACACGTTAACTTATACGTGAAGGAATGATGAAACATAAACGATGTCAAACAGCTTAAAATAACAGCTGCATGAAAGTAGAAATTCAGCTGGAACAATTGAATAGGCCCACTTTAGATTGTGCAACTAGCCTACTTCTAGTAATCAATACTTTACATTTGTGGGTAATTGAAAGACACAAAGAACAGCAACATTATTATTCTCAAGTCAATTTGATAAAAGGGGAAATTGTACAGTGAATATTTCTTGCAAACCAAATATCGAATAAAGATCATATAAGGGTCAAATAGGTCCCCTGTAGCTCAGTTGGTAGAGCATGGCGTTCTGTGAGATAATATCAGTCAGTTAACATGTCCTTTATGAATTATGAAGCCTTTATGTCAGGGATAATCAACTAGATTCAGCCGCTGGCCAATTTTTTTCTTGAGCGTGTAGCTCAGTTGGTAGAGCATGGCGCTTGCAACGCCAGGGTTGTGGGTTCGTTTCCCACGGGGGGCCAGTATGAAAATGTATGCACTCACTAACTGTAAGTCGCTCTGGATAAGAGCGTCTGCTAAATGACTAAAATGTAAATACTGTGTGTGTGTGTGAGAGAGAGGGGAGGGTGGTGCTGCGAGCATTATATTATTTATTTATATCATTTGTTTGCAACGAAATTAAGAACGAAACGAAATGCTTCCATTTTGAATGAATCATAGGGCGCAAGCTCATTTGATATGTGGAATGACTGCGCGAGAAGCCTGGGCGCTTCGTTTCGAGTCACTGGGGACCCCTGTGCGCAACAAGAGCCCCCCCCCCCCCCCCCCCCATGAGAGCAATATTGCAACCGCAGACGCTCGCGATTGGCCAGACGTTGATCAGATGGTACAGTTCCCTTCTGCCCTATTGAGTGGCACCTCGCAAGCCCCCTTCAGCTAAAACCAAATCTCCGATAAAGTAATGGCAAAACCACTTGGACTATAAAACATTACAAATCATATACCTCGGAGCATATTTGTCCATCCAATGAGTTCCTATTTTGTCAACTCAACTTTTCCTGTTTCTCTGCCCGGAGGACAGGAGTCTCTCCTTGCTCAGATACCTTTATATTCCTCCGGATATACTGACCCTTTAAGACACTTTTCCAACGCTACATATGGAGCTGCCAATATGCAAGACAAGGTTTACCCAACCTCATATTACCAGCAAACCACTGGGGTCTACGGTCGCCCCAGCACCAGCGCTCCCTGCGACTATACAGCTGCCACTTTTTACAGTGACCGCTCGTGCGCTTTCACAAGTCGCGAGGAGCAGCCGCTCTTTGTAACTCAGGACCAGCGCAAGTCAGAGTGCCTCGAGCAGAATGTAAACATAACCACTGCTGTGGACGACAAGTCTTCTTCTCTGCTTTATCCGTGGATGCAAAGGATGAATTCTTGCACCGCTGGTCAGTGAAACTTTTACTTTTGATCTTTGTTAAAAACGTCTAACCTGTGTTTTCATTGTTAGTTAATTGAAAGGGGGTTTACAATCAGCATGTAACAGTGTTGCCTGGCAAAGTCCACAATATGCATTGATATTGTAGCTTATAAGTAACTATTGCTTTGAAATTGAGACGGGAAAAATCTACTTTGAAAAGAGGAACAATTTTACAAGAAGTTGTGTGAATACATGCATGATGATTTGATGACTTGGATATGTATTGGATTCAATAGCCGATAACGTGCTTGACATGAAAAATATATGAACAGATAAACTGGTTTTGTATAGGAAACGTGTTAAACTGTCAAAATACAGTGGGCTATCATGTGGATCATTTGGATCATTTCTATCTACTAGGCTATGCTATTTTGACGCTTTAACTAATGGAGGCTTAATTTATTACATCCATAATAATGATTGTAACAATAGCCTGTACAAGTGATGATAGTGTAAAGGTATCCATCCTGTCCAAGCCTTTGTTTCATACATAATGGCTGTCTTTAGTTTGCTATTCTTTTTTTGCAGGGACCTTTGGCAGCAGTGGACGCAGGGGCCGTCAGACCTATACTCGATACCAGACTCTTGAGCTCGAGAAAGAATTCCATTTCAATAGGTATCTCACCAGGCGTCGTCGAATCGAGATTTCGCATGCTCTATGTCTCACTGAACGTCAGATAAAGATTTGGTTCCAGAATCGCAGAATGAAGTGGAAAAAGGAGAACAAAGTTATGAATCCTTCGAAGCCCAGCGATGAAGAGGAGGAAAAGCAGACAGATTAAAAGACAATGAATAAAGCTACACAAGCCATCTTATAACTGTTGTGCCATGAATTGAGAGATGTTGAATTATTGTTGGTTGTTATTTTTTCATAAAATACCTGCACAAGCCTACACATTTTTGTGAAAATATGTAAATAGGCCTACTAGATTAATATATTTGCACGATGAAATAACGTCTGTAGGTTAGAAACAGGTTAGAAACAACTGAAGCTGACTAGCCTATTCTTATTTTATTGTGTTTTTATACTACTTACCACATCCACAAAGTCAAAATGGTCTATATCGTAAAAATTCATGAAAACAGAAATGTGGTCTTAATTTAAGGTTAGGTTGTGTGGTTAAGGTTAGACGTGTGGTAAATGTTTAAAATCACATTTTAGGAAGATAAATTGTATAAGTAGGCGGGGTTTATGACTTTGTGGTTGTGGTAACTAGTGACTACCGTGAAAGAGGCCTACACTCGCACATATTGGTTTCCTGGAGGGGCGTTGTAGATGTGCAAAAACAAGCCTAGTCAAAATTACTCGATTATTAAATAGTTTTGCTTCAAAAATACTTTTTATGTCCCCATTATCGATACAAGAGAGATGCTTTGGCCTAATAGCCTACCATAGTGTGTGTTGTATGTTGTTCGTTTTAGGCTTTTGCATCGCATTGACAAGTTAATTATTGTGTACTTGCCATCTGGATGTCGTGTGCAATATTATGTAAGACATGTTTTTGTTATATTTTGTAAATGCAAATAAAGCGTTGGTCATTTCTGTAAATATTTCATAGAAAGTTTGCTTGTTTTATTGATGTGAAGGCAATAGTCTTATAATAATAATAATAATAATAATAATAATTATTATTATTATTATTATTATTATTATTATTATTATCATCATTATGTCCTGTAAAGATTGACCTAGTTGAGCAAGCCCAACATTTAAATAGGCTAGTCTCTCTTTAATGATAAAAATGCCTAGTGTATTAGGCCTACTATAACAGATTATACTGGGATACCTGTCTGAGATACCTGTAAAATAGTTTAGCCTAGTTTTGTGTCCTAGAACAGTCAATGTTCTAAAAAATGAACAATGAAAACGAAGCCTTCAGTTACCCCCACTGCCAGTAGATGACGCTGTCCGCCTATATGGATCTCAGGGCGCAATGGGGAGGCACCATTGACTCGAGCATAACGAGCATCATTTCGTCATCGTTTGTAACCATAGAGCATGAATTACCTCTTGAAGTCATCAGTGAGAATTTACGACTGGTCAACAAAGGCACGTGATTCCCGAGCGCTGTCCCATATTTGGCCGCACACCTGGCAAAGTACAGTAGGCTTCATTGCTATAATTCATGATTACATCATAAATCGTGAAGCAGAGGATTATAGCGACAAAGATCTACAAATCGAGCCTTTAAAAACAAGCAAATGAGCTCTTACTTTGTTAACTCGTTTTCAGGGCGCTATCCGAATGGCTCCGACTATCAGTTACTAAATTATGGGACTAACGGCACTGTGAACGGTACGTTCAGGGACCCTGGCACCATGCACTCTGGGTCTTTTGGCTGCAACTACAATGGTATGGACCTAACCGTAAATCGCACCGACACTGGTAGCCACTTCGGGTCTGTTGGAGAGGATACCCGTGGTTTTCCGTCCACTGGCCCGGACGCCCGGTACAGATTGCCGACCTGCTCGCTTTCGTCTCCAGATCCCCTTCCTTGCGCCAACCGCGGGTCTTTGGAACTAAAAAGCTCCTCTCCTCCATCTGATCGGAGCACGACCACGAGCGGCAACAATATTCTCAACAAAGGCAACAACATTCATTTCACAGAGATAGAGGATACCAGCGTTGTCTCTGAGTCCGAGGAAGGCGCGCACACAAGCAGCACCAGCAGCATGGCTGCCCGGGCACAACAACCACAACAGGAGTCCAATAACGCAACCTCCACGACAATCTCAAACGATTGCCAAACGCCACAAATATTCCCATGGATGCGGAAACTGCACATTAACCATGGTACATACATAGCCTACTTCTACTGTGTTTTGTGGTGGTCTTGCTTTGGAGTGAATTGCATGCTCGCTGATGTGATTTTCTATAGTCGAAATTTGTAGCGTCACAAATCTGTCAAGTGTTGCATGAACTCAGTAAGGTCAGTAAGGATGGCTTTTATGATGGGGTCCAGTGCAATATATTTCTTAGTGCAAGATAAAACATACTAATTGTTAGCTTATTAAAGGACATTTTAATTGTAATAAAGATGAATTCAGAGAAACATTGCTTAAATGTTGGAAAATTGGTGGGTATTTATGTTTAGGCTATAGCTGAATGCAAGTTCTATTTCTAGTAATGTAGCCTAGTTGAGCGACAATCCGTGCATGGCCCGCGTGCAGCCTATTCCACACCCAGAATGGCATAATATTTCATCTGTGCTGTTAAACATGTTTCCTTTTGGAATGTTTAAAATTATATTTTCCCTATCTGTTATCCACTTCTAATTTGGATTTTTCATGCAATTTAGAAATGGCTGGACCTGATGGGAAAAGGGCCCGAACAGCGTACACCCGCTACCAGACGCTAGAGCTGGAGAAAGAATTTCACTTCAATAGATACCTAACCCGGAGGAGGAGGATAGAGATAGCCCACACGTTGTGCCTCACGGAACGACAAATAAAAATCTGGTTTCAGAATCGAAGGATGAAATGGAAGAAGGACAATAAACTGAAAAGTATGAGTCTGGTTACAGGAGGTAGCGCGTTCCATAACTGAGCTCGAACTGCAAGTGATGAGAAGGGGGAAATCCGGAGTACTGTAAACTACAGCGCAGCACCTTTCAGCATGTTGTTGTGTTTTTAGACGAAAAAATATTCAGTGGTCTTTAACAGACGTTTAGTTTTCCGTTGTGTTACGGTAGCCTGTAGTTATCTTTGGAAATAGAAAAAACAATTAAATAGACTCATTGTCTAAGGGTAGTAGTATAAAGTAATGTGCTCTGTTTTATCTCTTGAAGGTTGTCATGTTTCATGTGAGCTGTTAGCCTATATTGTGTCATTTCTAAACATTCTAACAGGTGTAAAGTGTACAGTAGCCTATGTTTCCAAACCATATGCTGCTCTTCATTGAATGTAAACCTGTAGATGATGGGATCATTCAAAGCGCTTCAGTGTAAGTTTTTAATGCTGTATTTATGCTTGATTATCGTGGTTAGAGCAGTACGTTTTCCAGGTTTTAAAGTACAGATAAATATGTTATGTAGCCTATAACACGTTGTGCACAAATATATCCAATTGTAATTGTTTAGAACTAAGTACTTATTAAGTTGCATAAAAATATTTTCAATGTGATCAATTTGTATAGTGGACAGGAAGGGAGTGGTATTCTGTGGATTATACGGCTACAGTGATGGTAAACCTTTTGCCAATTAAGCTTTTTGTATTTCTATGTGAATCTATAGAGCTGGAAATAAAGTTTCTCTCCATCGCTTGATATATTTGAAGCATATTAATTGCAATAAATGCACCTCTTCTTCATTAAACATATTGTAAATTAAGTAATTAGGCCTACAAATGTTTTAATGCACTATTCTATAGACACAAATAGGCTATAACACTGGTGGACGTATACCATTCATGGCATTTTGGCCACACCTTCAAACAAATTAACTTAATAAACAACATTTTCCTATAGCTTTTGTGCTGTTTTACAGGCATATGACGTGCAGTACATTTGAGTCAGGTTTGTTGCTGATTTTAAATATTTGCATTGTTTTAGTCCAAACTATATTGTTTTAACCATGCACCTATAAAGTGCCCACCATCATTTCAAGGTTATTAGATTCATTATTGTTTCCATGCTGCCATTCTTTACCAGAAAAACAAACGCTAAACCTTTTAAACTTACCCTCTTAAATACTTCTTTGAGTTGAGTCGCACTTCTGTTTGCTGGTGTTTTAGTTATTCTTTTTCCCATCAACTGTCCCAACATGTAGGCTATCTTACAGGTACATGGCTCGAAGTTAGTAAATGCCTCTGTACCGTAGAACATATAATCCCTTTACTGACTCTGAAAGGTCACGTGGGGTCCATAAAGTTAGTTTTATGGTTTTGGGGAGTAGACAATGTACTATATAATTCACATTCTTGAATGAAAGTGACGGTTTAACTGCTGCGAGGGGTTTAGAACGGGTTGTGGACTGTACAGCACTTGTGTGGGCAGTGGCGATATCAGGATAGAAAGTTAATATCAGAAATGCAGTGATACATTTAAATAAGTGTTCCACTGTCTATGATTATAAACCAAATATATGTTATTCATGTTGGAATTAGCCTCAAAATAGAATATTTTGAGAATCCATGGATTGTAATCGAATTACCTATAAACACCAGCAAATAAGAATTCATTCATTCATTTTGCTCTGCCTAAAACTAAAAACTGGGGGAAATTCTGACACTTCACGAACAGGACACAAACGAATTCAATTTCTGCAATAACTGCATTGAACCTCGTGGATTCAGTGTCAGAGGTTCTGATATGAGAAGGGAAATTAAAGACAACAGATGATGGATAGGCAATGTAGGCTATAATGCATATGTCTCTGGCCTATAGACTCAAGTCAGAAAACGGACAAAAACTTTAAGTGAAATTCAAGTCTGTATACAAAAATTAGACCGTCTTGATAAAAGCGTGGCCCAAGGTGAAGCCCGAACTTGAGCTGTTTTTTTTTTGTGTCCCATCGATCTCCAAGATAAGCCGTTGAACGTGCGTCTCTCTCCAAGACAGGATAGGTGAATCCACTGATAATGTTGGGGATCAGACCTCAGTAGATTTGAACAAGTTATGTTGGATATATGGAGATCTAATAATATAAATATTAGGCTTTACGATTCTACACTGAACAAAAATATAAACGCAACATGTAAAGTGTTGGTCCCATGTCTCATGAGCTGAAATAAAAGATCCCAGAAATGTTCCATATGTACAAAAAGCTTATTTCTTTCAAATTGTGTGTACAAATGTGTTTACATCCCTGTTAGTGAGCATTTCCCTTGATAATCCATCCACCTGACAGGTGTGGCATATCAATAAGCTGATTAAACAGCATGGTCATGACACAGGTGCACCTTGTGCTGGGGACAATAAAAGGCAACTCTAAAATGTGCAGTTTTGTCACACAACAAAATGCCACAGATGTCTCAAGTTTTGAGGGAGCATACCATTGGCATGCTGACAGCAGGAATGTCCACCAGAGCTGTTGACAGAGAATGTAATGTTAATTTCTCTACCATAAGCCAACATCATTTTAGAGAATTTGGCAGTATGTACAACCGGCCTCAACCTCAGACCACGTGTATGGCGTTGGTGTGGGCGAGCGGTTTGCTGATGTCAACGTTGTGAACAGAGTTCCCCATGGTGGCGGTGGGGTTATGGTATGGGCACTCATAAGCTACGGACAACAAACAAAATTGCATTCTATCGATGGCAATTTCAATGCACAGAAATAGTGTGATGAGATCCTGAGGCCCATTGTGAGGTCCATTTTAATAAGGTATCTGTGACCATCAGATGCATATCTGTATTCCCAGTCATGTGAAATCCATAGATTAGGGCCTAATTAATTTATTTCAATTTACTGATTTCCTCACTGGAACTGTAACTCAGTAACATCTTAGAAATTGTTGCATGTTGCGTTTATATGTTTGTTCAGTATACAAACACTGATCCTGATTGTATAGGCCTGTATGTCAAACTTGGAATTACGCCCAACTTGTCTATAGACCCTGTTTGTATTTTATATTGTAATAACGCGTTGCTATTGTGTGTTTATAGCCTATGTTAATGAATAATGTCTTTGCGTAGTTGCCACCATGGCTAAATTGTATGTATCCCATTGTGTAGCCTACCTGACCAAATTGTATATGAATCAGATATGAATCAGCATGCAATCGCAGTTCTGCGTGGTGATATCCAATCAAATTAGGCCAATATGAAAACACTGTTTTGACATCTTTCGTAAATAGCTGTAATTTATCTAAAATGTACCTAAATGCAATAAATATTATTTATTTGGTTAAATAATTTTGTATATATAAAAAAATGACGCTAAAGCACACACACCAATGTTTTCCATTGGGCTGAAACAGTTCCACTATTCATAACTGTTAAATAGCCATTTAACCAGGATAATAAGTATTGCATATTGATAGGGGTAATCTGTGCACGGATCTCATCAATAATTCATAGACCGGGATCATCGCGAGGTCACTAGACGAGAGCCACAGATGCCGAGGCTCTAACCTACAATACCAATAGGCCTGTTTCTCAGACATCGTCACCATCTTTGAAATCCATAGGCCTACACGAACGAAAAAGACAGTCTGAACAATTTTTTACATTTGTGCTTTTGGAAACGCAAATGGTAGCCTATGGAATTGTGTCTTGTGTAGGTTATTCTGTATGGATGGATTCATGCGTAAACTACGTTAGGGTTTTGTGTAAGAATTGGCAATGTTTCGTTTTTACATTTCTAGGCCTACTTATTATTTATATTAGATACAATTGCATGGAGATTATTGACACCTTTATTAGTACGTAGGCCTTTACATTTTTTTATTGAGCAGTTAGCAGTTAGGAATCAAGTTTTACATTGAAAAAGCATTGATAGATGAACGTAGGCTATTTGTTATTTCTCTGAAAACATGTCTTACAGCAGTCGACACAAATATTTTAATATGCATGGATAGATGGCATAATAATATTGCTTCACAAAGTGACCTCAAAGTGAATCTTAAAATATGCGATTGGAGCATAGGCCTATGCTTTTTCAGTGACGTGATGTAACGCCACCTGCACACCAGCAGAGCCCGCTTCAGACCGGCTTCACTGTTGCCCCGCGCAATCTATCATCTCACTAAAGGCCTATGACCATGTGATAGCCTACACACAAAACAATAGGCTACTGTGTGTCCTATGGATAACATTTATGACGTCTAGACTACTAAAATATTTGAGAAAAGTT